CCTCACGGGCAAGCATCATAGGGTCCTCATCTTCAGAGATGTCATCATCCTCCTCAGTCTCAGTCTTCTTGACGTTGTTCTGGGCCTGGAGGCGCTCATCCTCGGAGAAAGTACGGTTGTGACGAGACTAAAGGTGGTTAATTTTGAGCAAGCCAAAAAAAGTCATGCATTCGTAAAACTTACTCGGCGAGCGTGAGCCAGGAAGTGCGGGCCAACGGGCTCCACGTTGCGCTTGGTGGCACCGGACAGAGCGCCGACAATCTTGAAATCCTTCTCACCAGCCCAGCCCTGAGGCAAGGTAGGGAGGGAAATATCAACTTGAGCAGCAGCCATTGTATAATGGTATATTGGTGATGGTACCAAGTTGTGTGTGGAGAGCGTTGGGTCCCGCGATGGAATTTTTTGCATACCTTTTTTTCTGCCCCAAATATCCGCCCCTCGAACCAATCAGGTGTCATATATCTTGGAGTTCGATGGCGATGGTGCCAGGCCTTCTTCCTTCGGTTGACTTGTACAATCAATTTCTTCTCGTTTATTAGATCTGTGTTCCTATTCAGACAACTGCAACCCCTACTTCTCATTTACAGTGCCATCCATAACTTCATCCCATCCCTTATCCGCGCCGATCATCCGCAGCGACAATTTGCAACCCGGTGCTTCCCAACTTGTTCCTAGATACACCCACTTCTATACTTCTGTGTGACATTCTGCTTTTCATTATGGCCACCTCTACTGCCGCTGCCGCTAAAAGCGCCTATCGCCAACTTCTCCGGTCCACCCGAGTTGTCTTCCACAGTTCGTTTGACAAACACAACCGCCACTGAGGCCTCTGTTACCCTCATACTAATGTCCACTATAGACGATCTTCCAGTCCTCATGGCTGCGCGCCAAGAAGCGCGCCAGAACTTTGAGAAGAACCGTCGCCCGGCTGTCGATACTGGAATGCAAATCAACCATGCGATCGAGGTTGCGAATATCCTTCGCCACAACATCGTCCAAGGTTCGAGGGAGCAGGGAGATGAAACTGCTAAGTGGGGTATGTGTTTGACTATTCTTGAGATTTCACTCTCTGGCTTGGTACTTACAGTGCTTACGAACGTTGTGCTAATGAGCGATTGTTTCTACAGAACTCAACATCCATGATCAGATCGAACGCGGTGATAATGAGTCCATCAAAGTCGGCGGTCAGGATGTGAAGATTCACAAGGCTTGCTCTTCATGATGCTTTTCCTTCTATCCTGATGCTCAGTGAATCTGAGCGCACTCTCCGAGTCCATTCAAAGTCTGAAAACGACACTGAAACAGAGGTTGAAGCTAGTCTGTACGCTTATGTCAAACCAACAGCATATGGCGCAGTGAAATAAGTATCATAGTGACCGGACATGTATTATAAGATACCCGACTCTTTTATCATTGGCGTCTTCGGGGTATTTTCGATTGAAGTACATACATCTGCATAGAATAACCCAATCCCTGATAACGCCCGCTCCGAATTCTAAGTTACATGCAATCTCGATTTGATTTAATGGTATCTCTGCGCAAGTTCTGTTCAATCGCCATTCATGCTGGCGTACTGGACCTCACCCGATCCGGGCGGCGGCGCAACGACATGAGCCTGAGCTTTCTCCTGGCCAGCACCTTCGCCTGCCGAGGCAATGGCTTGTCGGCTTGCTTGCTTACCTTTACCAACCGATCCCACAGTCTGGCGACCCTCACGGGCATTTTGCATTCTCTCTTCACGGTCCAGATTGTCCAGTGGTTTCGGCTTTCCCCAGCGAACACGCAGAGGGCAGCCCTGGACGATGGCCTTGCCCTGGCAGTGGTTTGCGGCGGTTTCCGCGTCTGCACGGTTGACGTAGTTGATGAAAGCGCAGTGGGAGCGGTGGGAACAAATAAGCGACCGGAGCTGGCCGAATTCGCTGAAGAAGGTGCGAAGCGCATGCTCAGGGAGATCGTCTTCCACGCCAGTAATAAACAAGGAAGTGACGTTGATATCCGCGGGGGGAAGGATATCTGCAGCCGAGGGCGGCAACTGGGTGGTACTGGGGAAGGGACGACCACCACGCCCACCACCTCGTCCGCCACGTCCTGGAAGGCGGTTTCCGACACGGCTTTCACTGGTGCGAACTGGACCGGGTCCGTTTCCATAGCGGCTATTCGTTCGTGGTTGATCCGTGGCCGTACCTTCCTCTACTTTATCATCCTCCGTAGGTGCTTCGATTCGTCGGGGCTTGCGATAATATGGTTCGCTGTTTGCGAGACGGCGTAGAAGTTCGCGAGCCTTATCGTCTGTCTTTTCGTATTCTTCAATCGCACCGCGTCCCTCTTCGATTTCCTTCTCGTTGTTTTGCGCGTAATATTCGCGATTGATGGAGCTTTCCGGACCTGGGGCGACCATTTTGAGAGCGGCATCACGGACCGCAAGAGGAAGACCGAAGGACAAATCTAGCATGCAGCATTGACAGCAATTCTTCAGGCGGGCGCATGTGAGACAGATAATCGATCGCTTTTGGCGGGAGGTCCGATCGGCCTTCCAACGGAAGATAGTGAAGGGGCGCGTGCACTAAGTAGTTAGTATGTGTTTATGAAGAAGCTTTGAGGGAGGAAAAAAAAGGGCTTACAATCTTGCATTCTGCGCCATGATCTTCCTTGATCATTTGGACGTAGGGATTTTCGGGAAGACAATTTTCACATACGGAGGGAAAGTCTGTCGACTCCCAGCCGGATCGATTCAAATCGTGCTTAATTTGAGGAGGCATGTCGGAGAGTATGGGGTTAATCCGAGAGGTGTGAGAGCTTCTAAGGTTGGATTATCAAGATCGATAGAAGTGGCGTGTGGCGTAGTGTGGCTGATATATCATGTGATCTTGCTGCCTCAGGTTAAATTTTTCCCGGGAGGCACAATGTCCGACTAAGCCACAGCCCGGAAGGTGAGTGTCCCGTGAGGAAGGAGGGTGTGGCCACCCCAAAATAATAGCCCCAGAAGGATAAGGTCTAGTTCGGAGGAACCCCTGATTGGCTCTCCACTTCGGATTGTCAAAAAGTTGCTTGGGAGTCGACTCTTATTTATTTCCCCTTTTTCTCCTCCAGTCGCAATCCATTCCATTCTCTCTTGCCCGCTTCTCTCTTGCTTCGCTTCTCTGGTATTTACAGTGGTCTACCTTGTCGTTTTCTCTCTCGGAAAATCTTGGAAATTGACGCTTTTTTGCCTCCTTTTACAATCTACCCCTTTTAATCTTTGCGACTCGTTTCTTCACCATGGCTCCCTCTGCATTGGAACGTGAGGATAAGGCGCGTGATGCCGCCTTCAACAAGGTTCTGCACGGCAAATCTGCCAAAGCCCAGGGTGGTCTTGCTGCCTTGCGCGGAAAGGACGCCGCCGCCCAAAAGGCTGCTGTCGACGAGTACTTCAAGCACTGGGACAACAAAGATGCCGTCGATGAAACACCCGAGATTCGTGAGGTAAGGCAGCGTATGTCCAAGACAATTGATCCTTCTCGCTAACAATTACTGCGTGATAGGCCCGCAAGGCTGAATATGCTACCTTGACCCGACAGTATGTTCGAAAATAATCCCAATTGATCGACGCTCTCATGCTGACGATCCTTTTACAGCTACTACAACCTGGCCACCGATTTCTACGAGTACGGATGGGGCTCTTCATTCCACTTCTGCCGCTTCGCCTACGGTGAGCCTTTCCACCAGGCTATTGCCCGCCACGAGCACTACCTTGCCCTCCAGGCTGGTATCACCGAGAATATGAAGGTTCTAGATGTTGGCTGTGGTGTCGGTGGCCCCGCTCGCGAGATGGTCAAGTTCACCGGTGCTCACGTCACTGGTCTGAACAACAACGACTACCAGATCGACCGCGCCACCCACTACGCGCACAAGCAGGGTCTCTCGGATAAGATGGCTTTTGTCAAGGGCGATTTCATGCAGATGAACTTCCCCGATAACAGCTTCGACGCTGTCTATGCCATTGAAGCCACCGTCCACGCCCCCGAACTTGTCGGTGTCTACAGCGAGATCTTCCGTGTTCTGAAGCCCGGTGGTACCTTCGCTGTGTACGAGTGGCTCATGACTGACGATTACAACAATGATGATCCTGAGCACCGTCGCATTCGCCTCGGTATCGAGCAGGGTGACGGTATCTCCAACATGGTCCGTATCTCTGAAGGACTGGAAGCCATGAAGAACGCTGGCTTTGACCTAAAGCATCACGAGGATCTCGCTGCTCGCCCCGACCCCATTCCCTGGTACTACCCGCTGGCGGGCTCCTTCAAGCACATGGGTTCGGCCTGGGACTTCTTCACCATCGCTCGTATGACCTGGTGGGGCCGTGGCATTGCCCACCGCTTTGTCGGTGCCGGCGAGACCATCGGTCTCTTCCCCAAGGGTTCCCAGAAGACCGCCGACAGCCTGGCCTTGGCTGGTGACTGTCTGGTCGAAGGTGCTCAAAAGAACCTCTTCACTCCCATGTACCTCATGGTCGGCAAGAAGCCCGAGTAAATGTGGGGTAGCAACGGTGTTAGCGGTCTTTTTGTGTAAAAAAATATTACCCCCGGCGTGCACGTTCTTCCCTGGTGGCCTCTTTATTTCATTTGATCTTCTTTCTTCACGTTACCCTCCGCGCATATCACCAGGGGATATTTCTTGACTCAAACCTGACCCAACGTCGGTAGAGAAAGGAGCCGTGTGCCGCTTTCTCTTAATCGACAGTGTCATTAATTTTCCCTTCTCTTGTTTCTTTTACCTGTCAAGATACATAGCAATGTAATAGTCATTGAGTCAAGAATAACGAGCAAAGAATTGGTATTGTTTAGTGTTTGTCTCGTGTATCCGTAGTGCACATACTGTTAGAACTAAATATGATACATGTCTCCGAATAATTCTTCTAAAATTACCGGTCAATCGGCTGCCGGACGGTGGCAGAGCTGTTTATGGACTGTGTATTGTGATATGCAAAACTAGTACTTGACAATCCATCGGTCCTCTTTGTACTATAAGTATCCTGAGACCGGAGGAATAAACCGCGGGGCGTACCATCTGCTAGTATCATATAGCTCCCTGGCGCCATACGCACATAGCAACTCTACCATAGCTTCAACAGGATAGAAACTCGGAGAATTCGAAGCCCACCACAGAATTGAACTTGTTGAATACCATGTGGTTCCCCCAACCTTGATATTCGGATCTGCTCCACGCCGAAGCAGTAGTTCCGCCACTTCAACGTTACCTTTCCAGACAGCCATATGAAGAGGTGTGTGGCCCATCACAGACTCATTCACATCCAGGCCAGTGGCAATCATCTTCCCGATGAACGAACAATTCAAGGACTTGGTCGCTTTAACCAATGACGTTTCCTTCCTCCAATACGAGACAAGAGGGTCTGCACCATAATCAAGCAAAAGCTCAGCTATGTCATAGTGTTTCAACTTCATAGCCTTGGCTAGAGGCGAAAGTTGCTTTCTCGAGCAGTGGGTTTTTGAGCCATCGAAACTACCCGCATACTCATTGGGGTTGGCACCGCAGTCAAGGAGCATCTTAATCGTATTGTAATGGCAGCGCGATATAGCCCAGAACAAGATTGACTGATTTCGTGATGCTAGTTTTGGATCTGCGCCATTCTCAAGAAGCAACCGCACAAGGTCATCCCTACTAAACGGCTGAAATGTGCGGTGGCCCCGAACAGCAAGCCAGAGAGGAGTTATCCCAAACTCAGGATCGGCGTGGTTGGGGTTGGCACCACTTTCCAGCAACAATGACACAATCTCATTACTGGGTGAGGGTGTAGCGCGTCTTGAATAGTTGGTATTTGACGTGGGATTCCCGAAATCGCCAACAGCGAGGCACAAGGGTGTTTGAACAAGCCTCGATCGATTCCCGCGCACTTCGGTATCGGCACCTTCATCTAGGAGCATTTTCATGACTCCTTTGAGCCGAAGTAGGGTTGCAAGATAAAGTGGTGTCTGATTCTGCGAGTTCCCCACGTTAATCCCGGCGCCTAGCTTCAACAATTTCTTTATTTCTTCGGGTGTTCGTGATTCTATTACGGCAAGGCAGAGCGGCGTGTTTCCCCCGCGGAATCTTGTATCAATATGGACACCCAATCGAACCATCTCTTCAAATAAGGGGGGACAACCGGTCGCGGCTCCGAGGTAAAGAAGCATAGGGCCATATTTCTCCATCACATATGGGTCTTCCAATACCGCGGTCAGTTTGGGAAGATCGGACACTAGAGACCTGGCAGGCTTGGCTCCACAGTTACAGAACCCAGTTCTTTCTAGGATACCACTGCGGCTCAGCAAAAACAGGGCACACTCTATATGACCATTTGCCACTGTCGCAGGCACAATCAGCGCTATTCTGTGCATGTATTGTCTGCAAGTGAGATTATCATACTCTTCCATAGCAAGAGTATAATCAACACACGGGATATGGCCACCCTCAGCAGCCAGGCGGAGAGTGGCTTTGCGCCCAGGTTCATCCTCATTCAACAGATTTGAGAAGTTGGTTTCCCACATGATTTCTGGACGGAGACCTCTTCTTACAAGGTCTTTCATCACATCCAGATGCCCATTCCTTGCAGCCTGGCTAAGGAGCTGCGCATTGCAGCGATCATGGACACATTCCCCATGAATATCAGCGCCAGATTGAACAAGTGTATCGATCATAAAGACGTGACCCCCCTGGACTGCCCAGCAAAGTGGAGAGTGGAAGATTTGACAGTTGTGTGTTGGAAACCTCAAATCTCTCATTATATTTGACTTGTCTACTGCCAGAGACTTCTGAACAACAGTGTCATAGCCACGGAAGGCGCCAAATGCCAACGATGTCTGGCCACAATGTTGTGCATTGAACTTGTACAAGAGGGTCTCCAACTTGTCATGGAGCCATTTGTTTGTTTGTGAGAGTGCGTTTAAGTCTTTTTGGGTTGCGATAGAAGCGTCACTGTTGTCTGGTTCCGTTGCGTCGAATTGGGAGAAGAGGCAGTCGATTATAAGCAGCACGATTTCAACAGGTAGGTCTAGGAGCGAAATCATATTGTGAAGTGAACAGAGGTATATGGTCTAGAAGAGAATTTTCGTGCGTTGACACAAGGTCTCCAAGGTGTTAACTGACTGATCACTTCGGGGGAGCTGAACTAGGGCTGAAGCGTGGGCACCTATACCCCTACATAGGTAGGAGTGTGCCGATCCTTACCTAATGTGATATATCACTTTCCTGGGAGGCATGAAGTGTTGTATCTGGGTATACCGAGGAGATTGGTGGCTGTTTAGATACTTGTGAGAATGAAATGTGACATTATCGAGTGCCGAAGAGGGGTAGGGGTATTGGCACGTTGTGGACTTAGCGCCTGCATAATTACTGCGGTCGGCGCCTGAACTCATAGGGAAATATCAGCTGCATCAGAAGCAGTTTTATCGAAGAAGTCAAGACTAGCGATATACCTAAAGATATTGTTCAATTATGTATGCCGTTCAGCAGTTGCTGGTGTCTTCAAACGTTTGTATATAGTTTGCTCTTTCTCCTAAATTGTTACTCGAGATGAACTTGCCTCTTCCAGGTCACAGATCATATCATCATCGATGGTTCACCGTTCAGGCATCAGACTCTGTCCCGCGACCAATAATTCTTTCCAGCTGGGGGGAAAGTCAACCTCCCAGTGATAATTCCAAATATTTCAAGCGGAACAGCCTCCAGCAAGGACAACTTTTTCACCTCTGTGCCACGTCAGTCTCTCTACTGCGGATGAACATTGGCGGTTGACAGAATCGGAATGTGCCGATCAACCAAAAGCATGACAAGGATCTTGAGGTGATCGAGTTTTCCCTTATCACATAGCTCAAATGGCTGTACTCCGTAACATATGCTGGGAGGCATTCGGAAAGGCAATCAGACGACCTGGATTAGTCAAAACACTCGCTATGCAAGGTTCACCGTTTCGTTCGATGCATGGCTGAATGCAATGTGGCTTGGCGTGGATGTTCTCTTATGGTACAGATCTACTTCCTCAAAATTCCTAATTTAATCTCACTCGAGCTGAAAGTGAACTATTGAAACCCAGTTGGATCCATCACCTGCAAGACCGTGCTCGGGCCTCGCGTCGGCCCGCCTTCCTAGAAGGTTCCAACCTTGATTTCCCGCGTATTGGTCAGCCTTGGCAACTAGTACTATTTAGGTAGTACCTGATTCACCTATATTGTAGTATGGAGGTACCTACTATGTACTCCGTACGGCTTTTATTCCGAAATATCCATGTGTTATCAGAAAAAAAGTGTTAGGAAGATATGCCATCAACTCGAGGCAATTGCCTTCTTCCAAGCCTGCTATATTGTATGTGCAGGTAGTATGCCCCCCCTCCACAGACGGGAAAAAGCTTTGTTCAATTTGTTTCACTTCCTTTGTTACCTGCATAAATATAACCATAGAAAGTCGTGGCGAATCAAGGGAGGTGGATAAGAAGCGCTGCTGTAATTAGAAACATCCATCAACAAACAGGCCTGGCCTTGAGACCTAAAGTAAATAGCATAAAATAACCTAGTGTTCAAAGCAAGTCCATATAGTGCTATACTTGATGAGTCTACTACTTAGCTTTCAGAATAAAAACACAGAGTGATGCCAGGTCTGTAGACAAAGAGGTCAATTCGAAATATGAAAGGGGAGAAGAGAAAGAAGAAGCGGGTAGGATTATCCTTGAAGAGATGGCACAGCAAGCCCCTGATCAAATAATCCAACCCATTTGCGAACTGCTATTTGTGAACAAGTAAAAACGAGGGAGCTCTAACTAAGGTGTGATAGCATGTATTGTAATGCAGAGATATATACAAGGCTCAAGTCTCAAAATAAGACGCCAAGACAAGGTAAGCAATGTGTAAGCTAAAACCTTGAATACATCATATATCAATTAATATATCTCCGCTCCGTAGGGCTTATTCTAATATATATTTGGTAGAAGCGGAGTGGTCATCTGCTTGGCCCAGTGACCAGTTAGGGCACGGACGGCAACAACGTGTAAGGACAAGGTACCCGGTCCACTATCCAATTAAACCAACTCAATGCTCTAATTCACATCAATCCAGATGATTTTCAGTTCAAACCTTGGCTCTTTGGGACAAAGGGCTTGGAGATGCAGCCAGTTAACCCTGCATCGACCACAACGTGGTATTGGCTAGTGCCGTCTAACATAGCGGGATTCTTCCAGCTGATGAGGGGAATGCCATGCCTCCAAGGCTAGCTTGAATATAATATCTCCTGTCGCCCAATCTCCTCATCTGTTTCCTTTCTCATTACTGCTATCGCGATCCCAGATATGTTCGCCAAACAAGCTCTGCTTGTGTTCGTCGGGGCCCTGGCCCTGGTCGCGGGCAAGACTACCACTGAAAAGAACCCAACCCAGTCTGAGATCGATGCGGCTCGCGCTACTGTTCTGCCTTACTCTCCCGTGTCAAACGTAAAGGGGTTGGCTTTTGATCGCTTCGTGAATATCTGGCTCGAGAACACAGTGGGTTTTCCCCTTAGATGAATAACTATAACCACTTGTTTACCTCTTTGCAGGACTTCAAAACCGCTGCTTTGGATGCGAACCTGTCCAAGCTAGCTAAGGAGGGTATTCTCCTAACCAACTACTATGCAGTCACTCACCCCTCGGAACCTAACTACTGTGCCTCCGCCGGAGGCGATACCTTTGGTATGGACAATGACGACTACATACAGATCCCAGCCAATGTCTCAACCATTGCCGATTTGTTTGACACCAAACACATCGCTTGGGGTGAGTACCAAGAGGACATGCCGCATGCCGGCTACCAGGGTATGCGGTACCCCCTCCGCGGTCCGAATCAGTATGTGCGCAGGCACAACCCTCTAGCTCTGTATGACTCGGTTACCAAAGACGCCGTGCGCCCGCGTCAGATCAAAAACTTTACCACTTTCTACGAGGACCTGGCACACCGCAGCCTTCCCCAACATATGTTTATCACACCGAATATGACCAACGACGCTCATGACACCAACATCACTGTGGCCGGTGACTGGGTCGCTCGTTTCCTCCCTCCCCTGCTGAAGAATCAGCACTTCACTAATAACAGTCTGGTATTGGTCACCTTTGATGAGGGGGGCAACTACTCCTACCCCAACCGCGTCTTCACCTTCCTGGTTGGCGGTGCTATCCCGAAGCACCTGAAGGGCACCACGGACGACACTTTCTACACACACTATTCAATCATTGCATCGCTGTCCGCTAACTGGGGTCTGCCCTCTCTTGGCCGCTGGGACTGTGGCGCCAACCTGCTGAAGTTAATCGCCGACAAGACCGGCTATGTCAACTGGAAAGTTGATACCAGCAAAGCCTATATCAACCAGACTTATCCTGGCCCTCTATCCAAAAAGCACTATTCCTCTAAGTGGGCCATCCCTGCCACTAAGGGCAAGTGCTCTGCTGGCCATGGTATTGCCGAGGTTGTGAAAAAGACTTACCATGGTCTTCACCCTACCTACAACTACACCAGCCCTGTGCCGTATGACGCAACGACTGGAAACAACGTCGGCATCAAGTACCACCGAACTCTGGTAAGCATTCCTCTACTCCCCTTGATAGTTCTAGACTAATGATTTACAGAAGCATGGTAAGGAGGAGTCTGGTATCACCGGCTGAACCAATGATTTTTATATATAGTGTAATGCCCCTGCCGTGTGAGGTGTGAACATACGTAGTTGTTATTGCCTATAGAAATTGATTGAAAGCTACGGTCTCTTAAAAATGGTTCCTCGACTTTTCAGCAAACTATTGTAGATGTGCCGGATGATTCTTCCGGACTAGATCCGCACAGACTACAATGTCGATGAGTATGGGGACATCCCCAGTTTATCTCTACCCCACGAAATATATATCTCCACAGTCGAACTACATATTGCTCCACCTTGATGCCCAGACTTTTGGAAAATGGAAATTCCAGATGGATTAATAGCCAATCAAACAAATGCATTTTCATGTAGCACCTTATTTGCTACATGAGCTCGGAGTTTCCCTTCTCCATTTCTGCTGTCCATTAGCCAGTTCTTGGGCGTATATAGGTCACTCGTGGTAGATGCATTATACAAACAAGTTATGCCCAGAATGCTCTGCTTTTACTCTTGTTTTTCTCTAGCTTTCAGATAATATTTGTAGAGTAAGATTCACGTAGTGTCGACAGAAAGTCTGTTTGGATGGTGCTAAACGCTTCTCTCTCTCTCTTATTGAAATCGTGTAGCCTATCTGAAAATTCGGTGTGCTGAGATTTCCCCGTCATATTGACCAAGATTGAAAAGGTTGAATCATCAAGCTTCTATCTCAGCAATATCTGAGCAACACCCAATTATAGAGACATTTACTGCTATAGCTTGAACTACTCGGTTAACAGGTATACTTAGTTTTACATCCGCTAAACCTCAACGGAGATGGTATTTCCACAGACCAATTAGCGGTGGGAATGAATCCCAAGTAATTCTCTCAGATCCCAGTACGAATCCTTGCCAAATGGCAACCAATTCCAGGATTTCCAACGGTTATCAAGAACTCGAGGGGACGCCAAGACCCTAGGAGCGCCACGAGGCGGATTGAGGCTTTCTAGATGACGTTTGGAGGGTGTCGCTTTGACTCTGAACGGCTTTGCCGTGATCTGCAAGCCTCGTCCCGCAAATTACGAGACCTCTCAAGCAACAACCGCAAAAGGAGCCCTAAGCGATATACCGATAGATATCGAATATGGCATCATCGCGGACCGCATGTTCTTATTCGGGAAGGTACCGAGGATTGTCTGTTCATATGCACAACTCGGAGAATTATCTTATTGGGCTACAAGGAAAAAAAATTTAATCTAGACTTATGTATATATGTTGCACATCCGTCTACCAATCTAGTTTCCGTTTTCATTTCCGAAAGCAGAAATTTTACTAGGCCGGAGGTGAATTGTCCGGCAATGCCCGCTTCCAAATTGCCTTTTAGTATTTACCCGGGATCTCATGTGGGACCGAATGTCTTTTCTTTTCCTCTTCACTTTTCCTAATATATGGCCAAGGTATTCTCAAATGCTTTTCATTATATACTTTCTTGGAAAGGTGAAAGAAGAAATCTTGGGAGGCCTTGGTATGCTTGAGTCAAGTAAGCAAGCCAATTTCCAAGGTTGAAGGCTTGGAAGGTGACTTGCTTACTGGACTCTCTTTTTGAGGGGGACAATGAGGGGGTTCATCATTTCCTAAAACGGAATATTATCTTGGCAAAGGATCCACTTTGGGACTTCCCGAACTTCTTTGGCTTCTTTTGACGTTAAAACATCTGAGAATCCGAATATTTCCCGGATCTTTTCCCGAGGTTTTTCGGCATCGGGTGAGAAATATATTCCGTGAGATTTTATAAAGAAACCGGAGATATCAAGGTGACCTTTGTAGACATCAGATTTTATGCTATACACAAGTTCAAATCACAATATATGTCTCGTGAGCCCGATGATCATTGCTGAAGACGGCACTCCCATCCCACACAACCCCGGGAAATTACTGTACTTTGTACTCGCCGTAACCGGGGCATCGGGCATGGCGAGATTCGGAAGTAAAAAGGCAACTGAAACGAGATCTTTAATACGTAATATTCGGGGGAAACCAATCGGCACGGGACTATGAAAAAAAAAGTGAAAAAAGGAGAAAATGTAAAGAAAAAAAAAAAGAAAAAGAAAAAGCAAAAAAAAAGAAAAAAACAAAGGATTTGCTAAAAGACCATTCGAAGACCCTCGGCCCCTGACCCACCCCCAATTTCCTCTTCCCCATGGGTTACAGTCTGTGGAGGGTCGGATAAGATTCCCTTTCCGGACAACAAACTCGCGCTTTTAACAAACCCCCAGAAATTAATTCGATCCACAGATGAAACAAACAGAAAAGGGACTATACAGTATATCTTTTAGGCGACCTACAACTGTAGTCAGATTAGCGCGGTTTAATATACTAAGGCCAAAAACGGTAAACCTAAGCCGCTTGTACTTGGCAAACACCGCGAGACTTTCTTGTCGCATCCCCGCAACTCCACTAATATGGCCCCTTGGCCCCTACTTGTTGCTACTTGGCTTCACTTGGCCCCCACGGCGGGTCGCGAGACTTGCCTATCCAATGTGAAGGCGCCGCCGATGTCACTCTCCAAACTTTTTTTTTTTTCTGCTTGGCAAAGTAGACATGGGGACTGAATGCATATAAGGCTACGGAAATATCCTTTGTCTGAGCTTTCTTTTCCTCCCCATGTCGCTTTGGTCTTTTCCTCCCTTCATCTAATAGAGGACGTTCATCATGTGGACCACAACCTCCGGCTTACGGGGCAAGAAGCTCCATATCGCCATTACATTTACATCCGTCGTTGGATTCTCCCTTTTTGGTTATGATCAGGGTTTGATGTCTGGTATCATTTCTGGTGACCAGTTTACTTCTGAATTCCCCGCTCTCCATGGTGACTCCGAACATGTCGCCGTCCTCCGTGGTGCTGTCACTGCCTGTTACGAACTCGGTTGCTTCTTCGGTGCTATCTTCACAATGGCCTACGGTCAACGTATTGGCCGCACTCCTCTCCTTGTCGCCGGTGGTCTTCTCATGATCCTCGGTACTGTCATCTCTACTGCTGCGTTCGGACCTCACTGGGGACTGGGCCAGTTCGTTATCGGACGTGTCATTTCCGGTCTTGGAAACGGCATGGACACCGCTACTATTCCTGTCTGGCAGTCTGAGTGTTCGCGTGCTCACAACCGTGGTTTCCTCGTCTGCTTCGAGGGTGCTATCATCGCCGTCGGTACCTTCATCGCTTACTGGCTCGATTTCGGTCTCTCTTATGTCGACAGCTCCGTCCAGTGGCGGTTCCCCGTCGCCTTCCAGATTATGTTCGCTATCCTCGTCACTGGCGGAGCTCTCATGCTCCCCGAGTCGCCTCGTTGGTTTGTCATGCAAGGCCATGACCAGGAGGCCCTTCAGGTTCTCGCCGACCTCAACGGTAGTTCGATCGATGCGGAGGATGTGCTTGCCGATTTCAACCTTATGAAGGCTGATCTTAAGGCTATGGAGAATGTTGAGTCCAGCAGCTGGGGTATTCTATTCACTGGCGGTAAGACTCAGCACTTCCAGCGTATGATGATCGGTTGCTCTGGACAATTCTTCCAGCAATTCACTGGTTGCAACGCCGCTATCTACTACTCCACTCTCCTCTTCCAACAGAACTTGCACATGGAAGGCAAGCTCCCCCTCGTTCTCGGAGGTGTTTTCGCCACTGTCTACGCTCTTGCCACTATCCCATCCTTCTTCATGATTGAGAGGGTCGGTCGCCGTAACCTATTCTTGATTGGTTTCCTCGGACAGGGTCTCAGTTTCATCATCACTATGGGATGTCTCATCGACTCAAACGCACAGAACGCCAAGGGTGCCATCGTCGGTATCTTCTTGTTCATCTGCTTCTTCGCCTTTACTACGCTACCTCTGCCCTGGATCTACCCCCCCGAGATCAACCCCCTCCGCACCCGTACCAAGGCCGCCTCCGCTTCCACCTGCATGAACTGGATCACCAACTTCGCCGTCGTCATGTTCACTCCTGTGTTCTCCAACCAGTCCGACTGGGGTATCTACCTCTTCTTCGCGCTTGTCAACTTCATCGCTATTCCCTTCGCCTGGTTCTTCTACTGTGAGACCGCCGGTCGTGATCTCGAGGAAGTTGATATCATCTTCGCCAAGGCCCACGTTGAGGGCAAGTGGCCCTACCAGGTCGCACAGCAGATGCCCAAGCTCTCCATTGCCCAGATTACCCAGATGCAGGCCGAGCTGGGTCTCGATATTCCTGACCTCCGTGTCAACTCCGAGGCTGAGAAGGCTGAGAATGCCATGAGCAGCAGCGATGAGACCAAGCACAGCGAGGTCAAGCACGAGTAAATACTCCAACCGTTGCCCTTCATGTCGACTGACATTCGCGAAGCGAATCGGATTAATTTGTCTCGGATCTCATTATCATGTGACCATAGATTCCCTATACCCCCCCCCCGTCTAACGGGAAAGCGAGCAGACTAGTATGTAGGTAGTCTGTTTTGCGATCTCTATTTATTTTCTCTATATTTCCTTTGATCTAAATACATACTTTTTACCACTATCAATATCTCTTCCTATCGAAACATTGTAATGGATCTAGATTCCTGATCTCCACTGCGCCTTCTTGCTCAAGGCATTCCATTTTGGTCAACCATGTGTACGATGTGATTTATCTGGATTGTAATCCTTAATTACGTGGAACCTTGGAAGCCCCTGCAGATCGTCGGAGAGACAAATAAAATCTGCATGTGCTCTGGCATAATTTGACCTGTGCAACCCAGCCCCGTAAGAACTTGTAATAACATCGTAACCCGAACCCGGAGAGCCGAGGCATGCGTGACCGAGGGCACATGCCGAAAAACTATACTCGCCATAGCTGCTTAACAGAAGTTTCCTGAAGAAGTTAAATATACTAATTAACCAATTAACAATTCCATCTCAGCATGCTAATACTAATTCGGCAGTGACCTAGCCGGCCGCAAATGGACTCTTTTTCCTCAACTTCTCCCCGAACTTCCACAAAAACACCGGTGCAGGCACACCGATGACAATAGCTACAAACGCCAACAAACTATTCCCCCACCCATATTCTAAAGCAATATACATATACGGTGCAAAAAGTGGGAAGCCGAACCCAGCTATCGAGCGCAGAAATGCACCAGCAGCAAGCGCACTAGCCGCAAACCGCGTATACGTATCAACCATATAAGTTTGGATGCACTGGAAGGCAATAATATTGCCAGTACCAAACAGTACAGCGCCGATATTCGGCGCGATCCAATGGCAGTGGTACTGGGCGGTCCAGCCGTAGATGAACAAACCAGTGGGGATAAAGAAAGCGCCGACGAAGAGCAGTGGGACGCGGAACTCCGGTTTTCCGACGCCGTCGTTGCGGGCCTTGAGACGCCGATAGATGCGGTCGTTGAGTGGGGCACAGATCTGGGAGCCGAGCCAGAAGCCTAGTCCGAGAGAAATATAGTTCAGGCCTCCGATACCGGTTGATTCGTTGTAGTAATTTGGGCTTGTCCAGAGGGTAGGGAATGTTGAGAGGACGAGGTACATGATTCCATAGATGTAGGCCATGAATAGGGCTAGGACTTGCACGATTGGCTGGGTGAGGAGGAGGCGGAAGGGACGAATGAGTGAGCTACGTAGGACTTCGGGCAGGGTCTTATTTTGGCGCTCTGCTTCTGTTTGATAGGATTCGTCGCCTGTTTCTTTACGCAGACGGACTGCACGGTCGAGGAGGATTTTCGGGCCGTAGCTCTCGCGTAGGAAGAAGAGGCCCATTACTTGGACCAGGGCGTCGGTTATTGAGGTCGAATAGAACACCCAGCGCCAGGTTGTGTTTTCGGCGATGAAGCCTCCTGCTATGGGGCCCAGGGCTGGGCCTAGGAGTGGTGCGAGACTGTAGATTGCGATTCCTTTTCCACGCTCTTCAGCCCGGAAGCAATCTGATAGGACACCGCCGCCGATCTAGATGTGGTTAGATATAAGCTTTTATTAGGGGATTTTTGCGGCTTGGCTTACTGCTAGTGGGGCACTGCCTCCTAGTCCAGCAAAGAATCGGCAGACAATCATTTGGACTTTCGTTTGTGATACGGCACACCCTATGTTGAAAACTAGGAAGAAGAGGTTGGAGAGCTGCAGCACGACGGTTCGGCCGTATATCTCTGACAGTGGCCCGAGGAATAATGGGCCAACAGCGTAGGCCAGAACGAAGATTGAGAGCATAAGTTGTGAGACTACCTCATCCGTGACTTTAAGATCCGCTGCTAGTGATGGCAGTGCCGGTGCAACCATCGACGAAGACACCGGCGAGATGAATGTGAATAGTGACACGGTAATGGTAGCAGCCCATTTCTTCCTGTTGGTCCAGTTTTTCGGATTTTCGGGGTCTTCAGGGCCATCCCATTTTACCTGTACCAGTGTTAATACCGAGTGCAGGTTTAGGAACATGGAACAACCTACCAGTTTTGGGTCGTGCCGAGACCGATTTGACTTTGCCGTCCTCGATTTTTCAAGTTCGGCCTGTGGAACGTCGGCTTTTTCTAGATCCAGATCGCGCTCGTTCACAATCCCATTCCGCACTTCCTGAACAGTGTCGGGCTCATGCCTGTTTTCGATGGACGATTCACTATGGTTGGACTCATCGTCACTATGGTATACTGACTGGTCATTGAGATGTCGCCCCGAATAAACTCGATCCACCTGGGTCATTCCTGGATTTGACAAAGACCGCAACCTCGACCTCAGAGAACCAGTCAAGCTGTGAGATCGTGACTGTGTTCTTGATGCCCGCGACTCGGAATCAGTACTGGATATTGATGTCGACCGTGATCTGGTCGAGCCGGATTCTTTACGGTCTGACATTATCGTTGCTCATATAGAGAACCACTCGATAGTAACTGGGCGAAAGAATTGAACACCTCTTTCTGGGAGGCTAACTAAATGGGCACGCGAGACTGAATCTCTAGAGAAGGAACTAGTTTGCAACAGCGGGGAGCATTTTTTTAATACCAAATTGATAAGCAGAAAAAAAAACATCAGGCAAATAGCATATTTCAATCGTTGCGAACGGGGATAAAGCAGAAAGTGCCTTAACACCGTTGGAAGAAAACCCACCATCTCTCCAATTTGCAACATTGAGCATAGTGATTGGTTGATAGTTAAAGCTTGACACGAAGGTGGCCCCTGGTTAGACCCCATATGCCCCTCTCTTTATCACAAATTTTCGTGAATATGGCGGCCTGACCCGTCTTCAGTTGTCATTAGGGCAGGTTAGGGCAGTTTCCATGCGGAGAGAAGCCTGAAACGTGGTATCCTGTGGTTCCACTTGAAGCCTCAGGTGTCTATTATCGGGTATTCGGCATATTAGTCACGTGCACCGCCTGATCGCGGTTACAACTCCCAGGGCCGCCAAGCTTGCTTATATTATCAATGAATTTTACCTACCTAAGTACGCGCCAGATCCAAATCTGCTAACTATATTAGTATATATTTCAGATTTAGATGGGAGTACTACCACCTTATAGTGACCTCTGTGGGTTTCAGTTTCTTTAATAACCGCGTTTTTTTTTCGCGTTTTTAAACGTGATATCGAGAACTAACTTATGATTGACTTTCAATCAACTAACTAAATAGATAGAATATTACCTTAGGGATAAGGCTTAGAAACGGGAGCAAAACGAAGCGTAATTAAAAAAACACAACAAGGAGGTTCAACTTTACTTGGCACTTGAATTCTTGGCCTATTTGTATTATTTAGGGCCCATTGGGCCCCTATAGTCCACCTATAGGCCTAAGGACCAGGCTCAAACCCCAGGCCACTTGCGAGTTGGGTTGGGTTTTGGGCTTTGTGGGCTTTGCGGAAGTCTAGTACATATATTATGGAAGCCCAATTAGTATTGAGAAAGGTCGTTAATGCCATGAATAGTAAATTTAGTTAAGTACGCACAATTATACAGGGATTGGTAAGAACACCGCAGCTTTGTAGTAGACATTGTACTGGTCGCTGAATCAATCAATTCCATAATCTGAGTGGAAAATAAAATACCAGAAACAGAAAGAACAAAGCCGAAGAGATACTCGGGGCAAGTCCATTACCCAAACTTTCAACCTCATTCCTTTTGAGGCCCCAATGCAACGAATTAGGATGATACTCATCTTGCCCGTAGGTGGCATTCAATGTCACATTTTCAGTAATCCATCCGTCTTCCAGTCGAACCCAAGTCACTACTTCCTTGTTAAGAGTGTCCTTGTTCAACACAATGTGGCGTCCGCCGCGAGCCAAATCCCCATATCCTCCATATCCCGAATGGCGCCCGTAGCAGACATTCACACCATTTCCACGCACGTCCTGGTCTGGGAGACCAGCACTCCATTTGAAACACCTGTAGTGGATGAGAAGTTAGCATTTGACCACTATGATGCCAACATAGAAGAGGCTTCAATCTCACCAGTCATTGTCGTGATCATGGCCACTAAATGTAGCCAGCAACCCATCGGTTTCCACCAAAGCTTTCATGAACTCCACATCGTGGATTTTCTTATCATACATTCCACCTTGCCATGTAACTTTCTCCCCGTTTTGACCTGGTTCCTTGCTTGGATTCACGCTGGGTTTATTCTGAAAGTGATACGCTGAGGAAATGGGGATATGAAAGAATGCAAGTGATGGGATGACCGTCCCATAGTGATTAGTGAGATTAGCATTCGTATGTTTGAACCATGTTACAACCTGTTCAGACAGTTAGTTGGCAAACAATGGATGAGGCAATGATGGTGGTATGAACTCACCGACGGGTGAATCCAGTCCTGCCTTCCTGTGCTGTTTTTGTAATCTCCGCCCCTACTATCAAAAAACCACAAAATGACTTCGGGCACAGTCTGCGATCCCTCCGCCGCATACACGGGTAAATAGTAATTTGACACTCCCACATCGTCATCGCCAGGGCTGCCGGGGACCATACTTTGAGTCAGACAGTTTTTGTACGTCTTCTCCCGTTCGAAAGTTTTCAGGGTGTCTGCATATTTCTGATGGTCGTGGTTTCCGTATGTTGACGCCCATGGGAGCTGCTTTTGGACAATCGGATCGACAATCTGATCTAAGTAGCCCGTCGTATTATCGGCGACAGTGCCGTAACCAGATATCAGGTCGCCGTTGAGTACGACCAGCTGAGTACTTTCAAATCCAAGCACTTTCTGTATGACATCCACAGATCTCGCATCAGTTTTTGGACCGGCTCCATCTTCCTCTATCCGCACGATCCATGTTAGATATCATCCATCTAAAGAAAAGAAAACACTTGCCCTCAGCAAAGTGCAGATCAGAGAAAACAGTAATTTGAAATGTGCCATCACTAGCAAACTGTAGCTTATAATGACCATCATCCGCCTCCGGCTGCGTGATAGCCTGCTGCAGCGAGTGCAGTTTCCCAGGTAGACCCCACCCCATCCTAGGATGCAAGGAAACAATCGAAGAAATAAAAGTGGTATTCCTAAACAGAGTAAGAAAAATAGAGAGCAGGAGAACGGAAGTTAACTTTTATAGGTCCTACTCGACGTTGTCATGTACTTCTTTCAATTATCCTCCCGGAAGTATGACTCCTCAGAAATAAAAACAGAGTGGAGTGATCGACCATTCCTGGCTCCTAGCTATTCGTTCAGGGTCACTTGTTGCTGACTCATTACTACCCTACTGGGCAGATGCATACCATGACGCATCCCCTAGCTTCCTCTTGCCCCTAGCTTCCTCTTAACACCTACAATTGGTGGAACCAGAGTTGGGCCACAAGGCTTGCATGGGCTCAGCTCTTTCCTTTTTACTAAATTGGACAAGCTTCCCCGAAACTTCAGCTTCTCCATGTTACCTATTTCCACTTTTCTTTGCTTTTGTTGGCTGAATTTTGTGCTTTGGTCCATAGAGTGGCATTGCAATCCTTCCCCCGGTGCTCTCGATACATCAGGATGAGGACTGCTGAGGCATTTTGGCCCCCTCCTTTCTGGATAGAGCATGACTAGTGTCTGACGCGGCTTACCTATCCTTTTCGAATATGTGTTATCTAGGGCGGTGTCTTGCTACAGCCAATCTGGCTGCGGTTCGTTCATCGGAAGTAGTACATGTTGCAAATGGATGCTACACTCATAATGATCCTAGTGCTTCTTTTATGTATGATAACCCTCCCAGTGGAGCCACAAGGCAGTAGTTATAAAAGGGTCGTTCAAGCCAGGGTGCCGAATTGAAACATCAGGCCTCCTACAACGTTCAACACGCCCTGGTTATTTTCCGTCACCAAGTCATACCGCATAAAATATGCCCAAGTATCTTTCCAATCTGATCGTAAGGATGGCTGTATTCTAATAGTGTTCGTTCCTGGTTGGAGCTAACCTGTGCTAGGTCATATACTCCAAGGAGAAGTATTCTCAGCCTGATGACATAGTCACCGAGCTGCAAGGATTGCCATCGGATATCAACAAGGGCATGGGTGGCTTGTAAGCGATTCCTTCCCCCCTCTTTCCATCTTCATACCTTCTTTTGTCTTTTGTCGCATTGTACTGTACCAAACAATAACGTATTTTAGCTTTGTGTGGCTCCACCCACAATGGACCGCAGAACAAGCACAAGCGATCACCCATCTATCATTTGAAATGCCAAACAGTGAGATCAGAAATTACAACAATTTGGCTTTGGGAAAGGATGATTACCGGTATATCACTGCCGAGCGCAATGGGGAGACGCCGGTTACAAGAGTTGGCCTCTTTCGCACTAAGGACAAACTTACTGTGGAACAGATCAAGACACGCATCGGGCAAAGCGGATATACGGACTACACCACCGATATTAATCAAGGCCGTAAAGGGGACTATTTGTACCTTGTATGGGCATAAGACACAAGGGAGATACGGGTGTGTGATGCTAGACCGGTTCAGAGGCATGTTTGTAATCCATGTTCATCCACCGAATTCATATCAGTACAGACGCGCTCGACATCATGTTCACCTCTTTACTCTCTTTCTTTTTTGAAGTCTAGTCATCGGGAACCAGTTTAATATAAGGTCTGCATATTATATCATATAGTATTACTCTAGAAGGACAAGAGAACAAGATAGTTCTGAATGATTGGGGAAAAGAAGGAGAGAGAAGAAGAGAAGCTCTCTACTGGCAGTCATGACAAACGGGGTAACATCAGGTGATCACAACACCTTCCCCTCCCAGGACTAACTGTCTCGACTTCAAGAGGTTATGTGTCCTTTGCTCATCTTGAGCAACTATTTTTCATCATTTATCGAAACAGAGTTCAACTTGCTAGGGTAGCGGGCCTCGGCCCGGCCCCGGCACAGCGCCATGCCCCCACTCCCCCCACCTACCCAAATTGGAGATCAGGGGGAGAGCAAATTCCACATTCATCAAATCCTTCGGTACCAAAGTGCGCACCATCATCGATGCGTTGTCATACGCACGCTTCATGAAATCCTTCAACGCCACCGCGCGCGTTTTTTCAATTTTGATAAGATCATTCAACTTCGACAATATTATTCGTTAGTGCTAAATGGCCGATACTACTCTGCCACGACAGCTCAGGCGAGAAGGGACGTTAACGCATGCACACGCCACTAACTTGCTTTTTCTCTATGATTTCAAGACTAGTATACTGAATCAAACACAGAAAAACGTGTAAAAAAAACCTTGAGCTGTATACTGGGTAGTGCTTATGACTAATCACTTGTATTCGAATTACTACTGCCGAAAAGCAAATTTGTGACGTGCATGCATTAGCGTTCCTTCTCGCTCGAGCTGTCGTGGCAGAGTAGTAGCCAATGCTAGAGTCCGATGTCCGTGCCCGATGTTAGTACCCGTGTTGTGGCGTAGCTGGAACATCGGACGAGTATGTGGATACTTATTAAATAAAGGGGATTGATAGTTAGAGGGAGATCCCTTCGGATCAGATCACGCACATATCAGGCGGGCCCGCCTGACCTCTCAACAGGGTTACCCGGACGGATACGCTGTTCACTGCGTACCTAATTCGGATACTATTGATTACCTAGGTAGTGATAAGCACTTACCCGTGGACGGGCAGTATACAGCTCACACCATTTTCTCTATTTAATTCCTTATACTGGTTTTGAAATTCTACAGAAAAAGCAACCTTGTTGGTGGCGTGCATGCGTTAGCTTCCCTTCTTGCCCGAGCTGTCAATGCAATGTATGACACAGTCCTCGGACACTTTGTTGTACATGCTGCATATATCCTTTAACGAAAGATATGAAATCTGAGGCATCGGTTAAGCCCCAGTATACTCGCGATGGCCTGGTAGATGACTTGAATAGAAAGCTGAGAGATGGAAGAGACTTATTGACTACTTTCAATCTGCAATATCAAAAGAAGACACATATTATGACAACATGCCCAAAATCCAAGCCTATGGTGACGTTGGTTCCTATGCGGTACGAGATTATCCTGAGAAATCCAGGAACGGTTTAGGTTCCTGTAGAGCGGGAGCGGGGAAGTTGGCCCGCACGGGTTGAATGCAAAACATCAATTTAAGTAGCTTTTCTATAGAATACATATAAAAAGGTACTTAAATGTCAAAATAATTCAAACGTGAATATCTCAACCATATCACTTTTTAACTGTTTTTTAATTGTTAAATAGATAAATTGAATGTACCATAGCTAGCTAAACGGGTCGCTAATATAGGTTCTTTGTGACCACATGATGTAGATACGCATCTACCTTTCTCTTGCTTGAGAAGGAAATGACTTATTACGTACATATGCATGTAATTGATCGGCAGAGATAGAAAAATAACGCAGGGACACGTCATCTTCCTGTTAGATCTAGCGGAACTAAGGGAAGGGGGGTGATAGGTTGAGCAAGAAAGAATTAAAAATGTCTAGGCCTTCTCAAAATGATATAAAAGGTAGATGGAAACTCTAGTCAGTCCAAACACTAAGTCATAAAGTCTTTGGATCTCTACATATTTTCTTTTCCCCGCTGGAAATGTCTGAAGTCACTATACAACTCCCTGGGACTATATTTTGGTCAAAGCCATTTGACTTTGAGAATGGAGATGCTGTCAGCGTTACCCGCACCGAAAAGTACACATGGAGCAGAGAGATGACCAAAGTTCACTTTCGGGAGGAAGCCAACCAAGCTGTGGAGACGGCGAAGTCGCAATCGACGTTCGGGGGCGAAGCAGGCGGCAGTTGGGATATTTTCAGTGCAAAGGTTAGCACTGAATACACCCTTTCCGAGGAAATTACGGACACCGTCAGCAGCGTCTCAAGGATGAGACCAGGGAGGTAGTTAAAGAGAGTGGGATCGAGAAAACCGTCTGTGAGTGGTTAATGGTATACCTCTTTTCCTATTAATGATACCTACTAACAACACTATTCTTTACCAGACACCGTTGGGCCAAAGGGCCGAATTATAGCTTACCAGATGCACTTTGTCGGTCCGGGTATTTCAGTAGCATCGAAGCAAGTCATAACTCGCCCTGAACCAGATCCAGAGTTTGAAGAGAAATTGGCAGTGCAGATTGACTGTGAATTGAGGGCACACAAATTCCTTCAAGGTATCAAGGTATATTGATGAACCCTTGTTCCTACACTGAATTTAAGAGCTTACCAATATATAATACAAAAAGATTGTTTATGGTCGATTGGAGCAGAATCAACCCGATGATATCATTCCTGTGATCAACAACGATAGCCCGAATATCAATTATGGCTTTGAAGATGCGGAGTATGTAAAGATTTATTAATTGATTTTTCATTTGGTACTAATTCTTTCTTTCAGTTTTGTGTGGCTTGTTCCTGAGTGGGGAAAAAAGGCGTCCGATTCAGAGACCTGTACTGATCTTCGCTGCCGTCAAAGTGAGGAGAGTACACCGAATGGTCTGGACCTCGCCTCTGGTGCAGGTGGGACATACCGGTATCTGCAGATCGGAAGAAATCCCAATGTCAGGGATAAGATTGTTGATATCCGGATGATTCGTTCGAAAATTGAAATCACAGGAAAGAGTCTAACGGACCTGGGTTATGATGGAATCAGTAATGATTTCAATGCCGACCGCGGTCATGACTATCTCTACCTTATCTGGAAGACTATCACGCTCGATAACACTGTGTTGAGTTGAAGATCAGGCGTTCATCCACCTGGTTTAGCCTGGTTTAGTGCCTTGATTATTTTGGAATTACTCTCATTCTTATGTTTTTTTTATATATTATCAATCCATATCAATTGCGACCAAAGGAGGCCTGCTGAAGTACTTGCAAGTGATTGCTTTCTACAGGCCTTTCTCCCAAAAATCTAGAACTGCCATATAAAACCGGCTCTATCTCAATACCTTGAAAGTAGTACTCGAAGAGGAGAAGCTAATAAACTCGAAAATACACGATATCTTTAGTTGATATTCACGCTGGTAGGGAATAGAGCAGGCTTTCTAGTGCTTTCCAAATAAAAGAAATACCCTATCATATTCTACCGGCTAAGCCTTGATATACATAAGAGACTTAAATGTTAAAACGACTTAAAGATCATCAAATTCTGGGTACAAAATATATGTTCGACAAGAGGCGACCTCGGGAGTTGGAAGTTACCCCACACTTTCTTATCTCTCCCGAGAAATACGATCGGCACTGAGATCCCCTGTCTTACCTTCTTCTGACCTCCTCGAACCAAATATGCCGCCAGACCGACATGTGCAGCGAATCGTCCGAGTAAGAACTGGTTGTTTGACCTGCAGGCGTCGTAAGAAGAAATGCGACGAGGCACGTCCAATATGTGCTGGCTGTCAGCGCAATGACCTGGGCTGCCAGTGGCCCCAGACTGTGCCTGGAAAGAGAAATTCCAGCCATGGCGACGAAGCTCAAGTATCTACGACAGATGAATACCGACCGAATATTTTCGATGTCATTGAGCAGGCCAATGAAATGGCGATGCCTGGGAGTCCATTATCGCAACGAGCACCATCTATTTCATCGAGTGCAGGGCACTCAGTGATTAATGGAGATCAGTCTGAAGACACAACGCTGCATGACGAAACCCATAACCAGCGACGACTGTCAACAGATACCACTTCTACCACTATCAGTGATGCTCTTGTCACATCTGTCTCAATAGGAAACGTGCCGCCACGCAGCCTATCCCTGATGCCTGGTTATGATGCCGAGTCCTATCAGCTTCTCAGTCATTACCTGGCCACAACAGCCGACTGCATGGCAAATGGCTCTACACCTGTCAACCCCTTTCTGGTACAAATTGTACCCCTGGCATTTTCTAGTGACTTGCTATTGCAGCTGGTAATTACTCAAAGCGCCGCTCACCGCGCGTTTCGATCACGGGATGAAACAGATACAATTGCCCACAATCACTACACAAAAGCCCTCCAGCATTTCCGCCGTGGAGTAACGGATTTTCTAGACGGGAAAGAATCAAACCCTCTCATGCTCCTAGTGGGGGCACTTCTGATGTGTTTTACCGAGGTAGGAAGTCCATGATCCAAAGATGATGGGTTCAATAATCTTACAAAATCAGACTGCCAAGGGTGATATGAATGGGACAATATTCGACCATTTATCCGCTGCAAATTCGCTTTTAGTCAAATTGCTTGCCCAGAGCGACTCGGCAGTTCCACGAGACTTGAAAGATTTCGTCATCGAATACTACACCTATACTGCGACCGTCAGCATGATCTCAATAGATGCTCGCTTTAGCGGCCAGCTTTTCTTGAACTTGGATCTCGAACAAAGATCACGCGAATTACTTCAGACCCAGTATGTGGGCAATTTGTGCGGTTGCTGGCTGGAACTGTTGCTGCTGATCCCGTGCATCTTCGATCTCGGCCGACAGTGGGTCATGGACGATACGCAGGTGGTCGTTCCAACAGCTGATGATATCGCCATGTTTGCATCCATTCAATCCCAGATTCTGCGCTGGTCGCCTTATGCCAATGTTGGGAGGGAGGTCCATCTGGCTGGGCTGATATTCCAAGAATCCATACTCATATATCTCTACACCTCACTAGGTGGTTTCCAATACACCAGGGATGGAATGTATAAAGGCATGGTGGAAAATGCAGTGACAGAAGCCATGTCGTACCTAGGTGAGCTGTCACCCAGTGCGCGCATCAACTCCGGCCTCTGTTGGCCGATCGCTGTGGTGGGCTCATGCCTTCTCAATGCCGACCAACAGGACTGCCTACGAGGACGACTGAATGCCATGACCCAAAAGTTTGGCCTTGGGAATATGCATCGAACGCTTCTACTCCTCGAAGCAATGTGGCAATCACCTGCGTCAGAAGCCGGGCCATGGAATATTTGCCGAGCAATGCAGCAAAATCAAATATGGATCTCATTTGCGTGATACTGTCGTCATTCTGTTATTCATATTACAAACTACCCAAGTCGCCATTCCTCATGCCGCCAAGTTCTTTGGTGCTTCTGTCGCCGGACCCTCAGGCGTAACATATGCCTTTGTCAAGCCACCATCAACGACGAAGTCAGTAGCATTCACGAAGCTGCTCTCGTCGCTAGCAAGGAAGATCACCGCGTGGGCCTGTTCAATTGCCTCGCCAAACCGACCGCTAGGGAAATGCACCTCGCGACGGAAACGCTTTTCCTTATCATCACCAAGCCAATCCTGCAACAGAGGCGTGCTATTTGAATGTCAGTTCCGTCAAAGGCTTGAACGAGGAAGGGAAAAACCATCAACATACTTGAGAGGTGCAGGGCAAAGCGAGTTGAATCGGAACCCCTCGCGGGCGTGGACAATACCCAGCTCCCGGGTCATTGCCAATACAGCACCCTTGCTAGCGGTATATGCCAACTGTGGTGTCGCAGCCCCAACCAGTGCAACCATACTAGCAGTATTAATTACGCTAGCGCGCTTCTTTCCATGCCTCCGGAATGCCCGTACAGCATGCTTCGAGCCGTACCACACACCCTTAACATTGATATTCATTGTGCGATCCCAGATATCCTCTGGACACTCTTCTGAATCTCCGTCCTTGGGGTGCATGATTCCAGCATTATTGAAGATGATATCAAGTCCACCCCAGGCGTCGAGATGAGCGACAGCTGCTTCGATTTGGGACTCGTTCGACACATCGACAACTTTAGTTTCGACTTTTCCGGTGCGGGCTGAGGCGGGCACGACACTGTTCACCTTGGACAGGGCTTTGTCCAGGCCTTCGTTACTAATGTCGGCCATTAGGACAGAGGCGCCTTCGCGGAGCATGAGGATTGTAGTTTCGAGGCCGATACCTCTGTTTTTTGTTAGTTGTGTTCTTCATTCTTTGGTTTGTCATAGGTGGATATAGGTGCATACCCAGCTGCACCGGTGACGATGGCATTCTTGCCTTCAAGACGCCCGACCATTTTGGTATAGTGTAGATGTATGTGATATGATGGAAGAAGCTAGGGAGAATGAAAAAGAAAGTGTCCTCGTGCTGAATGAGTATTTGACAAGAATGAATAGGAAAAATAACTACGGAGGGCAGACGCCTCGGTAATGACTTGAATTTATACCATTTCTGATCTTTGTGCTCCATACCGGCGCAGTTCCCACCGATATCGAACCCACATGGTGGATTAAACCCAACAGACGAATTAACGCGCTATATTCCTTTTTTCCCTTCTTCAAATCATCTAAATCCAAACTGGATCAGTTCAAAGCTCGCGCTCCTACTACCCCGCCCCACGGCGCGGTGAGCTCAACGCGTGGGGCATGAGGGGTAGCTATTAGGTAGATCTTGAACCATTCAGGTGCATGAAGCATTTTCCGATCGTACGGTTGACTATCGTTGACTGTCTTTAGTGGGGTCTCGGGGTCAAGGCATCGCGGTCCGGGACCGCGCTATTGTGGGGCTTGGATGAGCTTCAATATTTTGAAGAGTACTCCGTAATGCAGACATATGTGGATAATCACAAGATCATCTTGTTACTTCTAGTTACAAATCTTATGGGCTGGTTATGGATGGCTCTTGTCTTCATGGTTCTGAGCTAAGGGTTGAAGGAGACGTGCTCAGATAGTTGAATGAATAACAGTATTGAGATTTGAAGTATTTCAGGTTATCAAACTATTTAATCATCTTCGAATCTATCTGCTCATGCGGAGCCGTCCTTGATGTGGTAGCTCTTCAGCTTCACGAATCCATCGTATCCCCGTGGGCCAAGGGTACATCCCAAACCTGATGACTTCCAGCCTGTCCAGGCAAGGTCCTAACGTCCAATATTAACATTAGTGAACTTATGCGACTTGGTAAACAGAATAACTTACCGGGCTTGGATAGTCACAGCGATTAATGAACACCGTACCGGCTTCAACGCGATCAATCAACTCCTCCCCACGGGTGATATCCTTTGTCCAGACGCTCGCCGTCAGACCATAGTCACTGTCATTCATCAATATGATAGCTTCGTCGTCGCTAGAGACCTTCATGATTGGCATCACAGGACCAAAAGTCTCCTCCTTCATCGTAGCCATAGTATGGTTGACATTGGTCAGAACGATTGGTGAGACAAAGTTACCTTTTTGAATCTGAGGGTTGCTAGTCACCTCAAAGCTTCGGTTCTGGGGAGTGGAGTTGATAGCTCCTTTAGCAATCGCATCATTGACGTGAGCTGTGATCTTCTCCGCGGCCTGCGCTGAGATAACAGGGCCTGTGGTTGTGCTTTGATCATGCGGATCACCAAGTTTGTACCTGATTTGAATGTCAGAGAGATATTATCTTTTGAATGTGATCAGCCTCACGATTTAAGCTCCTCTTGCACAGCACAAACAAAGTCCTCGTAAATATTCTCATGCACGTATACTCGCTCTATGGAACAGCAACTCTGTCCAGAGTTGAAAACGGCCCCATCCACGAGTTGCTCTGCGACGTGCTTCACGTCGACATCTGGCCGAACATATGCGGGATCCTTTCCACCAAGCTCGAGGTTGAGGGGCTTGATGTGATGAGCGGTTGCCTCTCTGAGTCTGACCCCACCAGCAGTTGATCCGGTAAACGAGACAGACTGAATCTCGGGAATCTGTGCCACCTGATCCAAAACATCTAGGTTTCCAATATGAATGACCTGAAGGACCTGTGGTGGAAGTCCTGCCTCATTAAAGACTTCGAGCAGTCTATTTCCAAATAGCGGGGTCTGCGGCGAAGGGCGAAGGATAACACTGTTACCAGCAATAAGTGCCGGGACAAGAGCATTGACAGTAGTCAGGTAAGGATACTATCATATTTATGAGCAAGTCTCAGGATACTTTAACAGTGTTCACTCACATTCCAAGCACCCACAATAAGCACCGGTCCCACGGGGACACGCTTGACAGTTCGCCGGAAGCCAGCTTCTGGCCGACCAGGAAGATCGGAAAGGCTCTCTTCGGCAATATCCATCAAGTACTCGGCGCGGAGACGCATCGTATTGACCTCTGATGCACAGTACCGGATCGGTCGGCCCATTTGCGTGGTCAGTTCCCGGGCCAGATCATCGCGGCGCTGCTCAATAATATCCAATGCTCGTTTCACAATGCTTTTTCGCTTCTCCAGTGAGCTTGTTCTGTAGGACTCAAAGGCTTGCTTTGAAGAAGCAGCAACTTTGATAGCTTCTTCGAGTGAAATGCCAGGCTGGTCAAAAATGACCTCGTGGGTTGAAGGACAGATGGTACGAATTTGGTTTGACATATCGTAGGTTGCGTATTTGATCTGGGAAAAGGAATCGGATACCGAAGGTGGGAGAGGTAGACTTTATAGCGCGGAGCCGATGGCGCGGTTGCAGATCTGGTAGCTCTTTTCTTTTTTTTTTTTCCTTTAAAAAAAAAAAACAATTTTATTGTTTGTATTTCAACATCCTAATGCATAAAAATAGCACTTTATTTCTTATCTACCTGAACTACTCAATCTTCGCATCCAATATGAATCTTGCAATCGCTTTTGCTATCAACCACCCATCATGGGAATCACCCACTCGCGATAAACCATCCTTGTACAGTTTATTATCAAATATCCCATTATCGTGTCTGGCTTCGAGCAGGCATGACATGATACCTTCATTATATTCCGGGTGTCCTTGTATCGACAGCACTCGTTTAGCCACGTACAGACCCTGAACTTCACATTTTGGACTTGTAGCGAGGTTCGTGCAAATGGCCGGGGTATCGAAGACAATATCGCGGTGCATTTGCTGGATACTCTGTAATCAATCAGAATCCCGTTCAATCGGGTTTGCTCGCGTGTTTTCTTTTTTTCACTTGCCAGTGTATCCCTTCCAAACAGTTTCTTCCCGGCCTCAGTCAGAGTGAGCTTCTCAACAGAAACCTCCCATCCAGCTTCATTTCTCCCAACTTGTGCTCCCAGCGCCCGAGCAATAATCTGATGCCCGAAACAAATCCCAATCACGGGCTTCTTGTGTGTCAAAACAGTCTCACGAATGTTGCTTGTGAGGTCACAGATCCATTGATCATCAGACCAGGCATCGTGTTCTACGAAGTAATATCAGTTGCCTCATTCGGGTATTGAAATGGATGGTAACGTACTACTTCCAGTCAGAAGAACGGCATCGACATTCTCTAGATCAAGAAATTGGTTATTGTCCACCATGGAATATTCACTAAATTCAACCGTGATATCTTTGAACTCCTCGGATAGTTCCAAGTCTTTGAAGGCCTGCCTCAAAAGGTCTTGAAATATTGTGAAGTAGTCGCCATACTTCCTGAGAACAGGCTGTATTGGCGTGTCACACACAAGGATGGCGACATGAATGCGATTGCAGGTCATTCTAGAGATGTGTATTTCCGCTTTTAGTTTACAATGGGCAATGAACCGGGCTATTATGACATTTTGATCTCGAATTCTTCCACACGAGAATAAGCGCGCTGTCTACCCGTAGACTGTGGAACCCCCACAGCGCGGAGCGCGGAGCATCTCCGTGAGACCGATAGCTTCACCGATGACATCGATTGTCTTGTAAACAAATCGCGCGCTATTGTCTCAACGCGGGATTATTTTTGACCTGATATGCGGTGCGCTATTAATGTTGACCACATGTTGGACCCGCAACCTCACAGCCCGCTACGCAATTGTATAAAGCCACAGGGGCCACCAAAATGTCTCTCTCAATTCAAACCCTTGGACTCGATTGGTCCTGCTATTGTTGAAACCTTTTCAGAATGACTACACCCACTATGATCACTGCCGAATCACTGCCCAACCTTCTCGCCAACGACATCAAGGTCAAGGTCGCCGGTGTCGATAGCGATGGCGTCCTCCGTGGCAAGGTCATGGCAAAGGAGAAGTTCCTTGGAATTGCAGAGAAGGGATTCGGCTTCAGCTCAGCTCTTTTTGGTTGGGATATGCATGATATGCTATGGACAACCGAGGCAAGGGTCGCCCCTCCGGAATCAGGATACGCAGACTTCCTGGCTGTGATAGATCTAAACACGTTCCGCCGTCTGCCGTGGGAAGAAAACATTCCTTTCTTTCTTGTACGATTCCTTGATGATACACGGCCGGTTTCAGCGGATGGGAGAAGTATGTTGAGGAGTCTGTGTGATAAGCTTGCAGGAGAGGGACTTCGTGCTTTAGCTGGAGGTAAGTTACGGGAACATACAGCGAGAGAAGCTCAAAGGCTGATAATATCTAGTCGAACTCGAATTTATGAACTTCCAGACTCCATCCGAAGACGGATACGGCAGTGCAGGCTCTCAGCATCCCAACCTCGCTACGTTCCTAGAAAAGAATGCCCCTAGTGCCCTGCGACCAATTACAGCTGGCATGTTCTGCTATAGCTCAACGCGACCGGTTGCCAACAAGAAGTACTTCTACGATATTTTCAATACCAGCGCGCAGATCAACTGCGGCATTGAAGGATGGCACACGGAGGGCGGGCCCGGTGTGTATGAAGCAGTATGTCAACCATCCTAGGTCATTTGAACCGTTCTGATCCTTTTTATAGGCTTTGATGGTTTCGGAAATTAGCGAAATGGCAGACAAAGTCGCGTTATTCAAGTGAGTTCCTCGGATACCGCGAGTCTTCTGTTGCTTAGAGAACTAAGAAGTCGACAGACTTTTGACCAAATCCCTGGGGGTTGACCACGGCATTACACCATGCTTCATGGCTAAGCCCATGCAAGGTATGCCAGGCAGCTCCGGACACATCCACATCTCACTTGCCGACAGCGATGGGAAGAACTTGTTTGCAAGAGACACACCCGAGGAAAACCCTCAATGGTCGGACATTGCACACCTCTCCGACACAGGGCGTCATTTCCTTGCCGGGCTTCTAGAAGCTCTACCAGATATCATGCCACTGTTTGCGCCGACTGTGAACTCATATAAGCGCCTCATTGAGAACTACTGGGCACCAGTGCACATTAGCTGGGGACTCGAGGACCGGATTGCCTCAATCCGTCTCATCACACCACCAGTATGCAAGCCAGGTGCCACGCGTATGGAAATCCGCATTCCTGGGGCTGATCTACATCCCCATTATGCACTGAGTGTCATCCTTGCAGCGGGCTGGAGGGGTGTACAAAAGAAGCTTGAGATCAAGGTTCCGCCCATGTCCGCACGCATGCCGGGGGATCGTCCAGAGCTTTTGCCCAATACCCTAGACAAGGCGTTAGACCGTTTCTCGGCCCCAGGAAGCATTGCACGGGAGATTCTGAGCTCTGAGTTCGTAGATTTCTTCACAGCCACCAGACAGCACGAATTGGGTCTTTGGAGAGAGGCTGTGACTGATTGGTAAGTCGAAAGTATTGTGCCTATAAACGCAAGACTAACTTGGTTATAGGGAGTTCAAGCGATATATCGAAATAGTGTAAATTTGTAAATTATTGTTGCATGTCGCAAAGCAAATTGACTTCATCGGGTATTCATCTACATATGGAGACATGCCACATGTAGTGAACCCTCTTACCTATGACTTGATATATATTGTTCCCGTATATTTTATCGCTCTAAATTAGTGTCTGGATCCCATTTGGTCAAGTGACTGCGTCAAACCCTCAACAATACTGCGTAAGAACATTTTGGTTCTCTTCTCTTTCCCTCGTTTTTCCATATTTTTTTATTCTCTCCATTGATTTCTTATTTGGCTTTTTATAGCAATCCGTACATTCAAATATCTCTGTGAAAAGGATTCCCCTGGAAAAGTCTCATGCATCCAGGTTATTCAGAGGGTATAGATACCCGGCGGGCAGGAATGCGCTAAGACTTTTAGGCTTCAGGGTACCTTGAGGCCGCCCACGTGATGATCGGCAGAAACACTGGGGCTCGTCCGGGGGGTTGATAGCCCCCCAGCCTCAACTTACATGCACATAGCCAACCATCAATTCATAAAGGCATTCTGTTCGCAAAGCCACTGCGATGGCTTCGAACCTTCCTCTTCCTCTGCCGCCGCGCACCCCCACTCCGCCGGCGGATGACGAATATGTCTCTCAGATCAACTCAGGGATCCCCATCGATCGCAATTCCCTATCGCCGCTCAAGGCTTCATTTCCCAAGGGCATCATGGATGCCGAAAGCAGAGATATACTGAGCCCAACAAAGACCTCTTTCAACCTAGCAACCTCACCTGAAAATGCAGAGACACCGATCGAGAATGGCCTTAGCGACACGACCCCTGCGGGGCCATTCAATTTTAATACTACTGTTATGGCGAAGAGCCCAGTGGTCAAATCGGTGGGTTGAATTGCGCCGACGACCTGTGATGGCGGTGATGCTAACTTATTTCCTCGTGTTCCAGAACATGGGACAACGTCGTGGCCACAAGTACAAACACAGTAGCATCTCGCACCAGATCTTCCTCGAACCTCCTCCTCGCGCCCCTCTAGCCCTTCCAAACTCTCTCCCCATGCCCACACTGAAAGAATGCCGATCTAGCATGTCGAAGGACCAAAAGACCCGCTTCTGGTGGAGTCTATGTCACATGTTCATTGCGGCATACACACTCTGGACCGCACATGGATCCCTCGCAATGACAGCATTGTCGCATCTGATTCTATTTGATTCACTTGGTGCTCTCTTGTGTGTTGCAGTTGATGTTCTTGGCAATTTTGAAGTCTGGAAACGATCGACTATCCGCCACCCGTTCGGCCTTGAACGTGCAGAAGTTCTAGCCGGGTTTGCAATGGCTGTGCTTCTTTTGTTTATGGGTATGGATCTTATCTCCCACAATCTGCAACATTTCCTCGAGAAGGCTGGTCATGAGCCTCATCGCGAGCACGAACATGATCGGGTTTCTCTGGGTAGTGTGGATGTGACTGCGGTTCTAGCTATTTCATCGACGCTTGTTTCGGCAATTGGTCTCAAGAACCATGCTCGAATTGGGAAGGCTATGCGGTTTGGGTACATCCAATCCCTCCCATCGGTATTGAGCAACCCGTCTCACTTCCTCACCCTATCTTGTTCAACTCTGCTGCTGCTTTTACCTCTGGTCTCAATCCGAATCTATGATTGGCTCGATAAGCTCCTGTCTGGAACCATTGCCTTCTCAATGTGCTTCCTAGGAACTCGATTGGTGAAGACTTTAGGTTCCATGCTTCTCATGTCCTACTCCGGTCAAGGAGTTTCCGATGTCATCAAGGATATTGAAGCCGACCCTTCTGTGTTCGGCATTGATGACGCTCGATTCTGGCAAGTCCATTATGGGCTATGTATGGCGAAGCTCAAGCTCCGAGTCACTGGTTCTGATGATAATCTTATCCGGTTACGGGAGAAGATATCCAGCTTGATTCGCAACAGGTTGGGTGGTGGATATGGCACCGGAAGTCAAAGATGGGAGGTATCTTTGCAGTTCACGATTGAGCGTGCATGATCTCTTCAATTCGATATTGGGCTATGCATATATGTCTTATTCTACGGGATACCCCTGTATATTATAACGTCTACCTCATAGCAAGCATAAGACCGAAGAAGTCTGTAGTCTCATTGCTTACCGGTTTAGTACTGCTCCTTTTTTCTACTACCTACTATGTACATGAAGTCCAGAAACACATGGCGTTTTGGAGTTGGGTTATGGATGGGTTACTTCGTGTCGAAAAGCATCAGATGATTGTGGTTTCTGGATGGTAGGCAATATTATGGTATGCAGTATCATCTCATGGGGACTGTAGCCCAGGTAGTACTCGGTAATATATATCATGGAGACATCCATGAATTCCAACCAAGTAAAAATACATAAGAAAGTACAGACGATAAAAGAATGTATCGCCAATCCAGGGCCTCCATAGAACCCAACGTGGCAATCCCGACAGTAATCATTGCATAAACATTTATGCATCCTAGGGGAACCCCTCGCAAGCCAGCTTGAAGGAGACAAAACCAGGGCTGAGGATGTCAGGGAGACACTGGCCCTCAATCAAGGGGTTGTAGCTGTACTGGAAAGGCTGGAAGTGCACAGGCCTGCCAGAGCAGTTCTCATTGTTCCAGACGGTCAGGCCGTAGCAGAAGGCAGTATCCTTGGTGGCCATGTGGACATTGAGAGAAAAGTTGTCAATGGTCCAGTCACGGTTGACGGGGGCCCTGTCGCAAGTCACAGGATTGACGCTTGCTTCAACAGTGTACTTGGGCTCGCCGAGTGTAGGATGGCCAACGCTGCATCCCTCCCAGGACAGAAGACTGACCCTGGCAACGGGGAAACCGGCATAAACGGTCATGGCCAAGGTGGCCGCGGTGGCAAGGGACTGGGTTGTGTTGGCAAGCGGTATAGATCGGAGTGTAGATATAATATGGTGGGATTACCTTAGAGAAGTGCATATTTGTTAAGGATTGTGGTTTTTTTTAAGACAAACGAAAGTGATTATCCGGTTAGGAAAGGCGTTAAAGAGAGTGACGATGGGGTATCGTGTGTCGGACTGAAGAAAATAATTAGTATGAGGAATCTGACGAGGAACTGCCGTCTCATGGTATTTAAGTAGTGGCACCCTAGAAAGGATGGTCAGCAGTAAGCCTGTTCGGGCATATGGAATGTATTAATTTGAGTGAGGATTTGCATATGTAGTACTTAAAAAGGAGTGAAGGCACTGGGGGGAAGGGGAAAAGGGTTGGAATGCTTGTGTGAGATCAAAACAGTTGATCTCCAGGAATGAGGCACAGGATCAAACCAAATGATATCTCTGGGTTAATTATAACATTGTGCCACTATTCGCCGGTTTCCATATAATCATTGAGCTTGACTGGTATCTGTACAAACCCAGGGTCTCCTCAGCAAACCAGATATATAATTCCTTGAGCACAAGCCTCAACTCCCGAACGGTCTAGTAATAAGGGGACAAACTTGAAATATGAGAATCAAATTAAGACCAACACTTGTGAGAAACAACCATACTGCAACTCCGAAGATACTTCAAACGAGTAGTTATTCTGTCTGCGGGAAATATTCATACTCGTAGAGCTGCGGCGTAGTCTTGTAGTCATTTTCCAGACTGCCCTTGTCGTTTCAAGGGCCTTTACATCCGTCCAGGACCTCCAGGGCTGTCTTTCGTGACTTGAATAAGCTTATCCCGGATTGTTGGGCCCATATGGGGAACTCCATGCCAGAGCAGCTTGGCCGTTTTATTGCCCCAGGTCAGCCCTTCTTCTGCCCATTTAGTGTTGGCTTGCACTTCAAGTGTAAACCCGGCTTTGGTCTCTGGCCAGGACCAGTTCCGAAATATGTGATCAACCATATAGATTTGTCTATTGCGCGACTAGTATGGGGCAAGGGAGGACCTAATCGTCGGCACCTATGTTAATATGTTGCGAACAAACATGTTCTTGCGAGAATTCCAAGGGATCAGGGGTATTGCTCAAAATCGTCGATCATCAGCCTTCCTTGGAAGGTCAGATGAAATATTATAAATGGATCTGATTTAGCCGGATGAACAATCACCCCCGGCACTTCACAATAGGGAATCTTTTTTATTTGATTCACTTCAAACCCCCTTGGGAAGATAATTGGGGGTCAGGTACCACGTGGAATATAATGTTGGGGCAACCCCAAATTTCAGACTCCCCGTTCTGGCAAACCGTCCGACAAACTTGCTCAACCCCGAAACTGAGTTTGAAACATTTTCAACACTAATGAATGATACATCCAATCATCCTATGTTATATATTTTGTATGCGGATTCTAATTCAATTAGCTCGGCACTTATCAAGAACTCTTTTTCAGATTCTGACCCACTACTGTGCGTTACTGCTCGATCAGGTATCAAAATCCGTATAAGGCAGAACATGAAACAGCTTTTTGGTTAGAAAATGGTACCAACGTTTCATTGGGATGCCTACTTTTTCGAGCCCGAAGCATACCCACTGAACAGATATAAGATCAGGCTAGTAACTGTCTGAACAATATTCACCAAGGAAACTAGAAACCGCGCTTTTGCTTGCTATTCCCTCTTTTGCCCCCATCATGAAGTTCTCTCTTCTCGCCTTGGCTCTGGCATCTGCCGCCTTTGCAAGCCCTATGGATATCGATGCTCGCGCTCGTAAGTTCAGGCTCTCTGCGGATATCACAGATTAACTAACATATAGGTTCTATTTAGTTTCCGGGGGCAATGAATTGCGCGACGGTGACTGTAAGGATATTACCTTCATCTTTGCCCGTGCCAGTACCGAGACTGGACTTATGGTATGCTTCTACTGTCTCTTTCAAACCTATGGAAATACTAACACATCCAAATGACAGGGTAATTCCGTCGGACCCGCTGTCTGCAACGACCTGAAGACGTCGAAACCAGGCAAGGTTGCTTGCCAGGGTGTTGGACCCAAGTACACTGCGGATCTGCCGTCGAATGCACTCCCTGATAACACCTCACCAGCCGCCATTGCTGAGGCCCAAGGTCTATTTGAGGAGGCTGTAAAGAAGTGCCCCGACACGCAGATCCTTGCTGGTGGCTATAGGTTTGTTTTTACATACAAAAAGAATAAAGTACAAACCATACTAATATGCAAAATACAGCCAGGGCACTGCTGTCATGGCCGGCTCAATCAAGAAGCTCTCCTCGGACGTTCAGGACAAGATCAAGGGAGTCGTTCTGTTCGGTTACACCCGTAACGCCCAGGAGAATGGCCAGATCCAGGGCTTTGACCAGGATAAGACCAAGGTCTACTGCGCCGTTGGAGATATGGTTTGCCACGGTACTCTTACCATCACTTCTGCCCACTTCACTTATGTTTCGGACGCTGGCGATGCTACTAAGTGGCTAGTGTCTAAGTTGGATTAAGAAGTTCGAGGTATGTCGAAGAATAACGACAATACCCATGTTGCTGGGGACACATGCCGTGTTGAAAATCTGTATCATCTCCACAACTCACATATTGAACTTTCGTAATGGAGATTAACGGGATCGTCGAGATGTCTGAGCAGATGATTTGGCGTTATCCGTTCTAGGGTCGTGTCTCCATCTATATTATAGTACATTTCTAATACAAGATCTAAGGATTTACCAGAGTCTCATCATCTAGTACATACTGCTACATATATAACTAGACAACTCCAAATTACCTTGTAAGAGTTCTTCTCATTACATGACAACTAAAAAATAGCCATGCAATTAGGCGGACTAGAAACTCCCCGAGAGCAGTTCAACGGACTACTCGAGATAAAGAAACTCCAGCGACCCAATCGTTTGCACGTTGCAGCCAGCTCATCCAAATCAAACATCTCCCCAATAGGAACACCCCACCCAGCCAGAATATGATGATGCAAATCAAACTCAGGGTTCAGAGCCGGGTAAACTTCGAAGCTAACAGCATCAGACGCAACAGCCGCAAAATGATTATCCCATATAAAGCGCAAAACCCGCTCACTCTGTTCGAGTCCAGCATGCTGCGGCATCCCCTGTTGACTATAAGCCACCCGCTCCTCGGCCGACATCCGCTCCCACGTCCCAGGCAAACCAACCCGCAAGAAAAAGACATCGCCCTTTTGGAATTTAATGTTGCATTCCCGCGCGATCTCCTGCACCTCGTCCAGTGAAATCATCTGTCGACTTAGTGCGTTCACACTAATGCCTTTCTTCTCCGCGTACGAGACGTAATCAATTAGCACACCACGCCCGGCAATTCCCTTCTTTGCCCAAAACCCGATGCCAATCCGTGACGAGTTCTCATCTAGAATTTCCTCTGCGGTCGTGCCGCCATAGAAAAGGCGCCGGTCTTTATCTTCTGGTGTTGGGGCTGGCGCATTGTGGTGCCGGAGGCCGTCCCACTGGGAAGATTGCTGTGGGTTGAAGTGATACTCGTCGTCGAAGGCGATACCCTCGGCGACCCATTGAACTCGATGCTCGAATGGCTTGCGGCCGAACCCTGGTTTCTCGAGTCGTGAGTCTCATGGTTAATTCATTAACTCGACGGTCAAGTGCCCTTATTTTACCTGGTGGGCTCAAATTCTCCATATTCCAGTTTAAGCATACCCGCTCGCCAGTTTGGATTTGTGTTCGTGCGGCTTGTGCAACTAGCTCGGGCGTTAGAAGGCGTAGCATTCCCAGCCCTTCATCTTCTGACCCTGCGGTCCCAGGCCAGAAGCGACGTTTGTCGGGGAGATCGTCGAATGTCTCTGGGAGATTGGGAATGCCGGACATAGTTTTAGGTGGAGGTGATCGGAGAGATAGATTAGCTGAACAACTTTTCAATAAGAACACGACTATGTGATTCGTGTAGTAGATCGACTATAAACCGAAGGTTATATATACCCCTCATATCGGAGGAAGTCCGGTTCACTTTTGACGTGGGTATGACCCCGCAATGAGAGCTCATTGCCAATTTGGTCGAATCGAACAGAAACAATACTCTTGTTCAAAGTTCAACGTTGAACCATTGAGATAGCAACAGATTATGTAGGTAATATAACAGTTCCGGTCAAGTCTTACCAGAAGAGATGCAAAAGTTGAAGTAAATGAACACTTTAACTTTGGATGGAGCACGCCCTATTTACTGCTACCTCGATGTTCCTCAATGCCAAGCCCCGTCGTTCCTTTCCAGCATGTGGTAATTGTAATTATTTGTTATTGCATCGTTCCAAGATTCTGCTTTCTGTTTCTGGAAGGCACGTTATCTCCACCCGGGAGTATACCCCCCCCCCCCTTTTCTTCTTCACTTTCTCCCATCTTCTTATCTCGTCCAAATTCATACTCCAGAACCCCCACTCTGCCCTCGATAATACCAATACCAACTCGTCCGAATAGAGCCACAGAAGCAAGTCGGATGCTCTGTTATACGTCAAGATATTGTAGTTGAGAGTCAAGGACTATGTAGTATGCATATAGAAAAGCTACAGAAAGTACAGTACAGGGTCGCCAGAAGAGCACAGCAGAAAAAATTACATGTCATCCAGGTCGTCATTAACGTTCGCGCCACCCTTTTGCATATCCGACATTTCATACTCTTCCTTTCGGTCTGATGATCCAGCACGCTCCCCAGCCGACATAGCAATGGCCTGGCGGCCAGTATCGGAGGATTCGAGGAACTCGCGCAGACGGCGCTTGCCTTCTACCAGAGCTTGCTGGGAGGCAGCCTCGGTCATCTTCAACATAGGACCCCATAGGTTGAGCTGATAGGTGATGTATGCTGCAATGGCACACACAAATAGCAGAATAAAGTAAGCCGGGTTGCGCAGGACTGGAAAGTACGTCAGCATAATACGAAAATGGAGGATCCATCAATAAAAACTTACCGGCCCAGATTTCATTCCAGCCTAGAGCCAGCAACAAACCGTAGAAATACAAGGGGACTTGTGTGATACCGCCGATAGCACTTCGCTTGGCTTCGACGTAGACACCGTCTGCGGTCTTCTTAAATCGTACAGTAAGCTCTTGGCGCTTCGTATCGCTAAGAATTGTCATCTCTTCTTCCAAACTCTTGCCCTCATGTTCGTCCACACCCCCGATGGGGGCCAGATCCTCCTCGTCCGCAGATGTTGCCGTGCTTGGAGTGTGTCCAATCCATCGGTCAAGCGGGGGTGGGGCAGTAGTCCTTTCCAGGCGGAAACGAGACAGAAGAGGAATCAGCGTCAAGGTAGATTCGCGGGCACGAGTGTAAATGCCATCTATGTCATCAGTTGGGCGCCAGATGCGTGGGACACCGGCTTCGTCATAGCGGAACTTGTCCTCAAAGTTCTCTCGAAGCTTAAGGAGCAAGTTGCCCTCGATCATCTCCTCTTCAATCTTGGCGCGGAGGACACCCCAAGACTTACGACGCAGTCGCCAAAGGCCAACATCGACCTCATCAATGCTAGCATCGAAGCTGCTCGCACGGTCCGTGAATCTCCGCTCAGCGTCAAGAACAGTCTCTTCAAACAAATTCCAGATCCGATCCCAGAAGTCCTTCTCAATGGGCTTCTCGCCGTTCTCGGGAGCACCGCCGCCAGCCCTTCCAGACCCGAGGGAATTGAACTCAAGGCCAACAGATTCACCCAGACGAGATTGAACCCACCGCTCGACGCGAGTGGCCAGCCGTCTCATTTCATCGCGGCGTAGTCGGGCACTAACCTCAGCCAATTCTTTCTTATACAAAGATAGCTCTTGCTTGTAGTTGCTCCAAGAAGTCCCGTCCACCATTGTGGAGCGGGCGACCTCCTCGAACTTTTCCAACGAAGCCTTCGCCTCCTTGCTAACAATTTCAGCAAAGTCGTAGCTACCACCCCTCTTCTGGCCATCTTTCACAGCAGCACTGACTGAATCGCTAAAGTCGCGGATTCCAGACTTGTGAGCTGCCGATAGCTGGCCGTGGAAAAGTGCCTTGAGACGCGTATCAACCTTGCCCTCAAGCTCAGCGCTTTTTCGTTGGTAAACACCCTTGTGGTATCGGCTGGCTTCCGTCTCAAAGTTCTTGAGGGCCTTGACGCGTGCAGCACGCATGGCAACACCAAGTCCTCCTAGAACCTCAGGGGAACCAACACGCACTGACTCGGCCTGCTTATCTTCAAATGCGATGATCGCCTCATCGAAGCCGATCATTACCTCGCGCAAAATTTCATCACAACGGAATTGCGCAAGCAACTCCTGCTGTGTGGGCAAATCTAAGTCCTTATTGTTGACGATTTGATCCCAAATCCCCTCTGCATAATGTGCGAAGCCATCTGCCGGGATACGGCGATGGTACTCAGGCAGGAAGACTCCTCCCTCGGAGAATTCGCCCTTGAGCGCATCCCTCTTTGGGTCTCGGTGGCCTTCGCGGAAACGCAGGCCAAGCTTCTTTGCCTCCGTCACAAACTGATCAGGCTGATAGCCCTTGTGCGGCAGTCCGTAGAATTGGAAGTCGAAGTAGTCGTGAATAGTCGACTTCTCCAAGCCCGCTGGTTTCGATATAGTGTCCCAGAGACGGGAAAGATCTTCCAATAATGTCTTCTGTAGGTTCTTGAGTGGTGTGTTACCGATGAAATCACGAATGACGAAGAACAGGAGGGACCGGTGCGTGGTACTGTAGAGAGATTAACACTATAGCGCATAGACAACAGGACGACCAAAGGATACATACTGTTTATCCTTTAGGAACAGCTGCAGGTTAACTTCAAACACGGTCTTCAACAGCCCCATGTTGGCTCCTTGGTACAATCCCACCTGGTGTTCCCAGATGTTGACAATGAGAACCTCACTCGTCGCAAGCGCAAAGAGCGCACTCTTGCGCTCGAAGTCCTGGTCCTCGCCTCTCTCGCGACCGTCAGTTCCCTCCACGTCCATAACCAAGATGTTATCAGCCATGCGCTCCTCCGCACCAGGTTCGCCCTGCTTCTTGTTATTCGACAGCCAGATACCCTTTGTCGTTTGCCTTCTCTCCAGCTCCGACATCACGGAGAACTGGGTGCCGAACAGGTGATTGAGCAGTGTGGACTTTCCGGTGGACTGTGAACCAAACACGGAGATGAGATGATAGTTGAAGCCAGCCGGCGTGACATTCTCAAGGGACAAATATTTGGATAGGTTGGGACTATAGTGATGTGATCAGCTTTGAAGCTTTATATAATTGGATGAACCATAGCAGAGGGGGGGTTTTGTACTTGAACTCCTTATTCTCATCAATCACCTGCACGCCATGCTCATAGGAGGCAGCATCCCCTTCGGCGCCAATCGAAGCAAAGTGGCCATTTGAGAGAATAGGCGGCGCAGTTGGACTCCTTTCCAACCCGGAGGGGCGTCGTTCAGTCATGTTTATCTTCCTCTGCTCTGTGTATGTCGGGGGAGGGGGGTGGTGAGGTGGTGAGGTGGCAACAGCGAGTTAAAAGAGCAAAGATATACTAGGATCTAGAGGACCATGTAACTGGAAAAAGCAACAGATTAATCAAACGCGAAAATAGGAAGAAGAGATCACACGGTCGTTCACGGGTTCATTGAGATGATCAAGTCCCGAGGTCGATGCTGGGGAAACCAGTCTTACATAAACCCCTTTAACCCCCCGGAGCCGACAACGTCACTTCTAGACCACTGTGGACTTCCGTTTCTTGTTTTTATTCTACATTTGATCAACAGAATATTGAGATATCATTTCTTATGCTACCTGATATCAACTAGCGGTGCCGTCCAGATATTAATCACGCTTCAGATGATAAAAATCGCATTCCTTTCGACAAAATATATATTGTCAACTGTTCTAATTTAGAGCATATACGGATTTCAAATAGTGAAATAAACCCACAAGAGTATCTAATTCATGGTGGTGGTACACCATCTGACCAGTTTAGATTCCAGCCCTGGTCAAGTCCGAGGTCAACACTGTGGTTTGGCCACATATACTGCCCAAAATCATCAAACAGTCCACTAAATGCGTTGAACTCCAGGGTGGCATATGGGTTTGTCACTGTTTCAGCTCTCGAAAGCAATGACTCGTCTGGATATCCAGGCATCGTAGGTGTAAGAGGAGCACCATTCAAGGAATCAGTGTTGGTGTTGGTACTTGGTCCACATTCAGGGTCAGACACTGGCGTTGTATAGAGCTGACTGGGGCATTGTGCCGAAGAAGAAGCCTCCGACCCATTCGTTCCTAATACTATCGATGGCTGCTCCTTGATTTTGTGGCGACCTTTGGAGAATTTGGTTCCTGCACTGACTGTGATAGTACCAAAATAGGGCACTGTGATTTTACAGCTCGATATGGAGCTCCAATCGGGCTTAAAATCTCTGGTATCGAAGATGGTGCCGAGGATGTTCGCAGACTCGGCAGCAACTGAGCCTCCAAGCTGTGTTGCTGCCAGACGAAGGGTCTCGATGACCTTCTTTACCATATCCCAGTCTTGTTCATCTTGATATTTACTGTGATCTGGGCTCTCATCGGAATAACCTTCCAGGTGTATTATCATAAGAAGACAGAGCGTGAACGCCATAAAGTCAATCATTTTGCACAAAGAGGGTTTGGCGATGGATCGGAGGGCCTTGTATAAACTGAGTCCTTCTCTTGCAGATTGGATTGCAATCGTGTGGCAAGGACGGAATTGAGGCTCATCGGGGGATTGCAGCATTAATGGGAGATGGAGAAGAGCACGCAGTAACTTGAGCATGAATTGCAACGGGACCCTCTCATTGTAGTGTTCCTGTTTCTCGTTTTGGCAGGGCTCTGCGGCTTGGTAGCGGCTTGGCATAGATGCCCAAGAATCCTGCAGCTCTTGATCCAGTTGTAATGTCGCTGCCAGAGTCATCTTGGAAGAGTCTTGGTTTCGATCAACCATATGCCCCGTGATAATGCCAATGCGCAACATGTATTCCTCGGGAGCTGATAGGTTTGACTTGAGGCGTTGCTCTGCCTGTGGCAAAAAGAATTGATCTGCGATACCATAAGGCAGGCCAAGAATCAAACTTAGGAATCGATCAGATGTTGCCAGGGAACACCATAATTTCAAGCGCCTTTCATATAGAGAATCCCTTGGCATTGGAACCTTAGTGGACAGATGCATTCCGGCTAGATGGGCAAACTCGATTGCCCGGCGGATGACCAGCCAAGCCTTCCGGAGCCGGCCATCAGTCAAGTGAGCCCTTTGGAGCAACATCTGGCATTCTATACCGGGCAAGGTAGCCGCGAAGTCGTCATCACGGACAATTAAACGGTCCACAATCTCAATGCATTTTGCATAGAACCTTTGAGGTTCAAATGGCACGATTAAAGCATTAAAGTCAAATGTAGACGGGGCATGGATCGCACTGATGCATAGGCACACGAGTGCCTTAGCGACTTCGGCAGGAGCCACTCGTGTATCGCGGCAATGTTCATTAAAAATGAGTCGGTCGACATCTCGATCGAACAACTCTGGGAAATTATCGTGCCACACGAACCAATAGAAGGACGCGTTCAATATATTATTCATATCCTCTGCGGGGGGAAGGAGAGAAATGAGTTCGGCGCGCACAGCTTCGGCCTTTGGCGACATGTCCTGAACACCGGCGAATTTATCATTATTCGATGAGTCCTTTTCATGGCTCACGAGATAGTTATCAAACAACTGTAGGACAGGCGCATTGCAAATCTGGTCACTGGACGGGCCAAGTTCGTCTGGCTCGGTAGCCAGTGGCCCTGAATTGGGTTGTACACTGTCCGCTGTATAATGGTATAATGTCAGTCACGCGGCATCAGTTCTCACGCATCCCGGATATACCAACATTGATTTGTCGCATCGTGCTCGCGAGGCCGAGCTCTAGATTCCTGTTGGTCTAGTCGCTTGGTTAACCCCTCTACAAGGTTCTCCAGGTGCGCAACACGCTCGCGGAGACTGTACGGTTGTTCGCCTAGTTGGGGGCTCCGCTGATAGCCGGATAATGGAGGGCTAATAACCATATGTTCTTGATCAACACATTTCGTACCTCTGGACCGACACTCATTACAGACTGCCGGGCGACTGGGATGAAATGTGCATCGAATCTTGCGTCGCCGACCTATAAGTGAAAGCTATTAGCGCATATATATAAAATTTATTACTTGACACATACACTCTGTGCAACTTCTGGTCCCCTTTCTCATCCTCTTCCGTGGTAGTTCCTGGTTTGCCGAGGATTCCATCTTAATCAGTGCAGTTGAGATTCAAGAATAAGACCATCCGCTGACGTTGTGTTGTTAGAGAAGTAGATCAAATCAGTGATGGAGGTTGTGCAGCATCGTCTTGTGGGCGAGGAAGATAACAGAACAAGGGGGCACAACAGCTTTAAACCTTCAAGATAGCCTAGAACTCAGATATAAATCCTACGTAATCTTAAACAAAAGAACAAAAAAAGGAGTCTAAGAGTCCACAGCTTGATCAGTTGGTGGTTCTCATAGATGTTCGTCCGTCAAGTTCGGCCGAGGTGGTACGATATTTCGTCCGGACCAATCAGATGCAATACGGGATTTCCGTTAAGTCCGTCGGAGTTTATACTATCAGACAGTGTTAAAGATATTTATTCTACCTGTTTTTTTTTTTTTTTTTTTTTTTTTCTATATCCCCTTTTAATACATCTCTATCCATCTTTTTCTTCATCAGTCTACCAAGCACCGAGAGGATGCAGATACTGTATCATATCCTAAAGATTTTTATTCTTCCTGTTTTTTTTTTTTTTTTTTTTTTTTTTCTATATCCCCTTGTAATACATCTCTATCCATCTTTATCTTCATCAGTCTACCAAGCACCGAGAGGATGCAGATACTGTATCATATCCGCTGCCTGTAGTTTATGGTAGTTCTGCCCAGGGTGGTAATGATTCCACCAAATGCACGAGGTGCCATTCTCATTGAAACAAGTGGCATTTGGAAATCCATATGTCTGAGGATCGTCCAAGATCTTTGGCATAAAGGACCAGGTATCGTAAAGAACGACAGTAGTCTATTATCAGGTCAGTTTAGTGAAAATAACTTAAAGAGGTCAACACGTACGTCGGTGTGACTTGACTTGAAGTCATTAATCATTGATTGAAGGCCACTGTTGTAAGCCTTCACCCACATAGCGTATAGTTTGACGGCTTCTGGTCCCTCTTTGATGATCATAGGACTCCGATCTGTAGGCGGGACATTGAGGAAAAGGAACTTCCGTCCGCCAGACGCATATATTTTCTCGACAAGACATCTGTACTGGGCCATTAATGTCGGCACAAGTACACTAGGTTGAGTGTCTTGATGACCCCAGCCGATACTATATATTGAAAACATTAGAACATAACCAGCAACAGGGTATTGAGGAGCAATACTCATTGATTCCAATCCAGAACCCAAACACCGCATTATTTGAGGACCACGGTGCAGATACAGGCTTCTTGCTATATGCTAACTCAAAGTCCCGGACTTGCGTTGTCACATCCTTGACCTTGGTATCGACAATAGTGTTGTCGATTGTCGCTCCTCCAACTGCGAAGTTGTAGCTGAGTACTGGCGAGGCATTATATGTGGTGGTCAGGTATCCGACCCAATTGGTACCACCACTCGTTGTACCGGTCCCTATTTGGCTTCATAAGTATTTTGATTAACCCTTACTTATTCAGATGAATAGCACTCACCTAGCGTCGGGTTTCCCATCGGGTTCGTGGTAGATGGCTGTGTGCCATCGACAGCGAACTCGGTCTGGGTGTATGAATCCCCGCTGTGTAGGTCATTAAGCTTCTGTCCGATGAATTAAGGCCAATTGGATATCTTACAATGTAAAAAAATAAGTTGGTACATCTTGAGATTCCAAGGGCGTGGCAACTACAGAACCAAGATCATCTCGCTGCTTCATGGTGGCATAGAATATCGCACTCTTTGAAAATAACAAAAATGCCAGGAAGGTCCGCTACATATACCTTGGCTTTTTCCTTATATATATATATATATAAATATATTGTAGGATCTGGTTCCTTTTATCCGGTATTGTTTGTGGAGCTTTCCCTAATCTATTTAATATAATCATAGGCTGCATTTCTCCATTTCCCCGGGTTGGCTGGTTTTTTGAAGTTATTACTGGGTAACTACAGAGTACACTAATGAACGTGAACTGCGTAAGCGAGCGTTTGATAACGTAGTGGGTTCAAGTTGATTGACCTCAATCTAGCCCTGTAGAAGGCGTGATAAGAAATTATACGTGGAACTAGATGAATGATCCCAACCCTCTGCTTATAATACATTCCAGTTCAAGATGCAAATCCTAGTAAAACTATCGGCTTGGCTATGGGAGAATTTTAAGGTAAGGGTTAAGACATCTGGAGGAACAAGGCTTGTATCCTTCTCAAGTTTTACCCCCGCACTTCGTATCGGAGGAGAGAAGTCCGACTAGATTTATACTAGTTTGGCGCTATTCGAGACGAGATTAATACATTGATATGAAAAGCAGTTGTGATTATAACTTAGCATTTTACCCATTCAAGGCGGATCTTGGTAGAGTCATGCTAACGTATCACCATATACTAAGTGCTACAGATGCCACTTCCATGTATAACTTTGCATATTGAACTAGCACTTCTCATAATACGGAATAGACCAAACACAGTTCACATTGTATTTCTTGAACGATAAGAGAACACTAAGTTTACAGTGTTCTTCGGCAAGGAACGAACTGTGATTTTCACGGAAGTAGAGGAAGATGGACGAGGCAGGCGTCGATGCGATTTCGATTAGGTATGTACCTAGATTCTAGATTCGTTCTTATATAATAGACCAATTGAGGCCAGTAGGATAACATACATTGACTTGCACATGGAATAAAATTATATATGAGCCTAGGAAGAATTTGATCTGAATACATTTTCACGAGAGTGGAGAAATGAAAGAAAATCCGACTACATCTCCAAGACAGTAGAGGTACATGAACAAGATTCAAGCGAAAACTCCGGTTTACCCCCGGATCCCTCGTGCTGATCGATGATTCCCGCGCTGTGGAATAAAAGGTGCCAAAACAAACAAGATGGTAAAGAAAAGGGGTTCATAATACAAGGGTCAGACATTTCGTCTGTCTGGCCATGGGTGTGAGCGGACCGTTTACTCGACGACACGGGTAATCAGACCAGTGGCGACGGTGCGGCCACCCTCACGGATGTTGAAGCGCTGACCGGGCTCGGCAGCAACAGGGTGGTGAGTCTTGAGGATCATCTCAACATTGTCGCCGGGTTGGACACGTCTGGCCATATCGCCATCGGGGAAGCTGAGATCACCAGCCTCATCTAGAGCATAGTTAGTATCCCTTCTATCGATTTGATACTATATTAGAGTGGCGGGAATCGAACTTACCAGCAGTACGGATGTAGACCTGGGGGCGGTAGTTGGCACCGAAACCAGTACGGCGACCACCCTCAGCCTCGGTCAAGACGTACATGGACACGAGGAACTTGTTGTTGGCCTTGGTGCTGTTAGGGGCAGCAACGACCATGCCGCGGCGGATGTCCTCACGGCGGACACCACGGAGCAGGAGACCGGAGTTGTCACCGGCACGGGACTCGTCACAGGACTTCTTGAAAGTCTCAATGTCGGTAACCTTGGTCTTGATGGGGTTGCCGGAGTCAGTGGCACCGACAATTTCAACCTCAGTATCCTTCTTCAGGAGACCACGCTCAACACGGCCAGAGACAACAGTACCACGACCCGGAATAGAGAAGACTTCCTCGACGGACATAAGGAAAGGCTTATCCATGTCACGCTCGGGGGTAGGGATCCAAGTGTCCACGGCCTTCATGAGCTTGTCAATCTGCTCAGTACCAATATCGGGGCGACGGTCCTCGAGGGCGCAGAGAGCAGAGCCGAAGACGATAGGAGTCTCCTCACCCTCGAATCCGTAGGAGGAAAGCAGCTCACGCATCTCGAGCTCGACGAGCTCAAGCATCTCGGGGTCCTCGACAGCGTCGACCTTGTTAACGAACACAACAATCTTCTGAACACCGACTTGACGGGCAAGTAGCAAGTGCTCACGGGTCTGGGGCCTATTGCGTGATTTGCGTCAGCACATTATTCAAACTGGCTTTCTAGATTTAGGGCCGTACATCTGACCATCGGAGGCAGCAACGACGACAATGGCACCATCCATGTTGGCGGCACCAGTAATCATGTTCTTAATGTAATCGGCGTGACCGGGGCAGTCGACGTGGGCGTAGTGACGGTCCTCAGTTGCAAACTCAATGTGGGCAGTCGAGATGGTGATACCACGCTTGCGCTCCTCAGGGGCCTTGTCAATGGAGGCATAGTCGAGGAAGTTGGCAAGACCCTTGGAGGCCTGGTGCTTGGTGATGGCGGCAGTCAGGGTAGTCTATGGGCGTAGGGGTTAAATTCGATCCTCGGATAGCGGAGACATCGGAACAAGTCGCGAATAGCTTACCTTGCCGTGATCGACGTGACCAATGGTACCTAAAAAATGGCTGTTAGCATGGATATGGGTGATGCGCCAGGGACAGGGTCTTACCAATGTTCACGTGGGGCTTGTTACGCTCGAAAGCAGTAGCCAATCCACGGCTGGCCACCTTGTTGCTGAAGACATGGTGGACGGGGTTGACGGTAGTCGGACGCAGCAGGGAGGACCGGCTGGTGCGCGCCAGAAGGTTCAATGAACGGGAGATGGACGACATCTTGGTTCAATCGAAACAAAAACGATGGAACAAGAACAAAAAGAAAGGATTGAACAGATGGAGTAAGGATGGAAGAGAAGAAACCCAGATCAACACCAAATTTTTTAGGTAGATGGCTTCCGGGATGAATGGATCCTCAGGGCAGGCTTAGTCATCAACCAATCACCGGGCCTCGAATTACGGATAGAATATGTTGTAGATGTTGAACATCGGAGATAAAACATCAATGTATTTATGTGTGTTGCTTGACGATCAGTGGCATTGTCTCAATTTGGAGGGTTTTAATGGTCGAAGCTCTCTAGCGCACTTGCAACTTGAAGTATGGAGTGACACTAGGTATCATGGTGTACGGATCCAACGCATTCATGTCCTTAGATCCTGAAATGGTTGAATAATCTAACAGTGATAACAAATAGCGCTAGTTATACAACTGTTGACATGTTATACAATTCGATGTGATATAATATACATGCGTAGTGCTGTCCTCTAGTTAATCTTCTGTGCAGTAATCCTAAGTTGCTTTCCCGGTTCTCCCTCCATTGCCTTGGTCTGAGTTCCACCAGCCTCTCTGATTGTGTCCAACACACTCTGCATGACCTGTTTGATCTCATCAACTGTGGGGTTGCGCTTGCGCTTTTTGGTGGTCAATAGGATTTCCACCCTGCGGCCTTTCTCCAAAAAGGTTGAGAGTTGCTTCAGGCGGTGTGACAGGTCATGGGCATCAATTGCCCAGTTGAGCTCAATTTGTTTGAATATAACCTTGGTCTCGCGAGCTGACTTTGCTTTGGCCTTTTCATGTGCTCGCACTTCTTTCTTATTGTATATCTTGCAAACTGGCGGGTTGTCATGGTCTCCTTCTTGCACCTGAAGAAGAAAGAACTCGGCATGGTCAAAGCTTTCAAGGACATCCTCTAGTCTGGTCGGAGGGTCGAGGTCGCCTTCATCATTCACAACTTGGACAAATGACGCACGGATCGCTTCGTTTATCGGGGGTTTCTCGACAGGTGGTCGATATTCGCGAAGCTTTAGACAACGGGATTGTTGGAAAAACCGACTCTGGGGGGCATTCTGAAGAAGCTTGAATGAAAGAATGCCAACTCTGGGAGTGCGAACGGATGCGGTGAATATTTGGCGGAGGACCTGGGTGGATGACAGGAGACCGCGTGTGTGGTTCATATTGTCAGCTGGGAGCTGGAACTGCAGTACGAGTCGTTGAGGGAAGGCAGGGTTCGCCAAGGAGGAGAAATATGGTGGGTTGCAACGATAAAATACAGAGGAGATTGAGTTGAACAGTTGATGATGGCCGCTAAATACGGGGAAGTCGAGTCCGGCTGAATGCAAACACGACAAACATGAACCACCTTGCTGGGCACGACTGTATCTACATACCAACCTTAGAAGCTTCGATGCTTCCGGCCAAATCATGATACTTATGTGCATATCAAGTAGTCTGGAATTACTGCCTAGCAAGAATATCCGGCATCCAACGCGGATTAAAAACCAGTCATCTTGACGTACGGTGAATAAACATTTCTCTCTCAGTCGGGGGAGTAGGGACATACTGCCCAGATGACTTTGAATAAATTGATCAATTATGTATTATAAGCTAGCAACGCAAGTTGCACTTTGTAGGACATTGAGACTTGGTAGACATAACTTTGTAGTTTTATATCATACATTCCTAACGTGCGCAGATTTTGGATGGTCTGGACAGAGTCCGGAGTACATCCATGCATGTATTCAACGCCACATCTGCGCCACAACCATGAAACCCTGAATCTCCTTTCCTCCTGACAATTTCCCTTTTTACATCCACCACTTTTTTTCTTCAAAGACTGGCTTGGTGTTTTTGGAGGACATTGGGATCAATGGTCGCTTATTTTTTTAATCCTTTCTCTTAACCTCGTACGATCGTTCACCCATTCTTTTGGCAGCGACAAACGCCACCTGTCACTACACCTTTATAATTCGACAACTGCTCGAATGTCGACTGGAGTCGACAAGGAAACCCATAACAGCAAATCTGACAACATACATTCATCCAGCCGTCACCGCTCCATCTCCCGTGGCAACATACCTGCTATCTCGCAGCCTATTCAGTCCAACCAAATTCCCGACAAACAACAACCCGTCAACATGGCGCAGACACAGAGATCGCGTTACTTGAAGACGGGGGCAATCATTGCCTTCATTTTCATGGTTTTGATGTGGCTTTCCCCATCCCAGCCGAGTGCTTCGAGTCTTACCAACGGTCGGTGTTCCCCTTGCGCGCTGCCGTTCGCAGAACTGATTATTTGCAGAGCAACCACCTTCAAATGGTGGCGCGTCCACTTCGAGAGTATGCACCAAGCCATTTGATTCCTCCAAGCCTCTTATTCAATACGCTCTTATGATCGATGCTGGTAGCACTGGATCCCGGATTCATGTATACCGATTCAACAACTGCGGCCCTACTCCAGAACTTGAGAACGAGGTGTTCGAACAAACGAAACCGAAGGAAGGAGGCTCCGGTCTCAGTTCTTTTAGAGAGGATGCTGAGGGTGCAGCCATGAGTCTAGACCCTCTTATGGATGTCGCTGTGAAGTCGGTTCCTGAAGAGTACAGATCGTGTTCTCCTGTTGCCGTCAAGGCCACCGCCGGACTTCGTCTTCTAGGTCCTGAAATGAGCGACAAGATTCTGGAAGCTGTTAGACACCGCCTGGAGACCGTCTACCCCTTCCCCGTTGTGTCCAAGGAGAAGGGCGGTGTCCAGATCATGGATGGTTCGGACGAAGGTGTCTACGCTTGGATTACAACGAACTACCTGTTGGGCAAGATCGGTGGCCCGGATGAGACTCCCACGGCTGCTATCTTTGATCTAGGTGGCGGTTCGACTCAGATCGTCTTCCAGCCTACCTTTGAGCAGAGCAAGGCTGGTGGTATGCCGGAGCACCTCGCCGCCGGTGACCACAAGTATGACCTTAACTTCGGTGGACGCCAATTCGAGCTGTACCAGCACTCCCATCTAGGATACGGTCTCATGTCCGCTCGTGAGGCCATGAACACCGTCGTCGTGGAGGCGATGCTAGCCCAGAGCCCCAAGGACCTGACCTGGGTTGAACAGCCCATCACTAACCCCTGCATTGGCCCTGGAATGAAGAAGAAAGTTACACTCAAATTCCCCGCTGACCATCCTCTGGGGCCTAAAGTCGAAGTGATCATGGTCGGCCCGAAGGACAAGTCTATGGCCGCCCAGTGCCGTGGTATCGCCGAGAAGATTCTGAAGAAGAACACCGACTGCAAGCTTGCGCCCTGCTCCTTCAACGGCGTGCACCAGCCCTCTCTCGCGAAGACTTTCGCCCGAGAGGACGTTTACATTTTCTCTTATTTCTTCGACCGCACCGCTCCTCTCGGCATGCCCGAATCTTTCACTCTGGATGAGCTTAGCCAGCTGACATCCACCGTTTGCGCTGGCGAGAGCGAGTGGAAGGGTTTCGAGGCCGTCAAGTTTGAGGGTGAGGATAATGCGCTCGTGCAACTTCGGGATCGTCCGGATTGGTGCATGGACCTCAGCTTCATGATGGGTCTGCTGCACACTGGTTACGAAATGCCCCTGTCCCGCGAGGTCAAGATCGCCAAGAAGATCAAGAACAACGAGCTGGGCTGGTGTCTTGGTGCGAGGTTAGTTCACCCCTTCCTATCTCTTTTTAATCAGTATACTGACCTGCTATAGCTTGCCTCTCCTGAGCCAGGAATCTGGCTGGACTTGCCGTATCAAGGAAGTGGTCTAAGCAACGAGACGGCGAAACGCAAAATTATCACTTTTTAATAACGTCATTCGATCATAGTGTGTGATGGGTTCATGCATATATAGAGATTCGCGATATGCTTGTGTTTTGTTTCACTATTTTCTTTTTCTTCCATGTCTCTTATCTAGACTTGATTTCTGACGAGGTGCATACATAGGGAATGAATGTATGGTTATTTTTTTCAATTGGTTTGCTGCCACCTGTGTAGGGGGAAAAACAAAGAATTCGACGCTAAATGATAACACGGAGCCCACGATATGCAAATAAATGTCAAGCCAGTAAATCGCCATGATTAAATCAAGACAACACATCCATCTTAACCAAATGTCATAATGGCACATCACCAAACTAAACAAGTGTTTACTGAGCCATCTCCTCGATTGATGGCTTATCGGTATGCGACTTCTTATTCTTGCCTCCCATAAGCTTCCCAATGATATCTGAGTCGTTCACCTCCTGGGGGGTCTTCCCAGCCCTAGTGGCACCCTTAGACTCTTCGCTATCACTCTCCTCATCACTCGAAGAATCACCATCGCGTTTCTCTTCTAGAACCCCAAGACCAAGATCCTAAAATCGATTAGCAAAGCCGATCGAAATCACCAAGCACAAGCAATAAACCTTACCATTTCAATATACTGCTCCCCATTTTCATCTGCATTATCGAGAACCAGATCCCCAGCCTTTCCAGCTTCAATCTGCCTCTGCAAATCCTCATTTGCATCCTTCATCTTCGGCAAGAAAGCGTTGAGCCGCGACAAAATTTCCGAATCAGCTTTCATGCGATGTATGCGCGGTTTCGGGCGGCCAGCGATGTGAGGTAGTGAAGAGGAGGGATCAGAGGAGTGAGCATTGGTGCTCGAATCTCCGGGATGATTCATTTCTTGGTCTGAATGTTGTTCGTCTTCACCTTCACTCTCGCTGTCATCATCCGAAGATGAGCCCGAGGAAGAGGTTGGATCGGAGTCGGATAATTGAACAGATCTGGCGCGCTGTCTATGGGATGCGGTGCGGTCTGTTAGGTTGAGGGATTGTAAAGAGGGATTGCTTCCAGCAGCCTCAGATCTTGTCGTTGCTTTGGACATGTTTTGGGTGTTCGGAAGTATGTGGTTTGCTGGGAGCCGCAGAGACTTTTGGAGGATTCTGATGTTGATGTGGGATATGAGGGTTAGAAGGGGTGCTGGTAAAATATAGCAAGGTTTTTTTATATGACTAAATGTGGTCTTAGTGTCCAATAGCCCGCAGGTTTTGTCTGTGTGTTGGAAAAGTGGAAGTTGGCGAGTCTGCTTGGAGGGCATTTTCAACTTTTTTCCAAGGTTGGGTGGAGAACTGATAACGGATAAGCTTATCGACTATCGATGGAAGGTCCATCCATGGATGGGTGCATCTTATGAGGTCGACGACGATCTAGGTAGGTACATCAGCCTTGAGTGATTTTGAGCCTCAGTTTAGACGGAATACTTGAGAGCAGATTGTAGATGGTAAGGATATTCAAATTGTTTATAGTCCATTGGACCTTACATCTTATTATTACAAGGTACTATGTAGTTTAATAAAAAGCAAGCCGGTTGGTAAAACACCTGCAAATCATCGGCTCCGGTTTCTTCTGCGACTTCGACTTCGCCGTCGACTTGGGCTTCTTCGTCGGCTAGGGCTCCTTCGTCGGCTAGGGCTCCTTCGGCGACTAGGGCTCCTTCGGCGACTAGGGGTTCGTCGACGAGGCCGACGACCATCAGGATCCTTCTCTTTGTCTTTTTCCTTTTCTGTCTCCTTCTCCTTTTCTTTTTCTATGCCAACCTCAAGATCTCCCTCTTTTCCTTGAGTCGGATCCTTTTCCCGTTCAGATGCAGGTTTGTAGCGGTCAATGTCGGCTAACCGGGGTCGGGGTTCTCGATCTCGCTCTCGCTCTGGAGATCGGACCCGGCGGCGTGGTGACTTGCTCCGGTTGCTGGTGGAGGGCACGTAGCGGTCAATATCTAGAGTAGGGGAAGGGGAGCGACGCCGGGACCGAGACCGTCGTCGAGTAGATCGAGATCGTGACCGAGGGCGGTCGCGAGCACGAGGACGTGAGCGTGAGCGGCTGCGAGAACGTCGGCGTACGGGTGAGCGAGAGGGCCGACTGCGCCGAGGACGATAGTTGTCATGATCTCGGTCGCGGTTGCGGCTGCGGTCTCTGGACCGCGATCGATCCCGAATTCTATCTCTATCTCGGCCAACGCTGCGGTCCCGGTCACGCCGGCCGGTGGATCGACTGCGGCTGCGACGGCTTGGCCTGTAGCTTCCACCACCTCGCTCATCCCGGAAGTCACGGTAGCCACGACGTGCATCCATATCACGATCTCGAGACCTCACAGAAGCCTCCCGGGACCGTTGGCGTCGACGGTCTGTATCATAACGGGATGTGCGCCGTCGACGCGAACGACTACGGCTTCGATCCCGTGTCAAATGTCGGGTGCGATCACCACGGTCTGCAAATGAACCACGCCTTGCGTCAGTATCTCGGGATACACTAACTGCCCTGGTAGACGTATTGGAGAATCTGGAATCATTGGCGCTCTTGGCCGGCCCTAATGTTGATCCTGGCGGTTTCAGTCCGTTTTCGATAGCCTCGGCCTCTTCAAAGTCAAACTCGGGCTTCTGTCGAGCCTTGGCTGCAAGTTCTTCGCCTTCTTTCAAAAGCATTTGCAAAGCAGCCTCTTCAAGTGACTTCTCATCCACAAGGGGCGGCAGCACAGGAGTGGGAGCATTAGACGTAGATGACTTGTCGTGTTTTGAATCCCGTGGCCAAGGGGATAAACCACGGTCAGAGCGATAGGCCGGAGAGCGATCACGGAAACGGTCTCTATCTCGAGTTCGACTGCGGTCGCGGTCCCACCCTCGATATCGCTCCCTATCTTCTCGTCTTCGTCGCTCATATCTTTCATCCCGCTCTCGTTCTCGCTGCTCGTCGATAATTCGTTGCTCTTCGCGTTGGCGCTCACGATCAGCTCGCCGCTGTTCATCAATTTCCTTTCTCCGGGCCCGGTCTTCATCGTCTTTCTGACGTTCAAGTTCGCGCTTCTTTTTGCGTTCTTCATCCCTGATGCGTTTTTCCTCCTCCTCGATTTCCCTTTGTTTGCGCTCCTCTTCACGCCACACTTTTTCCCGCTCCTCTCGCAGGGCGCTGACGTAGGCTTCGTAATCTGCATCGGTTTTGTTCCCTAGCTCGAGTTCACGGGCGGCTACTTCCTCTCCAACATCCTGGCATCGGATCTCGCGAACACTTTCGAGGATAAAATCTAGGTGTTTGGACGCTAATTGGTCAATGGAGTCCTCCACGCTTTTGTAAACATCACCACGGTCTACCGCGCCCTCGATGAGTGTCGCTGCTTTTCCTCTCTCGCGGGACAACAGCGCCGGCTCGCGATCAATCTCTGACTCTGCAAGTGCGACCAACTTGTCGGTAAAATTGGTTCGAAGTTCCTGTTCGGATAGAATTAGCAGAGCGCAAAGGAATATGAATAATCTCTCGCAAGAACTATCTCAGAAAGCTGTCATACCCCGTCATTGAAGTCAGCCCATATCTGTTTGCGAACACTATCAAAGCCACCTTTCTTCTTGAATGAATGTAGGAGCTTGTCAATGACTGCATGCTGCGCGGCAGACAAGGGAAGGTCATCGGTCTTGAACTTCTTGCGCTTCACACTCTCGATATCAATAGGCTGTTTATCTGTAGGACGGACATCGTCTGCCCCCTGGGAATCATCCATTGTCTCATCAGAAGCCATGGTAACACGGTTGCCCTGGACAAGTGGAGAGATTCAAAGTCGCGCGAGCGATAAGCGATAACAACTGTTATCGGAAGAATGGTTATTCCGTGATTGGGAACTGCGGCCCGTTGATTTGCTTCAACCTCGTCTCTCCTGTACTATTGCGACGGCAACCTCCAATTCCGCCTCCATTTACCCCCGGCCGTATTGGTATTGAATTAGCCAATCCACCTATCTACCGCCCTGATCCTTTTTCTCGGGTCCCTCTCCGCAATCGAATTACAAGCACAACCCCGCGCCCGACCGCGATCATGGTTCACAAAGTGCTCTTCTGGAGCGGCTTCGGTACGTACATATCTTTCCCCGGAGTTCAACTTATTACAAGAGCATGCCTCTTGATAACATGATTGTTCAATTTATTTGCATGGCCATTGGAACTAACCGCGTTGATCCCGCAGGCATTGCCGTCCGCCTCTGGCAACTCGGTATCGAGATGCGTCCGATCCTCGCCAAGGAATCCCTCTGGGTCTACCCTCTTTTTGCTGGCGTTGGTGGAAGCTTTGGCTACTGGCTCCAGGGTGTTGAGAGCAGACAATTGAAGATGCTTGCACAGCGCCGCGAGGCCATTCTCGAGAAGCGTCGGCGGCGGGATGAGAAACCTGAGGGTGGTGTCTTGGCTGCTGCATCATAAAGCAAAGAGCTATTATGATTGAGATGGTCACATTGTGTATGCGTTTTTCTATTTGTACCAAAATTCAACCGGTTTGATATCAGCATTCGGGTCTTCGCATTTAGTGGACAATTCTTGCCACAGATGCATTGACATCTCTTATATTTTTGATCTATTCTTCTAAATCCTGGATAAGAACAGTCTTCAATTTGCCTATCTCGTTTTTAATCTCACGGGGTATAAATCCCGAAGTAGAACGTTTCCAAGGTTGATATCGACCCATCCATCATGTCTGAGGCGTCATGAGTCAGCAAGGAGTGGGTGCCCGGCGGGCAGGCTCCCCGGGGTCGAGTACATCATCAACTCGCTCCCGTAAACTCCTCCTAATACTCCCCTCGTCATTCATTATTTTTTTCCTGTTTGTTCCCTCTGTAACTTAATCGAGCTCCCCGGTAATTCTCGGGTCTTTTGTTTCTCTTCATCGCGATGCTTATCGTCTGTCTTTGAGGAACAGTCCGATGCCGAGACTCCGTGGCATAGATGGATAACCGCGGCTCCTTTTTCTTCTTTTTGCTGGTGTTCTACCTCATACTCAGTTCCCAGTCTCGACCGCCATTGATCGATGAAGACCGGGCACGGCAACGTGAACTTGAGCATGAGCGACAGGTCCTTCGGCTTTTGAATGGCTCAAAATTGGGTGACTTTGATCCGCCCGCCAATCGATGGCTTCCTTTCTCGGGATTAAGGGGAAATGATAGCTATGCTTGGGACCTTTTCCCTCAGGCCAAAGATCTGGCTCGCCATCAGTTACAATCGGCCGTCTCAAATGCCGGATTGGAACCTCCGGATGGTCTAGAAGATCCCACCGTGTCGCCCACGTTGAACCTGACCAAGCTCCTGCTTCCAGTATATCGCAACTCGACCGGAAAGCTTCGGGGGGACTGGGTTCGGAAAACTGAGGGTACTGATCGCCGTGAACCTCTGAACACCACTGCCATCGCTGAAGAACACGAATACTTCACTCATGAATTCAGCCATAATATCACTGGCAACGCGGGCACATTTTACTTCGATCTTGAAGAGGGTGGTGGCGAAGAGCTTCAGATGGGCGATGGACTTTTGAGAGAGATGCGAGCCAGTTTGATGGTTGAAAGTGAGGACTTCTGGGGAAGTACCTGGTACATCTCGTTGTTTGGTGTGCACTTCCCAGACACCGGAAGTATCATTTTGACTACTTCTAGCGAGAAATTTGGCGGGGTCTTCTCGTTACCGCATTTCATGCTATCTTCTGACACTTACACACTCTCCCATGAGCTTCTTCTCCAGTCGCTGACGGACACGATCTCGGGGAAGCAAAATCGACCCCCTACACTGTTTCCCTGGGCTTCTCTGGCGGGGACAGAGCAGATGGAATTCCCTGCGCCTAAATGTGAACATATCATCTACTTGCAGCAGCATCCAGTCATTATTGGGGATGCCCCTGCTGACCGGTTGTTATTGGAGCGTATGGAGCAAGAGCTCAGATATCCTATGGGGGCCCCAATCCCAGATCCTCCCCTTATGGTCATGTCTGCTGTTGTCTTCTCCCCAGACTGCGGGTACATACTTCAGACGAAAGGAACCCCCGAGTTCCCTCCTTCTGATTCGCTCTATGTGACTGGGCCTAAGCATGAAGAGTACAGTAAATATGCAGCTCGTCTCATTTTCGTTGTTTCTGGTGTTTTTGTTGCACAGATCACCCTACTTCTCCGACAGATCAAAGAGGCTTCGACGCCTTCTACCCGGAGTCGGATCAGCTTCTACACCATCGCATTGATGGCGCTCGGCGATGCATTTGTTTTAACATTCATTGTTTTGGAACTATACGAGGCAGTATCTTTCTTGGTTCTAGCCACTGCGTCATTTTTGGCGTTCCTGTCTGTGAGTTATATCGGAATGAAGTTCATGATGGAAATATGGGCCGTGCAAGAGCCAGAAAGAAGAGAGCAAGATCGTCCACCAAATACATCAGCTCCAATTACTCGCCCTGAAACTTTGCCTTTGCCCACCACTACCCCGACAGTGCGGGACTCGGGTGCCACCCCAATTATCTTGTCGCCTGACCAAGATGCCCCCGAAGATGAGATGGATTCCCCACCGCCACCCACCCGAACCACTCCCCCAACGCCAAGGCAAATCCGCAGTGATGTAGGAACAATGTATGCACGGTTCTATCTTGCGCTGTTTGGTATGCTCATCCTGTCAATCTGGGCTTTCCTCCTGCCGAGGCGCCTCGGCTCAATCTACACCCGATTCTTGGCTGCAATTTATCTCTCCTTCTGGGTTCCACAGATATACCGAAACGTGATGCGAAATTGCCGCAAGGCCCTTCGATGGGACTTTGTTGCTGGCCAGAGTGTTCTCCGCCTCTTCCCATTCCTGTACTTTCTCACGGCACGGGGAAATGTGTTGTTTATCCGCCCCGACTATACAAGCGCATTCATCATGACTGGATGGATGTGGCTTCAAGCTTGGATGTTGGTCAGCCAGGACGTTCTCGGGCCACGCTTCTTTGTGCCTCGTGGCTGGGCGCCTCATGCATACGATTACCATCCAACGTTGCGCGATTTATCCGGTGCGGACGAAGATCTCGAAGCTGGTGGTGGCGTTTTGTCGATCGCATCCCTGCGGGGCGATGAACGAGATCTGGTCAGTGACTCCAAGGATGACGATAAGCAGCAGAAAGACCGCAAGAAGGCCGTGTTCGACTGTGCGATATGCATGCAGGATATCGAGGTGCCTGTCCTTCCGGCGCTTTCTGCCTCTGGTGGAAGTAGCGTCACCGATGGAGCCTCGAGTATCTTGAGTCGCCGGTTGTACATGGTCACTCCTTGTCGTCATATCTTCCACACTGCCTGTCTAGAAAGCTGGATGAGACTTCGTCTCCAGTGTCCGATATGCCGTGATTCCATACCTCCTGTATAGCTTCTGCTGTAATGCTTTTCATACATGATATCATCCCCCTGTACACGGACTTGCTGCATTACAATGTTGAGATTTGCATGATCTAGCCCTGGATACACATCACCTGGACATATGAACCATGATCTCTCTACAAGGAAATAAACCAAGCCATTCATATGTACAAAAATCTTGTTGAACAGTATATCAATCCGTTTACGGATCGACGAATCTAAACGCTCTCGTTGAAGGAAATCGGTCACATACATGACAATATGACATCACACTTGAAGAAAAAGAAATTCACCACGTCCAGCAGGCAGCATTTATAAACCACGAATCACAATCAGTCTTTACACTCTTCAAATCTAAGCATCGATAGTCTCTTTGTAGGCAGCCTCATCGAGCAACGCATCGAGCTCAGCAACATCAGCGACCTCAATTTCAGCGATCCATCCCTCACCCTCGGGGCTCTCGTTGATGGTCTTTGCCTTATCCTCGAGGATGCTGTTACCCTTGATAACCTTGCCGGCAACAGGGGAGAGGACATCGGAGGCGGACTTGACGGACTCGACGGCGCCGACGGGCTCACCGGCAACGACCTCGAGGTCTACCTCGGGCAGCTCGACGTAGACGACATCACCCAAGGAGTGGGCGGCGTATTCAGTGATGCCGATCTTGGCTGTAGACAGCGTAGGTCAGTTATCTCGTTGCTCCATATTCTGTATACCATGGAAGGCCATATGGGTTGAATGGGTCGAAGGTAGGTGCATGGGACCAATTGATCGGGATGGTAGTAAACTAACCAGTCTTGCCGCCATCGGCCAGCTCAATCCATTCGTGCGACTCTGTGTACTTCTTCAGCTGGGCTATAATTGCGAATTGGCGCGCGGTTAGTAAAATGTGACATCATGAAGCTCCAGGAAGCATGTTTGACGGGTTGTGGTGTGTCAGCGCCGGTCCAGGGGTCTTATAAACCGTCCTGAACAGCGTTTGACAGCACTGGGGGGCTCGTTGTACTCACAGAGAGGGCTCTGAGAGAAGCTCCTGGTTCCCCGCGGGAAACGGAAAGCAGGCGAAACCTGGCAGGCGGAGGCAAGAGGCTTCTGGGTAAGAACCCTGGAAGCAAAGGGGCGGAAGGCACGAGCGATAGAGGACATTTTGAGGTATATAGGAAAGGAATTGGAAGTGTGGAAAGTAAAATAGGAAGAGGGGAGAGTTTAAGTAGAAGGGAAAGAAGGTGATGCCCTTCTCCGGCGGAGTTTCCCCGATAACGAAATGCCAAGATCGCTGATAAGCAACGCGCTAACCTCGTCGGATTTTGCTGGCTTTAAATGGCATTGCCCCATTACAGTCTCTAGTACGCGCCACCCCTCGATGCCATGTTGTACGAACTAATTGCCATTGTAAGTTTTTGATTTCAATGGAACTGTCATATTGACTTTAAAAATATGTCTGGATTCACTAACCGCTCTGGTAACAGGTCCGCCCGGGCAGCCTCAACGAGGTGCGAGAGTACGTCTGAATCAACACTTTCGCTCCATCTAAACCAATCGAATACTAATATACATATTTACTACAGAATCGCCCGTAACGCCGGTACTCAGGTCATTCGTTCCGGCGGCGTCGTTCGCGGCTATACCAACTGGGGCTCCTTCCGCCTGCCCAGGGTCACAACAAAGCATCAGGCCCGATACACGGAAGGTCACCACTTCATCATGCGCTTCGACTCCTCCGGCTCTGTTCAGTCATCTATCCGCCGTACTCTCGGTCTTGACCCGCGTATGATCAACTTCTCCGTGGTCAAACTGGGCGACAAGCTTGAGGAGATCAAGGATATCCAGGGCAAGGTCGAGTGGAACAACGTTTCCACCATTACTGAACAGATTTAATTGATGCAATTTTTTTGGACGAAAGTCTGATTTGTTGATATCAGATTTGAAAGCGTGGATTTGGATTTCAGCACTTTGCTTCTTGTTCTTTGTATTATTATGGCACAGGCATTGGGAACTGCCACTTGAGCCTATCATCACAATCGGCGCATATTGTACAAAATACCAGTTTGATCTACAAGTCTATTTTGTGGCTGTTACTACAATTCGTGTTCTCTACGCCCCTCGGTCCTCGGTCCTCCATGAAAGATGGAACGGCATGGCAAGCAAATCGTGCAACCGATAGGAACACTCAACATATGTCTCCCTATTTCGATTTATATCGATCAAGATTCAGCGCCTTATCGCCGTCATTGTTCGATTTGTATAGACCCTAGTAAAATACTCAGCCAAAATGCATTTCCTTTACCCGATGAATCCCGAAGACCGAATTCAGATTAAGCATCCTATTGATATATACATAGACAACCGATTTATGCAGAAATTATGCAATTACTTTGTTCAAAACTATCCCATTTTGAATGTCCACGATCATAGGGCTGTAGTTACGTGTGATTCAAATTGACAAGCCGAGGCACCGGCTAGTCCCGTCTCTTGGTCCGGGGTACCAATCCCATACATCCATTATCAAATCCACCACCTCTCGTCACTACAGTACCATCCTACAGGTTTCTCTTTAAATAGCACCAGACTGTACAAAGCCTGGTTCATTAGCCCCAAATCTCATATACCACAATTGCGGGGAGGATCATCAAATCCAGGGGCGGCTATTGTTTATCGGACTGCCATCCGCCTGCAAAACAATTCACTTTATCGTGACAAGCAAGTGCTTCGCGCATTTTGTATCTTTTGGAGGGGAAAGAAATTTAGACCAGAACGCCTTTTGCCTCTTTCACGCTATGTCTCCGCAACGCGGGGCCTTGGACAATGATGGCGAGCTAATGTCCCCGCATTCTTTTATTGAGTTGATGGCGCTTCAACGACTCGAAGATACCTTGATCTCGCATTCCGACACCACTAAGTCAGAAAAGATTGAGCGGTTCCGCTCGCTAGCAACACCTTACAATCCTGGGCAGGGAACACGCTCGTTCGGCGGACATGTCTACGCCCAATCAGCCTATGCGGCGTCCAAGACCGTCGGCCAGGGGTTTGTGATTCACGTAAGATGCTACACATAAATTGTCCCGAGACTCAGACTGACGTACCGGCAGGATATGACAGGCACATTCATCCTAGGAGGACGGCTCGACACACCATACGTGTACACAGTGCGACATCTCCGCGATGGGTTCATGTACAGCACACGAGCCGTCGATGCACGTCAAGCAGGCAGAATCTGCTTTTCGTGTATATGCTCCTTCAAGCGTGATGAGAAGCAGCATCCCTTCCAGCACCAGCCGACATCGGCACAAACGCGCTTCAATTCAATCCTTTCGGCAAAACGGCCAGAAGATCAGTCTCCTAGTCCCAGTGTGGACGCAGAATGGTGGATCGATGCTGTGCGGCAGGGAAATATCTCTGAGCACGATTTTCCTGGTCTGGACGTGCGCAAGACCGACATGAAGGATTACAACATCTCCGAGGATATCAAGCAGCATCCTGAGCGGTATCGCCAGCTAACACAGTACCGGCTCAAAGGATCACCAGACGAGGATCCTACTGCGAGCTTGGCGCAGATCCGGGAGAGGGAAGAGAAGGGGGAATATGATAACTTGTATGCGTGTGCGCATATGTATTCCAGTGACAAGAACTCGCTTCTTCTGATTCCGCGCGCGCTAGGGATCAAACATTGGGCTGAGATGGCGAGTCTTACGCTTACGGTTATCGTGCATCAGCATGGGGACGCTCTGCGGATGGTTGATTGGGAGAGAATTGACAATAACGACGTTAGCGGTGTGAGCGAGCTGCCTATGAAGTGGTTCGTGCAGGAGGGGTGGACACCTCGGGCTGGGGAGAATAGGGCGACGCATGAAAGTCATCTTTGGAGCCCTGATGGGACGCTGGTGGCGACATCATTGCAGGATAGTATGTTGCGCTTGAGGAAGCTGAAGGTTGCAAACTTGTGATTTATAAAGGCTCTTCATATATACATACATAAGTAGCTTATAGACTAGATGGTCGCACGGAGGGGCCTATGGCAACAAGATCAATTGCTGGAAATAATTCCTGCCATGTTTATACCTATGTGTAGAAACTGACATCGCAGTGGTGGTAATATAGTTGTAACATTTCTGCAGCCTATTGGCCATCGAATGATATCAATATATACATAGTCAGCCTATTCCCAAAAGAAAAAGGCAGTATTGTTGAAAATATGCGATTATAATGCTCACAAGAAGAAGGGTATTAAAATATGATACACGCTAGAACAAAAGACGAGAAAATCAAATATCCTCTCCGGATATATTAGCATGCTTGAAGTACTTCATACCAACCCATGCGACAACAACCCAAACCCAAGACATGACAGCTGTGAGGATGATAAGTGCAGGATAATAGCCGACAATCGGCAAAGTAGGATCATCTTCCAACTCAGGCGGCGCATAGGGCGTCTCCCCGACATCCCAAGCCCAACTCCAAACCCCAAAGCAACTTCCAATGCCCACAACAAATACCAACCACGTCACAATCAGTATAATCCAGCCCCACCACTCTGTCTCAGAGTAATCCACGTCCACATCGGGACTGCTCTTCATCTCAACCGGGTGTGTGACCAGTGGCGAGGATTTGTGTCGGTGGACGGGTAGGTATGCCGGTTCGGGCTGAGGTTGGAGCGAGTAGAACGAGCCTGAGCCGGAAGATGGTGGGGAGATGTGTAAACCAGTTGCGGAGCCGATCTTGGGGCTGGCACCTGTGCCGGCCCCCGTATGATTTGAATTCGAGTGGAGATGAGGGAAGGAAATGAGGTCCTCGTCGTCAGTAGCTGGTTCTTGGAGGTTATGCTGCGCAATGCCCTGGCGTCGCCGACTTATTGAGGGCCGGATGGGTTTCTGGGTATTTGCCGCGTGGAACCAGGCCGGCTGTTGAGTATCGTCGCGGTCGAAGGCCTCGCTCTCGCGCGACGAGTATCTTGTAGGCCCATTATCGGAGGGGTTTTGATCTGTTGGTTTTATAGCCGCTTGTAGGTTGGCGGCAGGGAGGCGGCTGGGTTCTGCGCGGAGGGCTTCAAGGGCTTCGGCGGCTTTGGCGGTGGCTCTTTTGTCGCGTGATTCGAGCCTGGTGCCTAACAATGCAGTCTTTCGGAGGGAGCCACGGCGGCGGCGCGTTCGGTGTTGTGCGAGAGCAGCAGACATTGCCCGGCTGCTGGTTGTTCCTCCTTTGCCTGTGCTCTGCGGCATACCGGAGTGGAGGTCTTCGTCGCCATCGTGGTCCATGTTTCGGTCCAGGGAGGTCTGTGCCTGGTTCACGCGAAGAAAGGAAAGTCTCGAGAGGAGGGAGCCCGAAATGTTTCGTTTGTGGCCACTACTTGAGCTGGTTGATCGCGTGCGAGGAGATGGTTCGTGGACCGCCAAGTCCGCGATTCTTTCATCATCGTCCATTGCGAGTGGAACCGGGAGCTGGGACATCAGCTCGATCAATCGTGGGTAAAACCCATGAACTGTCTATGATTGTCTTTTTGGTATTTTTGTTCGCATTGCAAATGTCTTACCTGCATGGGTAAGACCGTAACTACCTAAAGAAGGGTCATTGTAGCCTGCAATATCAGGCAGGCATCGATGAAACTGCACAGGTGTATATTGCAATACCACTTGGGCAGCACTGGCATAACGCCCTTAAATAGCGTTGAATTATGTCTCTAAGGCGAATATAAAATGATTTGTATAATATTGTTGTCATATCAACTCCCTTGATATACTTCCCCTTGGTCCTAGAGTGAATGAGTAGAACTTACAATGTTTAACTACCTAGCTCATACACCCAGATAATTTTAATCATTCAATCCAGTTGGCTTGGGATAATCTGAGACATTGCCTTATATGATGTCTTTTCCCTTCTCCCTTCTTCCCTGTTATAACCAGAAGATGAAATAACAAAACGCCTAAAATGAAATTCTTGTGAATGTATACCTACATATCCATATATAGCTGTATACTTAGTAGCTGTATACTTAGTAAATGAGCCTCCTGACTTCCAGCCTAGGTACAAGGGAAAAGGTGGGAATATGTGCATTGCCTATTGCATCTAAAACATGCCATATATCTCATTGTCACACTGCATACACATGCAGCGAGAAAAGAGCTGCAGTTTACCAATCAACGATACAATGAATAATAACAATGAAGCTGGTTTGACTTCAAATGCCCCGCAGAGCATAACACAGCATGTTCAGTTTCACCTAGGAGCCTATGAGGATATCATGCAACTTTCTGCTTTGTACATCATACATGATATACATGTAAAAAAGAAAGGAAATACTATCGGTAACGAGTTTAAGGAAAAGGCAAAATGCAGTAGCAAAAGGCAAATTGGTATCTGGGCTAGAACGCCAGCAAGAGAGATACTTAGGAAAAAGATCAGTGTTCGCATATTCCCAGAAAATTCATCACAGCATATACGGATACTCGCAGACCAGGTCAACCGAGAAATCCACGGCCCATAAAAATCATTTGAGCGGAAATGAGTATCAAGGCGAGCCTAAGGAAAGACAGGAAAGCAAATCTGATACAACACATACACGAATGATAAAACAGCTAAAAGAAAACAAGATGGCAACAGTCCAAATACGCGGGTGAAGAGTAGGGAGGTCGCTTTTTATTCGGAGGCGTGCAAAGCCAAAAGTCCAAGAACCCTTGATCACAAGGCACGCTTCAAGAAAAGAGAAAAAAAGGAATAAATAAAGAAAAACCGAATCAACGTAGTGGACGTGGGGTATGGCTGCGCAACACACAAATTCCGTTTCAGACAAAAGCAACTTGCTCGCTTGAAAATCCACTCAATTTAAGTAAAAGAAAGAAAATATCAACGGTGAGGGGGAATTGTAGAAGGGTGCTATGGAAAGAAACACAGAAGGGATGTTAAATAAACTTAGTTCTGTGAGCAAATGCCCAAAGTGTCGCATGTGAGCAAACCGACTGGAGACAGGTCATAAACCGAGCTACGCCTGGTAGCCTCCGTTGAAGTTGTTGGACTGGTCCCAGTTGCCGGACGGGGACATGGGCTGGCCACGGCCATAGCCCCCGGCATTACCTGCCTGGGCGTAGCCCTGGCCAGCCATGGCAGGTCCATTGAAGTTGTTGGGTTGTTGATCCCAGCCTCGACCAGCAGGGGCAGGACCTATTTCTACCAGTAAGCAAATGCCAAGAGAGAATGAGGAATACTAGGCCTACCTTGATTCATGGGATTTGCGGGACCACCGTATTGAGGGAAGAAACCAACAGGGCTGTTGTTGAAGGGGGCAGCATTGCCTTGCTGGGGAGAGAAGTTGTCGAACTGGCCGGTAGGAGGGCGATCCTTACCCCACTGCGATAGTCAGTAAACATAAGCCTAGGCTTCCTAAACTAGCAATAACTTACACTGCATTTCAGAGGTCGGCCGTTGACGTTGTAACCGTTCAGTTGGCAGATCGCAGAGGCAGCATTTTCGTGCGAATCCATCTTCACGAATGCAAAGCCACGATCGGCCTGGAGTCGAGTTTCAAGGACATAGCCGAAATTCTGGAACAGGGGAACCAAGTCGTTCTGGGTGGTATACGGGGTGAGGTTGCCCACATAGCAAGTAGTCTGCCACTGGGGAGTCTGTTGAGCAACCATATCGTAGCTCTGAATACCATGGGTTGGGAAGTGGTGGTGTCCGAAAGGAGTAGTAGGCGTCATTCCCATAGCAACCAGGGCCTGCTGCTGGGAGATTGAAGGCTGACCCTTCTGGTTGGCCCAATTGCAACGGATGGCACGAGAGCCAAGCCATTCACCATCCATCGAGTTGAGGGCCTTGTCTGCCTCTGCGCGATCGCGGAAAGCAACAAAGCCGTATCCACGGGAGCGACCAGTCTTCATATCCCACATCACACGTGCTTCGGATACTGAACCGAAAGCAGAGAATGCTTGAGTCAGCACCTCATCGTTGACTTCATTGCTCAAGTCGCCGACAAAGATATGGAAGTGGTTAGAAGTATCCTCCTTGCTCGTGCTGTTGGACTGGTACGCCCAGTTGACACGAATTTCCTGCAATAATTAGACACAGTCACGCGGTACCTATAACAAGAGAAAACCTACCGATTGGTGGATTCGGCGACCATTCAGGGTTTGCATGGCCCTCTCGGCCGCACCTGGGTCGTCAAACTCAACGAAACCGTAGTTGTGGCCCTTGGTGGTGAATTGTCCCTGTGGCGAGTAAAATAGTCAGCTACCAATACTTTATCAAGGACTGAACAAAGAGCATATACATCACAGATAACAGCTCTAGGGGCCATTACTGTAACTCAGGGGGAGGGGTGCTGATATGCAGGGGGGTGCCTGTCAGGAGAACTTACATTCTTGTCAGGAATGATCTTCACGCTGACCACGTGGCCAGTGGTTTCAAAGATTTGCTTTAGGATGTCCTCAGTGACCCTCGGATCTAGCCCACCCACATACAGGGCTCTCTTGTTTGGTTCAGGAGCCGCTCGGCGGACATATCCACCAGCACTTGTTGGGGACATCATAGCGACTCCAGACATGGGAGAGGTCATGGCGGTAGGAATCGGGTTGGTATTTTGGGGAATGATCACAGGAGGGCGCGGGGGCGGGGGCATGTGGGACTGGTTGCCCTGGCCGTTGCCCTGAGGAGTATCGTACTGTTGATTTTGACCGACAGTGGACTGAGGCGCGGGAGGGAGAGAAGACGGAGCCGAGGCTTGAGCGTTTTCGGCCATTGTGATTGCTTTTTGAAAAGATACGGATATATCCCAAAGGCGATCAGAAGAAGTGATTGATGCGGAAGTTGGAGTTAAATGTCAGACTGGGAGAGCCCAGTGCTAGGTGTGTCAAATTCAGAATTTGAGACAATGCAGAGCGTCGCTGAAAGCCACAATCGCAAATAAGACTGGGAAAATATATGTGGTATAGGAGGCAGCGGAGACCAAGGTGGAAAAAGTCCAATAAGAAAGACCCTAAGATGGAGAAACAAAGAGCACCGGGTATAAACAGTGCTGGTAAAAGAGACACCGAAATGAAACCTAGGTGGTGGTTTGGGGGAATTTTTTTTTTGTTTTCAATGAAGCTCCAGTAGAATAACTAGGGAAGTGTTTCTGTGGCCTGATAAAGCTGCGGTCGGAGATTGTTTGAAACGATACAAAGCGCGTTGGGAGGTAGAATGCCCAACAAAACGAGGCTGAGAAAGCTCAAAGAAAATCAAAGCATGCAAATCCCTTTACGGGGAAAGCCAAACAGGAAAGAAAAGAGAAAAGGAAAAAAAAGGGAGGAAAAAAAAAAGAAGTTGAGGATAGAAAGAAAAAAGAACTGAACAGCAAAGTAAAGGGAGGAAGTTAACCGCTAGGGGTGGGGGGGAGGACACTTTACCCCAATAGGTTTAGTCACTTTTTTCCCAAATTCTTACCTTCTCCTTCTCCTTCTCTTTGAATTGTAATTCTTATATTCACTCACCTCTTCACCATGGCCTATACAAGTTATTCAAATCCTGACTCACTCACTGAGCTTTCAAGCATAATAGAGCGGACAGTAAGCGTTGAATCTGTAACATTGTTCTTGGCATCTCTGACAGCTTCTAGCTTATTGATACTAGTCGTTTGTTCCGCAAATCTGGTTCTATGCCATCGAGAATCCACCTACAACGATCCATCCCCTTGTATCACGATAGTTTCCAAAATGCCCTAGATAACCTATCAGAGCAAATTGTGAGTACAAATCATCTCAAATAGATTAATATTTGCTTTTTTTTTAAAAAAAAAAAACTCCTTTTTTATTCTTTTCTTTTTCTAACACTTTACAGTTCATCGCCAAAGCCTTTTTGGAAAGGGATTATGAGGCTCTCAAGGCCACTAGCGCCGCTCCTCAGCCCATTGAAGATGTGGCAATGAGCGATGTGAATCAAAAGATTGAACCCGATGATCAACCTCCCTTGACTGAGAAAGTCGAAATGGACACAGAGCTTGAACCTACCATGCCTAAATCGGAAGCGGCTATTTCGAGCCAATCAGTTCCGGCCGAGATCAAGCCCGACACCCAATCGGGCGATGATGTAGTTGTCAAAAAAGAAGGCGACAATGCTGTTCCCGATCAATCATTCCCCGGACCTAATGAAGATCTCACCTTTGATTCAGTCCTCAATGACACTGGAGGCACAAATGATTTTGGTCTTAGCTTAGACTTCAACGATGATGACATGGGTAATCAAGCGTTCCTATCTGGGTCGAATTTTACAGCTCCTGTCGCTACTAGTGCGGACAGGTTAAGCACCCAACCTGGGAATACTTCAGATGTCCCTGCTGGCGGTGGTGCATTTGATATGGAGTTACAGAAGACAGAGGGGAACGACAGCACTTTCCTAGGACAGGGTAACTCCGGGGAGGATTTCATGGGGCCCGCTGAATCAAACTTCGACGATTTGTTCATGGACACTGATAATTTCGGGGAGAATGGCGGGGACTTCAACCAGCTGGAGGGGGACAGCCTGATGAATGTTAATGAGCTAGATGATAATTGGTTCAACTGATGAAAATGAAGGGGCATGAGATCTACAGGATGAGAACAATGGCCAGGGGAACTTTGGGAGTATACTAGATCTGTATGTGTTCGGATCTGGAGTGGTACTAAAGCATTCGTGAACTGCAATATTTTGTTACTCAGGTTCAAGGCTCCTGACTGGGTAGATTCTGTGGAACATCACTGAATCATTTAGTAGCCAGTAGTTCCAGACAAGTAGTTCCAGACAAGTAGTTCCAGACAAGTAGTTCCAGACAAGTAGTTCCAGACAAGTAGTTCCAGACAAGTAGTTCCAGACAAGTAATTCCAAACAAGTCTAGAAGTATGGTTCGAATAGAGAATCAATGTCTCTGGGTAGAAAAAGGCGTAAGTTCTCACAAGTACAGAGTGCTTTCAAAGATGAAACCATAATCCAGGCCCACAGCTTGGCAGCTTCCAAGGGCAAGCGGTAACACAGAGCTGTGAGGACCGCTAAAAAGGAGAGTCGGAACGTTTCTCTGTACCTGGAAGGATTTCTCCCTTTTGGGGCTTTAATAGATTATATAAGTGACGTAGGTTGATCCCTGGAGAAAGAGGAAATTGTTTCCCGAAATAGATCTTAAGTCTAGGCAAAGTGTGGCTGATGATGTCATATATGAAGATGGTAATGTCGTCACGCTATATAGTTAATGTCTACTCCCCCATAGGTGATAGTGACGAACTACAACTGATCACCTTCTTTAGGGTCTATCTTCCGAACCATTCACATCCATGAACACTCTACTGGTAGCCCTATAGTAAGGTATACAGATATGAAGATAAGGCTCCAATTCTACAACATACATATATACAGATCAAAGTGTGAATACAATTACCCCCGCATCTCCTCTCTCTCTCTCTCTCAAGGCCAAGATAGGGGCGTTAGCCAAAGGAAGTTATAGGCCGTGTGATCCGACTTCTAGACCCAAAAATGCATTTCTCCACAAATACCGAACCAAACCCGTAAGAAACGTATGGCTCGGATCGCCGGATATGAGAGGGCTCCTCTTTTTTTTCCCCCCAGATTTTTCAATGGTGTTGTCATCGAGTTAATCTCTTTTTCTTTTTTATGTTTTCCGTAGATATTCCTTTTAGTTTAAGTAGTTACACCTTTGTATACGGAACTTTTTACCCATATTACTACCAGATTCAAATCATATATTAAGGGAGGAAAAAAAAGAAAAGAGAACCACAATTACCTTGGCAGCCAATCCTACACGTCGAAAAGAGAGATCTGCATAATGATCGGAGTGGACTTGTGAAGTCAGCACACCCCCGAGAATTCCATCTTCCTACAGTCTCCTTGCTTGAAGGGATTCAAGGGATCAGAATAACATCGCACAAGATTAAAGATCGAAGGTATGTTAAAGTCTGTCCTGCACATTCCCTGCACTTTGTATTCCCTTTTCACCGTTTGAGCCCTTCCAAGATTGCCCAGTTTGGCAACATAATACCTATGCAGACAGAGTTGGGATTCTCCGGAATGCCCAAGAAGACAATATCACGATGATGGGTGCTAATATCCTCCCTCTACCAGCGCAGTTATCTTCGCGATCAGCCTCCAGCAACCCCACCCCGCCCTCGGAGTTCACAGGACCTCCGTCACTAGGAGTATCAATCTCCAATCTCATCACACGGTCGGCTCGTACCGTGTGTATCGAAAACGAGAGGCACTTCCCGCGGAGTCGTCGGGACTCAATCTTCAAAAAGCTGGCGGGTCCACGTGAAAACGCAAAGCGATTCCTTCGCTTGCGGTCGTCGGGAATTCAAACACATTCGCAACGTCCTAGGGTACGACCAGTTTCGGAAATTATATTGTCGCCGACATCGGCCAACTTGGAGGACGAGATGCGATCGGATTCGTCATCTACCGAGGTGCTGCCTCGCCCAGTTTCCGAACACACTTTGACTCCCGATACTACCCCTCCATTCACTCCCTTGCGAAATGAGAAAATCGTAGCTACGGGGAGTGGCATTTCTGTCGGCATTGCCCTCACCGAACCCGTTCTTTACTTGCAGGGCTATGATCAACAAGACCCAAGCAGTAAAAAGTCCGCAATTCTGCGGGGACAAATGCATTTGAAGGTTACCAAATGTGTCAAGATCAAGAAGATCTCAATCTGCTTCCGTGGTCATGCCCAGACAGATTGGCCAGATGGTATGAAGCTACATAAAAAATTTATACCTCCAACACGCTGACATTGTTTAGGTATCCCCCCTAAGAAGATTCACTTCCATGACAAGAAGGATCTCTTCACACATGGTGTGGTCTATTTCAACCACGGTGACACTGCGCTCATGCAGAATGATTATGGCGCACATTACTATCAGCATGCCAAACCGATATCATCTGTACCGGGAAAGGAGGGGGTGACAATGACAACCCGAGAACTATTTTCAAATCGCAATTCCGCCGCCACACTTGCCTTGCCAACCACTAGGGATGTTAAACGTCTTTCTCTCCAAGCCAACCGTGGGCATTCACGCAGCTTCAGCAAGAACGAACCACCAACTTCCCAACCCCAACCCCAGCGCAATTACCGCATGTTCCCTGTAGGTGATTATTTATACAGTTTCGAATTCCCAATCGATGGATCATTACCAGAGACGATCAATACGGATCTGGGGTTTGTGAAGTACGACCTGGAAGCAATGGTGGAGCGGTCAGGCGCATTTCGACCCAATCTCCTCGGTGCCATGGAAGTCCCCGTGATTCGTACCCCTGCCGAGGGTTCACTGGAGCAAGTCGAGCCAATTGCGATTTCGCGGAACTGGGAAGACCAGCTTCACTATGACATCGTCATCTCGGGGAAGTCCTTCCCGCTAGGCTCGCAAATCCCGATTGCGTTCAAGTTGACCCCACTCGCGAAAGTAGAGTGCCACCGAATCAAGGTCTATGTGACGGAGAATATACAGCATTGGACGGCAGATAAGAGTGTGCACCGGTTGCAACCAGCAAAGAAGGTGTTGCTTTTCGAAAAACGAGCAGACTCGTCCAGTGTGAGCACGTACCCCGGCAGCTCCATGCGTGTTACAGCAGGGGGCGGCATTGATTGGGACCACCGTGCTGCTGCCGCAAGGGGGCAGGAGATTGTGGATCGAAATCGGACGAATCTGCTAGGCAATCTCTCTAATGATTCTGGCGTTGGTCCAACTGAGATGGAATTCAATGTGCAACTGCCAAGTTGCCATGAAATGAAGGGCCGGGACGAGAGTCAGCGGTTGCATTTCGATACCACATACGAGAATATTCAGATCAACCACTGGATCAAAGTAGGTCGAACCTCTTCCTCCTTTCTTCATGTCATAGTGATACTAACCGATCGGCGCAGATTGTCCTCCGTCTATCAAAGGTTGATGAAAGAGACCCCACAAAACGAAGACACTTTGAAATCTCCATAGACTCTCCATTCCACATCCTCTCCTGCAAGGCCACCCAGGCCAACATCTACCTACCCGCCTACACAAGTCCAGCCGAAGAACCCGCTCCCCCGGCCCAAGAATTTGAATGCGGATGCCCCGGAGCATCCCTCGCACCCCGAGAGCAGGTCATCGCCCCGGCGATATCTGATCGGGAAGACAGCAACCCCGCACTAGCAACCGTTGCCCGCCGTGGCTCAACGGGCCACAACTTCTCTCGCAGTTTCACGAATGACTCTGGCGGTCTCGCCCGACCGCCACAAGCGCACCTTGCTACGCCACCAAACGACCGCAACATAATCATTCCACCTCGCCCAATGCATCTCCTCCGCGCGCCGTCCTACGCGCCCCCAGCTTTCGATGAAGTCCCTCCCGCGCCACCCCTTGTCACCCCACCTCCAGAATATAATAGCATAGTCGGGGACGACCGAGAGGCCGTTCTCGAGGATTATTTCTCCCGTTTATCTTTCTATGAAGAAAACGAGGATGATGACCGCGGCCGTGGCCGCGTTGACGTACCCCTTACGCCGGGTGGACGCGTGAACCGCAGCATGGATGTCCCCCGCGAATGGGTGCGAATCGAAGACTATTTCCAGTAATATGGCCTCTTTTGAGTCCTTCTTGAAAAAGCAACGAGTTATCACGAGGTCTGAATCATGAATTTACGCTACTGTTCATATCGGGATTGGTGTTGGGCACAATGTTTTCCAGCGATGCTATCTATTCTTTAGATCTGAGTCTGAATCTAAGTCCGGCTCTTGTTATTCTTCTTCTCCGTCTCCTTCTCTCAGGTGTTACATTTGGTATTATTTTCTTTCCGTTCCACAGAACTTTGTTTATGATTGATGCAGGATCGGCTTTCCTTTTCGGTTGTTAATACTGGACTTTTTATGATTGGGGACAAAGGACGAAATTGGTCATTTATCAGACATCTTATATGGACACATGTAGTAGACTGAACTATGATCAAGTATTGAACTATTGAAATAAGAACCATCGTAAAAGAACTTCCAAGGGGAGTAGCCCTTTACTCCCTCCAGGGACCTCGGGAGATAAGAATTGATGTGTCAGCGATAAGGTGTGCCCAGCCCTGTGGGTAGTGGACCCTTCTCTGGGAGCGCATCGAACTGCCTTCCCCGGTTTAGCCCTCCCCACATTAGTCTGCTTCTGCAACAGTCACGGCTTTTTCTTCTTTCTTTCCTTTGTCTCTTTTATTAAGCACCTAGACTTCGCTCAAATCATCGCGAAATACAGAGCTAGATTCTACAGGGTCTTTTGGCGTACTTCGGAGCCTTTGAGACGGACTGCGCTGATTGGCTCACACTTAAGTGAACAGGTGAGTTAGCATACGCGCTATAGATGGACTGGCAAAAGCAAAGAATGAACAATTCTGACTATATTCAGTGAGCACAACGCGGCTCTGGCTCATCCTCGACAACCCCATTCTTCAAAACATCCGATTCTTGCATCCGGAGATTTATCCACCATACAGACCTCCAAACTGTCATTATGGCTGTTGAAGTCGTACCTCTCACCGAGGCAGATATTCCCGGTGCTATTGAAGTAATTCAGCATGCATTTGCAGACGATCCTTATTTCAAGTGGGTCTTTGATTCATCCAAGGTACGTTGCGTGTTGAGAGACAGCTACCAAAAACAGAAACAAGGCATCCATCTACTCCTAAACACCAGACTAACATACATCTCTCTCGTGACGCGGTCAAATTGGCCGGCAGTTACATCTTCTGAGGGATAACTCCACGTATAGTTCAACAAGAAAAGAAACCACGATTCCCTCGCAGCACGGTGTCATTGGGGAATCAAGAACGCACTATTCCACGTCGCAAAAGAAGCTCAATGTGCCGACTCCAAATCCGACAGCCCCCCAACTTCAAATCCAATCCTCGGCGTGTCATGCTGGCTAGCGCCCCACCCGCCCACGGAACCAGAGAGCTGGTACTCCTGGTTCCAATCATGGACCCTATCATTCAGCCAGTTGCTCAACAACATTCGCTACTTTGGCCGCGGCGGGCTCCGCACGAACAGGTACTGGATCTGGAAAGAGCGGCAGGCCGAGGCGCAGGCTGCTATCTGGGATGATCCGCGCGGTTACTATTTCTGTAACATTGTTGCCGTTAGCCCCAAGGCGCAGGGTATGGGCATTGGAAAGTTGTTGTTTGAGGCTGTTACAAAAAGGGCGGATGCTGAGGGGGTCAAGTGCTATCTCGAGAGCTCAAAGAGCGTGCCCAATGTGGCCATCTATGAGCGTATGGGCTTTCACATGAGTAAGGAGATGGAGTGTCGGGATGGAGTGGATGCGTGCATGGTATGTACATTGTACTTGTGTGGTGTTTGGTCCCGGGTCCGGGATTCGTTTGGGTTGTTGCTAATTTTGATTGTTGATAGTTGTACTGCATGGTCCGGGATCCGAGGGCAGAGTGATTTTGTTGCTTTGGCTTTTATGACTTGAGATGTTTGGGCCATATTATGATTTTAGTTCCTGACCGAATCGTGAGTACGTCATGAATCCGCAAAGATATTCAAAGAAATGTGAACAGATGTCCTTTAATCAAAGGATTTCACATATCTAGCAACGAACTACTCCGTACGGGGCAAATCTTTCCTGGTAATCTTAACTCCGGCCCCGTTGTAAACCAGCCCCAACGATCAGATCCATCCCACCCTAATCCACAAACGGGTCAAGAGGCTCCAATCCTATCAAATCTAATTTTCGCGGCAATGGAATACCATGATGATCTGTGAGATGCACTTCCACACAAATCCATCCGTTTGCAACAATGCAACCCAGGAAATGACCCATCAATTCTTCAATCGGATCTTTCTCCACGCTAGGATGCTTGCATGCTGATCTGTTTATATTGCTGCACCTAGACAAGAGGGGCAGTAGTCCCTGTATCCACATTTTAAGCTTATCCAGTCGTGTTCAAGGTAATATGCTTAAGTTCTAACGGCCTGGTTTCCCGGGAAATATGCGACCATCCCAGGTTCTGGGAGATGTTTCAGATCCAGTCTAGTTTGAATATTGCCGGACTGATTAGTACCTTCCTTGGAAATTCACTCGCTACACCCAGGCTCGTGCGTTGATCGATGATATATATATCTAATACGTAGAAGGAACGCCTAGATTTGATCGACATTGGATCACAGCAAAGGGCCTGGGGACGACGCTTTTGGACTCGGATAAGGTCATTACCTTTACTATCTTTTTGAGCTGTGCGTACTCCTCCTAGGGCTTACCCATACCTTAGATATGCTGACTTTACTTTAGTTGCTTTTAATCGTCATCATGTTTCTCCTTCTACTACGAAAATTATGGATCCGACGACGAAGATCAGACACGGAAAAGGCTTCCACTTCCTCAGCTACGTCCCAAAAGCATGAATTCGAAGAAGAACCACATCTACCTGGAACACACCACGACGAAACAGACCAGATCGTCAATCATTTAGCCGCCCTTGCAGCTACCGTGAGCAATACATCAAGCAACAGCGCCTCATCACCGACTGCTGCCCCCATATCAGAGCCCCAACTAGCAGCACCTATACGTGAACTAGAAGAACTAGAAGAAGAATCATTCTATCATCTTCGCAGTTTAATAACAGTGTCCTGCTTGCCGCAACATATCCCAGGCCATACACCAACACACTCGGCATCAACACTAGGGTCCAACTCCGGGAAACGCAAAAGTCAAATATTTGATCGGAAGAGAGCCTCGTCGATTCTGAGTTTACATCTTAATGATCTACCGAGTTTGCCGTTTCCCTCGAAAGGGAAGGTCTCGTGCAAGCCTTGTCCGAGGTATAGTCCTCTTCCTCCGCCGTTTGTGCCGAAGAGGCTTGCTATTCGGCCTGAGGTGCGTTTCTAGGCTCGGGGTTAGGTAAAAGGTGGATTGTTTGGGCTGTTTTACATGGGCGTGGGGCTTTGTTTTTGTACTCTTGTTCTATGATATCCAAGGTGGATATATTGTCTATCTCCTATTCTTTCATGTTTATGTACTGCTACTGGCTTCCAAGGTTGTTTGTTTTAATGTTGTTATCAATCAAAGGCTATACTTGGAAAAATCCATTTCGGAAAGCCTTTTTCTGCTTTGTCTTGCCGTCAACCTGTAAAACTGCCAAGGTAGCTAAACAGAATGATATCTGAGGAGACCACTGAAAAGATATCACAAGGCTGCTCATACGGCTGACTATTCTTGTCCCTGGCTATGCGTGAAAAAGTCATTCTAATCTCGACATGTATTGTACATCTCAGAGTAACCACAATATGTCTACTTTGTACTATTTTCCATTGTTGGCCGCATCTCTATGGCTTATTATTGTCATTCTAGCTACAACATATAACAGCGAGAGGGCACATCGTTAAAAGGACATCCAAAAGGACATGGCCTAAGTGGCCCACTATTCTTGTCTTGTTACATACTATGTACCTCGGCATTGATAATGACCACAGCGTATGATTATATGCCTACAACATATGTAGATAGATATTTATGCGATTTGGAATGCGGTATGCCCTGTAGTGTTACGGTCAATGCTTCGCCTAAAATGTTCTCCACACCACAGCTATACTCTATATTTATCTGCCGTGTTTTACGAAAGAAAAGGTAATATCATCTCCAGGCGCATGATCTGCAGGGTATCCCGGCAGCCGCTAGCCTTGGAAAGTTGTTCGCCCACACTAACACACAAAACACATGAAATGCCCACACACACCTTAAACCCCCTGCATGAAACAAGTCGAACTCCACTCTCACGGAGCTAACTCGCGAAAATGGAGCAGATCGTCGGGCCTTCCAAGGCTAACGACTCGGCGTTCACATCCAAGCAATAACGTCCCGGCATTTATCTTTGGTCATGGGATTTTTTTTAATAGTGTACTTGGCTCAGTGGATAAGTGTACTCCGTTCATAGAAGCAAATCCCGGTACTTGGCGATACTTGCTATACTAACGTGATTGGTTGCCTAGAAAGTTGCCAAATGGGATGGGAATGACTATGGACACCCGGTTTCTACTAGTAATGCTCGCCCGCTAAACTACATATGTTATATACAATCCAAAAACCGAAATTAATGGCCTTCAAATAAAATTTGGTAGTCTTTTATATCGGAATAAAGGCATTCCGAATGTGGATCCAAGCTTTGTTATGTTGGCTCCATAAGGGTCTATGTTGTACCTCCGTGTTTTGATGATTCTATACCTACAATGAAACCACGTCTTGCTTACGACCAAGCCTGGAAAAGAGGGACGATTATCTACAAACGCTGGTATAAGTATCTCGAGGAAGATGACCCCTTTAATGCAGTTGGCCGCTTTCTTGCAACGCATTTTTATCCTCGGGAATGGTGCGAGTTTGATATCTTCCCGTTAGGTGGATTCAATGTCTGCTTTCAGATGGTATTTACCGATAGTACCACCGCTATTATCAGGTTTCCATTCCCTGGTATTATCATGTTTCCCGAAGAGAAAGTCCACAATGAAGTCAGGGTCATGCAGTTCATTTTGGAGCAAAGCCAAGAATCACAAAAAATTTCGATTCCGGTGCCTTCTATCTCTCACTGGGAACAGAAGAAAGAGAGTCCCGCAAACCTAGGTCCTTTTATCATCATGGAATATATCGAGCACAAACAGAGTATCTGCAGGCTTCTTGAGGGTCCCGAATCAGATCCAACCGTCCGTCCAGTTCTAAATCTCAACCTCAACATAGTCAGGCTGAGAGACCTTTACAGAAAATTGGCCAAAATCGTTCTTGCGCTGTCTATTATTACTCTCAATAAGATAGGGTCTATTGGGCTTGACCCAGAAAATAAGACATGGAAGGTGTTGAAACGGCCCTTATCATATTCTATGAATGAGGTCGTGCAACTGGGAACAGTACCTCGATCGAAAATACCGAATAGCACATACTCTGAATCATCGTCGTACTTTGACGCACTGGCGGAACTGCAGCTTTCACACCTTATAAGTCAACGGAACGATTCTATTGACTCGGAGGATGACTGCCGGCGAAAATTTGTGGCGCGACTTCTCTTCCGAAGACTCATTCGAGATCAGAAATTGAGAGAGAAATGGTTACATCATGAGACTGGCCCATTTCCAATCTGGTGTGATGACTTTCGACCAGAGAATGTTCTTGTCGATGAAGCTGAGAATATTATTGGAGTGGTAGACTGGGAGTTTACATATACTGCCCCTGTCGAATTTTCCCATGCACCGCCTTGGTGGCTTCTTCTCGAAAAGCCGGAATATTGGTCTAAAGGCCTCGACGACTGGTGTTTACAATACGATAAGCGACTTGAAACATTTCTTCAAGCCATGAACGATTGCGAGAATGAGGCAATCCACGCCGGTCAACTTATGGAGACTCAGCGTCTCTCTGGCCCAATGCGAGATAGTTGGGAGAGCGGCAACTTTTGGATTATGTATGCCGCACGAAATAATTTTTCATTCGACTCGATCTATTGGCAGAAAATTGACCGGCGATTCTTTGGACCGACTCAGAGCTCTGACCCTGACAATTTCTGGAAGGAGAGGCTTCATCTCTTGACACCCAAAGAAAAGGACTACATAGATGAATGTGTAAAGCTGAAGTTTGAAGAGATGGACACGAGACCTCTTGCTTGGGACCCGGATGAGTATACTCGAGCATACGAGGACGAGTGGGTGGAATGATTGCTTGGTTGTTCTAGGAGGTTTTCACGTTGTACTCAAGAAGAACCTATGTGCTAGCAATGATCCACAACATGCCAAGACACTATCCTTCTACCACTGATTGGAATAGGGCGGCTAAGGATCGTAGGTTGCAATGATATGTTTCGGTTGTGCTGAGCTTTACCAGTATGTGAGGAATTATTGCGTGTCGTATGAATCACGCCGGCGCTTCTGTTTGGGTGTTTAGACATGCTGACGAAACTGTATCCTACCCCGCGACACACCTTGATGCTGATGCATCTATACGATTGGGGGTCGTTTAAATTCAATGAGATATATTTTTTGAGATATGGCTACCCTACCTACCTCTAGAGGCATATCCAGATATATGAATCATGGTTCAGGTTTAGTAGAGTTTCTTGCTTTACAACATAGCGAGGTTTGTATGGTATGTCTTACAAACTGATAATCTACACCGTTTATGTATGTAAGGTATTAGCATATAACGTTGTAGGCGGGCTCATCTCCGTGCTAGACAAGACAACTGATGTTCAATAATATTCGGATCCGGCAGCGGCGGAACCTGAAACCAGACGTTTCAGCTAGTTCAGATTGGTAGAAGTGCCGGGATTCGCCCCCACTGCCACTAAATCCCTTAGTTCCATTATTCATTCTCGATCTTGACTGCGGTACGTATCTTGAGCACGAGCCTCCCGGGGTCCTGGAAGGGGTGTGGGTATGTAACCGGTTGTGGCTTCGGGACTCCACCCTGTAACTTGATTCACACACAAGCTGTCAAAGCCGCTGATACTGGGCTTTTGTTTTTGGCTCTTATGTCGAGCTTGACCATATTTCTCGGATCACAGGACGCTGGAACTGATATTACGCCCTAATAAGGTTCACATCGGGAGACATATTATCCACAGTGTAAAACGTGGAGTCGCAAATGAGTGAAAGCACGTGGTTCCGGATTAGAACCGGGTGATTAAGCTGCAGATGCTGGTCTTTTCGGAAACCAATCAATTGTTACCTCCTTGACCCTTTGGGGTTATCCTCTCCTTAAATTCTACTTGCCGGGGCACAACCTTCGGTATATGCACAAGACCTAGTCTAATTGAAGAGAATTCTACAAGATCATAAAAGATCTCAGCCCCAGCCGTAGAAATAGATTACTGTTTCGTCAAAAAAAAAAAGGGTCCAATTAAAACTATCCAGCGATAACATATGACCCGTTATATCAACGAATCGCATGGTTTCCGACGCAACTGAGTTGTCGCCACAATATCCGATAGGAGAACAAATCAAGTAGGAACAAGTACGGAGTACTTGGTATGCGCAACCTGTTTTATCTTATTCTATTTAGGTATTGATATTCAGGTATGCCGACTCGATCAGGTTTTCTAGGCCACTAGGCCATACCGGTCTAGATGCGGAAAACTTTTTCCTTAAAAGGATGAGACCCCTGTCGGTGGCTCAATCGTGGAAATGATACTCCGTAGATATGTTGCCAGTGTGACTATTATGACTACCAAGCTCCGAGCACCAGCCTCGTCCGTGATTATCCGCGCCCCGGGCGTTGGACTATTGAGCTATGGTATTTATGAACATGTGAAAAAAGAACAAGCCACGTTAGTTAAGCTGGAACGCTTTGTATATGACTTCTATATATTTAGGCTATACAGAGTCATGATATATATTGTAGGCTTGGTAAATAAAGCCACAAAAATAAAATAAAGAAGTATATTATATACAAACCACTTTGGATCTTGGCCTAGTTCCCATAGATCATTATCCGTGCCACTTACCCGATTGAGCCGTCCGCATGGTTTCCATAATCTTCAGTGGCATAATAAGACTTGGCTTTCGGTAATTGTACAACGTACGTTGTGCTTATCCCGATATGTACAGTACTAATATCGCTGTTTGTTATTGCACGGGTTCTTCTATACAGTTTCCAATAAGCACTCGACACGGCACACAATATCATTCACAGCCTATGATAATCCGAAGCCAAGCAAACAATTAATACAGAACAACGCAGCGGCCTAGCATATATTGAATATAGTCTATACGCACGGACTTCGAGAAGGGAAAATAAAAGGAAAAGGAAACTCTAATAGTCGGTTCATTTCCGGAAAAGCCTCGAACTAGCGTACACAGAAAAGGGGAATTGGGCAATATGCATGTGTGAAACGGACTGAGCACATTTCCAGGTTCCCGGGGTTTTCTGAATTCAATTGTATATTGTAATTCAAGGAATTAGTATTCGAATTGAAGTCGATAGATCTCTACATTATAGTCAGTTATTTACCTACATATGTAGGTAACTTATGTAGTTGATTCACACCCCTGGACGGACTCGTGGACCGCCGGTCCTTTTTAGAAGGCTAATTCGGAAGGCCATCTATCAGCCGTGGATCCACCACCTCGGGTTACTCGGGTACCAAAGCCCTAAGTATTTCCCTAACGTCCCGCAGCCTTCGATATATATTTTATTGACCGTTGCCCTCCCTTGCAAAAGTTACACGTGTCATCATGCATGGCGCATGGACTAATATAATTCTAGGAAACGGGAGTAGTGATATGGGTGAAATTGACGGTATGAATGAAAAAGGAACTTAAATTGGGCAAACACAAGGAGACAGTATAGAATCCCTACAGGGGGAGTGGTATTGCACTATATTGAATCTCAACTTCCACAATCGGCGACCCCGGAACGGAGATTGCATGTCCTTGGCTTTGTAGGAATTCATGGATTATGCCCTGTAATATCAACAGAATGAATTCCAATATTTCATATGTACTTCCGTGCGCCCTATCATGAGAAAGCACGGACTCGATCGGGGGAGAACGTCCAACCGTTATAAGCGGACCAGCCGAAGCTGCACGAGGGGACATTCCGCAGATAGTGACCCCCTGCTGCGGGAACTAGGTACATGAATCCTGCATTCAACGCTCATAGGACATAGGTACCTACATAAATATCTCTCAAGTCACTCGATTGTCGTCATCGGGTATTTTTTTTTATTTTTCTATCTAATTTTTTTTGGGCGGTTTTCTTTCCGCACGGTATTGGGCGAACCCCCCTTTTCCCCCTGGCCTGGGCATGGCGGAATGTGGTGGAAGGGAGAATAACCACGTCGTGCATGCGACCCCTGGAGACTAGACTGAATGGATTGAATTGCCTATCTGTAAGAATTTAGGTCCGAACGTTGTTGGGAACCAGTCAGAGTAGTCGAAGAATATTAATATATCCATTCCGTGTACAATTATCTCATCAAGCATGTGATTTAAGAACTATATTGTATATTGAAAATTGCCTGTATAATATATATATATATATTTTTTTCACCTTGTCCCCGGGAAGAAAAAGAGCTCTCAGATCATAATAAAAATGTAGTAAAATAGTGAAGTGTAGGAGAAAATCTCCCAAAGAAAATCAAGACCCAAAAATCCATCCGAAGGCTCACCCGTCTAAATCTCATAGTTATAGAAAACACACCAGACGCCCCAACAAGGTACCCGCTAGAAAAGACAAGAGGGCCAAATACTAATCAAACCATAAAACGCTCGCAAAGCCAATAAACCTCAAGACAAAAACCAAAAAAAGAATCCGAATCGGAAAAAAAAGCGCAGTCGACCGCAAAGCAAAGTTTAAACCAGCACTCTGCCCCACAAATTCAAATAAAAGAATCAGACTTTTAGAAAGTTGTCGATCATAGTCACATAAGAATGATTTGAGATGTTTCTCAGAGAGCCGCGATTGTCGGAGGGTCGGCTTGTACCGAATAGTTCCTATGGAGTCGCCAAGAACAACGGCCAGGAGAACGCGGGATGAGAAACTTTAGAAAATGCCCTTGACCGAGTTTCAGATGTGAAAATTTTATTTCGAATGGTCTGAGGCTTGACAAATGAGAATCATCGAGAGCAGAGGACACATTTTCCCACTACCACAATGAAGCGGTCGTGTGGGCTGTCGTTGCAAGTGCTATTGTCTTTCGTTCCCTCCATTTCGGTGCGGAGGAAGTGAGCGGCAGGATTGGAGCAAGTAGAATATATGTAGAAATTCTTGAAAAAGTTGCACATTTCGATCCCACTGGGGGGTTGTAGATTTGTGAAGTTGGCTTCAAGGGAAGTATAAGAGTGGTTGTAATTTGAAGGAGATATAGATCTTTATAAAGAAGAAAAATATGTAGGTTCTCGACTAGATATAAGACGTTCAAATGAAAAATAATTTTTTTTTTTAAAAAAAAAGATAAAACATAATTAATTAGAAAAATTACCAAGAGATTTTCCTATAAGGATGAGAGAGAGCCCTGGAGTATACTGCATGGCATCCCCACCATCCCCACTAAACAAAAACACCCGGGTCCTGCATAAAGGGCCTTAATTTGTACCGAAACATTTTTAGTTGTTTTTTTATTTGATTTAGTTGTATTTTAAAATCAATATTTTTCAATTTTTAAGGGACTTTGTCAACAAAAAATCGGGTAGATGGGAGATCGACACGGTTCCTCGCAGCCGTTGATGCTTCTTCAATTCACACGTGGCGCTAGTCGGGATCTTCATGCATGAGACGAATACCTTCGGCAGTCTCCTAAATCTAGAGAACTTAAGTCAACTTGCCACAACCTTGGCACTGCTTCTTTTTTTTTTAATTTGTCCTAGAGTCAGGCGAACACGGAGAATTATCATGAGAGTCTTGTGATTACTGTAACATTGTGCAAGATCGGGCTTGGAAAAGCGGAAAAAGGACGCGTTGGGCAGTCGGAGCCGGTGATAGGCTCTAACAGTCAAGCCGAGGGATTTTCCTTAATCGTTTTGAAAAAGAATTAAGGAGCTTCGCCTCTTAATCCCTGCGCCACATAACAACCTTGGTGGGTAACTACCAGATCCCGAGTTGGTTGTGGATGTATAATTTAATCTTAAAGTAGAACAGATGTATATCCGATCAGACCATTTGAGTACACAACATTGAACTATTCTTAAAAGTCTTGGCAAAGGAACCCTGTAACCCATTCTAGAACATGGCCAGGGTCGCTCAACGTAGTAACGTTGATGGCAACAGACTGAAAAGATCAGAGAGCTGTTGTGGTATACGGGAAACGGCTTTTCACACTTGTAACATTTAAATGAATAAAAAAAGTCAAAAGAAAAGGGGCAATGTATACAAGGCTAGAAGCTTTTTGTTTTACTTCATCGAAGACTCCAGAAGCCATGCCCCATAGATGAAACCTGATGCAATGGACACCTTTCATTTTAATCCGTCCCGAAAACCTAGAAGCAGATCATCAGGCAATCTACACATACTCAAGGGTCCACCAAATTGGCGATTTACTAAAAAAAAAAAAAAGGTTCCATTAAAATCAAACCATCCTCTGCAGGATTGCGTCGTTGTACCCGTAATCAGAGACATTTCCTAACTGGGCAGCTGGTCTGGCGAACAAATCATTGAAAGGAGTTGATCTACGTGAAGTAGATTGTACGTCAGGAGGCCTTGAAATAGCATGCCCCAGTCGGAAAACAGGCGATGGTGCGACAATGCCCCAATCGTAGGGTGTGGAGACAAGAGGTCAGTTCACTCCACATATACAACATACGGAGTAGAGCAAGCCTAATTACTCCGTACATGTATACAACTGTATGCTTGGCGTCGGTGATCGGGATTCCAGAGAGGGAAAAACAAATGTAAGTTGCAGCCTAAGATAACACGCTCAACTTTCCCAAGTTTAGAATGCAGTCCAATAATAATGGCCAGCAGCAATGGGGCGTTGTCCTATTTTTCACCGCAAGTCAAGTTGTGGAGACTGGAAAAAGTATATATAATAGTTTGCCGTAGTATCCGGGTGAAGCCTCAACGGTGCCTAGTTTAAATTGGGTTGAACAGTAGTATGCCTTGACCCTTAATGTATCACATAACTTAGCGTGTTCTAATAGTTCGGCTTGGGCCGAGCTCGGACCCGAGTCACATGGGATCTCTTTGAGCCATTCCTATTTAGATCTAGCGTTTCCGATCGATGTCCGAATGACTAAGGTCTCCAAGAGCCCTAGAGCCCCCTAGCAACAACGCTAAACCTACAAAGGCAATTATAGTCCCGTGATCTTGAAAGAGAAAACTGAGACACTTCCCCTCGCATTAATTCACATAGGGGCGCGATCTGACCTTCGACATTCAGGGCTATCGGCCGATTGAAATAGTACAACTGGGGTGCAGAAAGAGCTACGCTGTTATTGGGGACCAAAATACATACCGTCATTTCCTCCACCGTCCCACCCCCGTCGTTGTGGAGACCAGCCGTCCACTCTGAACATTCCACTGCAACTGAACTCTAACTGTTTGCTGTCGCTCTGCTCAACATCCTAGCAGACATCATGGGGTTCGGTCAATTCGACACAATATGTGAGAAGGCATCCGTGCCTTTGTGCTCCTTGGTGGGCCCCGCGTCGACAATCTCCGGATCAACAGGCATCATATCCAACTGCTATGCGCGGAATATTGAGCTTGCGAATACCATAATCTTCCAGGGTGCCGCATCCTTCATGCATATCATGGCACTTAGCATGACAGTGATCATGATCTTGCACGTTCGATCCAAGTTCACTGCTGTCGGTGCGTCTTAACACCCTCTCCGCTCACACTAGGCGCAAATCGACTAACCTTTCCACTATAGGCCGCAAAGAGATCATCACCTTCTTCTATATCTACCTAGCTCTGACACTTTTCTCTCTTCTTATTGATGCAGGTGTCGTTCCTCCAGGGAGCGATCCATTCCCGTACTTCGTGGCTGTTCAGAACGGCTTGGTATCCGCACTATGCACCTGTCTTCTCGTCAACGGGTTTGTCGGCTTCCAGCTATACGAAGATGGTACAGCCCTCTCGGTGTGGTTGATTCGAGTCCCATCCGCAGCGATGTTCGCTCTTTCGTTCGTGATATCGCTGGCGACTTTCAAGTCATGGGGTTCTATGGGCCCCCAGAATACCACGGGTTTATTCGTCGTGCTATACCTGCTGAACGCCATATCTATCGCTGTGTACCTGGTCATGCAATTACTCCTAGTTGCGAACACACTGGATGACCGCTGGCCACTCGGCCATATCTCCTTCGGTGTGCTGGTCTTCATTATTGGACAGGTTCTCTTGTATCAGTTCAGCGATGTCATCTGCAACAACGTTCAGCATTACTTGGACGGACTTTTCTTCGCCACATTCTGCAATCTCCTTGCTGTCATGATGATATACAAGGCAAGTTCATGTTCCACGTCTGTAGGGTTGGTCTTGCTAACTTTCTCTAGTTCTGGGACTCGATTACCAAGGAAGATCTGGAGTTCTCCGTCGGCGTCAAGCCAAATACCTGGGAGGTTAAGGAGCATCTATCTGAGGAAGAGCGCCGCGCTACAATCTACCCCGACAATAACTCCGAGTATGCGGGCAGCATGTACCATCGCTCTTCGACGTACGGTCATCATAATTATTGACCCTAATTTCCCTTTCTGTTTCTTTCAATTCTCTTGTAATTTCTTTTTTTCTTCGTCCCAGCGCTGCATATGTGACTATTGACTTCATGATATCTTATTGATCTTTTTTTTTGGTGAATATTCAAATGATTCCACTATATTGGCGCCCTAAAGCATTCTTCCAGGCATAAATATACACATAATAATTACATAGTTTCTGAATTATGGATAGGAGAACAATAACTGGAAGATATTTTTCCTATTTAGTCTTTTATTAAGCTTTGGCATGGGAAGTCCATAGGGCTGTACTCACTACATAAGTGGTGACATTTAGAACCAGCAATTGGTACGACATACGGAGTACTCCGTACGAGAATCGAAAAGGTTGAAAAGGTCCTGTTTTGAACTCAATTTGCATTGTCGATGTCTCAACCATGCATGCATATCGCGCTCTAATGTCGGATTTCGGGATATTAAAATATTGTCTCTATTGTTTGTCTCATAATTCACCCGCTCCATTTCGACCCAGCACTAAGTTCGTTTGGGAAGAAGTTGGTGTCCATCATCCACTACAAACCATTTGCCCAGGCGCTAGCTCAGACAGGCTACGCGGCAAGAACTTGCAGGTATAATGTAAAAGAAACGCAAGAAAAATAGGAAGTGTTAGCATCTTTCCGTGACATTTCGGGTTGGCGCAAAACGGCTAGGGCGGAGCCCGAATATCCCGGGGCCGCGTCACACCAGTTCAAGGGTGTGGTGGCTAGGCAGAACGATCGTCGGGAGAGTGAGACAAGTGGCACATACTCCGTAGGATCAGCACTGCTGCGTTCCCAACCGAAGAGAACCCACACTCAAAGAACCTCGGCTATGACTGCTTAGAATGACAAAGAGGAACAAATACGACGGCGACGCCTTATTCAGGGCGTTGCGGGACGGCCAAGGCCCATTGGCGTTTTCTTGCCTGCTGATAATGAACCTTGATACCACGGTAATCGTGGGTTTGTGCGTACTATTCGCTGTGTGCTAGGGTGCAGTGCACACGGATCGAAGTCGAAGTAAGCAGTCTGCTGATCAGGAGAGGGTTCCGATGGGTACGGAGTAGAGTTCTTGTAGAACGTTCTAAAGCGGTAATAAAAAAGGGGGAATTGTGGAGCAACATGTTCCAAGGCTCGGGATTTGCGATCTCAGTCAACAACAACAACGTCATCACCATCCATGAAGTCCCCGTCTGTTTTGGTGTTCTGTGTTGCATGTGGTTGGTTAAGATCGTCTTTCTTGGCTGGTTCGGTGGTCGAATTATACCAGCCTTTGTCTATCGAGTCAACTAAGGCCGCGCATGCTTCATTGAGCATCTCGAAAAATGCAGGATTCTGTTTGGACAGAAACATGGTGACATGTGCGTTGGTCTCGTCAGTAGCTTTGTCGTTGACAGCCTTAGTCCACAAAAGTCCTGGACTTCGAGATTTCTCGCCACGTTCCACCTCCTCTGGCAATGAACAGAACGTTCTTTTCGTCGACCTGATGATTTTTTGACTGAAGGATGTTTTGTTTGCTGATGTGTTTTGAACCAGATTCGTCGCACTTTTTCCAAGGCATGTGTAGAAGTTCACACACCCGATTCCACGTTCCTCCTTAACATTCGACAATTTCGCGATACGCTGGTGCAATTCTGACGTGCGCGCGAGACAACCGACAAACTCAAGGTGCGATGATACCCATCCAAATCCTTCGGTGAGCTTTTGGCGCTGCGTATACATGGCTGCACCGCCAGCGGCAACAGCACCAGCCGCGCCGGCGAACATAGCATACTTACCCCATCGTTGCCAAGAAGGCGTCGCGGCGGCGTCGGGTGTGGAAGGCAACGCCTTCGGGGACTCTTGCGGATTGGTGCTCGCCTGATTTGATGCATTGCCCTTCCCACCGTAACCGAATAACCCTGCAACCTCGGAGAAGGTGTTGTAAGCAGTTGCAGCATTGCGGTAGTGCCCTTCTGCACCATACGACACGACTCCTGGCGCTATTCCCAAGAATGGGGTATCAAATGCAAGCACTCCTTGTATATGCGGGAACATGAAAGTACCCGGCTCCACAATTGATTCGGTGCCATCTGTGAACCCGGGCTGTGCCTTTGAAGCAGAATTTCGACGAATTGGTTGTTCCGCAGCTAGCAAAAGCAGAGCCTCCGCTCCTACTATTCCTCCCATTGAGTGACCGATCAGAACGACATGGACCGAGGGATCAACGGTGGGCGATGCGGTATGGTTGGCGACTTCGAGATCAATCACAGTATCCTGTAACCTGCACGGAAGAAGTACCGTCAGTCAGCAAAGCTTGTATCCATACGAGGGATTGCTCAGAATTTACCAATCTCGCACTCTAGCCACGCATTCTTTCAAATCACCTTTAGTCTCATACTTGGGGTAGACAGCTATGGCGACCTCGACCGCAGGAAGTGCTCTGCTTGCAAGGACGCGTAAATGCTCAGGGAACGTGCCAAAGGTATCATCACCACCCTATAATCGGAGTTAGTCGACGTAGGTTCTAGGCCGAAAACGAATATCATTGAGCTGAAATCTGTAATTCTTCGCGGAACCAGGTCTTCAGCAGGTATTTGACATACCTTGAAGCCGTGAATAAAGACGAGTAGCAGAGTCTTCTTCATCTTGATAATCTCAGACAGCCATATTCATGAAAATAAACATAGGGAGTGGTTCAACCAAGCGGAGGATAAGAGGAAGCCGAGAACCCGAGTCTCCAGTCCAGGTGGAGTTGATTTGAATTACGTCATTATAACTAGCCCAATCACATGACTGGATGATCTATACAAATGTGACCTCGGGAGATCATTCAAATGTTCCTAAGGATTTTAATTTGGGGCGTATGATGTCCTTCTCCAACTTGGATTGTATATTCATTTTGACTTCTGTATGCTGCAAATGCTGCTATAACCCCGGAAGGCCACATGGACCCAAACGCTTACATCTCATCTCATGAACTCCAATTTGACCCGGATATCCTGCACATTTATCTCATTCCCAACGCCATTCTAAGAGAACGCTTTCAAATTGGTGGATGAACCTCAGAGCTGGCTCCAAATATGGTCATCATGATGTCTAATTTAGTGTGATACGGCACATTCGGTGACATGACCAGACCGCAAGCTTTCCATAGTGTTTCCAATAGCGCTGCCTGTTGTAGAAGGAGCGCAAGGCTCCTTTGTATTAGATGGCGGGATAGTTGTCCCAGGAGCGGTGCTAACGAGTCCCTTGGATACAGCAAAGCAGGAAGAGCGGTCATGGTTGAGGTTCTCGCCATAAAATTCATCAAGAATCGGGTGAAGCATAACTGTCTGCTTGTGGATGGTGACAACTGAGTTAGTTGGGACTGACACCCAATTGTCTGTGTATGAGATTAGCATATGCTGATAGGTATAGAGAGAGGGAAAAAGCTTCTCACGTCGTTCAAAGGTGATGGGTTCACTGGCCACGAGAACAATATCGGCACCTTTATCGTGTCGCTCCATCTTGAAGTGCCCTTTCGTTTCACCCTCCTTCCACTTGGTACCAGAAGAGAAATACAAACTGGCAGGCTCGTCTGTTTTGCTGCTGATGTACCGAGTGCAAACAACAGTATGGCCATCTGTCACGGCGAAGTTCAACAAACTCCGAGTTTCAACCCCGGTGACGTTATATTTCTCTGGGATTTCCTTGACCATTTCATTGATTCTGGCAATAGTTTTCATCAAAACACGACGTAGAAGTGCTTGTCCAAATCCCTCAGGACCTGGGTCAGAGCTTGGATCTACTCCTTCTTTTTCTAGCAAGTCAAGGAACAAGGCAAAAGCCCACTCACTGTCGGTGCCACCTTTTACACCTAGGTACCACTTGTCGGCGAGTGAGCTTCCTAGAGTACGCTTGATGTAACTCCACCCGCCGATGCCGCCATTGTGCATCCACATCAGGGACTGGTGCTGGAATGGATGGCAATTGTTCTCTGCAAGGGCACCCTCAGTTGTTGCGCGTACATGCGCAAAAATGAGATCTGAGCATGTCTTTGCAGCGAGTCGCTCGAGATTCTCACAGTTCCAGGCTGGTAGTGTTGAAGTAAAGATGCAAGGTTCAGGCCCAAGCTTCGGATCTGTGTAGAAGCCTACACCAAACCCGTCACCGTTGACAGGACGACGATTGTCCTTGATATTGTATGTCAGTGGGTTGCGACATGCTAACCACGTGGGTCTGACCCAGCGATGGGACAACATACCAGTCTCAGGCGTGAATCATATGATTGAGTAAGTATTGAATGACTCGGTTCGGTTATCAGCTTACTGAGACGGATCTCATTTCGCCCTTTGTATATCTGATCGAGATATTAGCTTTAAGTCCAGTGCTTAAAAGGATGGCCCTTACCAGGAATCGACACATATTTGGTCTGGATCAAATGCAATTGAGATGGGACTGCATCAAATAGCGCTTTCAAGTTTATTAAAAGCTTTAATATGTATACCAAACTCGTCGTTCGAACAAAGCCTCACTCGTGATCAAAGGATGTATCAATAGACTCGATTTCGTGGAGGTCGGGATGAAGAGTCACCGACTGTTGAGACCGGTGAGATGCCCAAACGTCAACCACAATCTTACAGCCCAATAATAATATATTCGGGATGTAATTTTCCCAATGTTTACGAGGAGAGAAGAATGTTTTTATCAAAATCAACACAAAAGAATAAAGTCACTTCCCTTGTACAGCACGTCATGTTTCACGTGACAGGGACATTACGGGAGGCTACGCGGCTACTTGCGCAAGTCACGGGAACTGTTACATAAGTTATGCCTGATGTCAGTGATCTGGTAATCTACAAGGTCATCACTTTATTTCCATCTTCTGTTGAATGCTACCACAACAATAATGATTGGGAGGATCCTCTCCCATCGACTAGGACCGCTATTGCGGAACGGTCACCTAACTCGGCATATCCATAATGCAGGCTCAAGGACCGGCGGCCTGCTACGGGCAGATGGTGGCGCTGCTCTCCGAGGACGCGCATGGCCAGTGGGAGCAAACGCCATCCACAATGTCCCTGCAGTTCGATCAATCTCATTCGCTCGAATGCTTCCGAAGCTAGCATTGAAGCTTGTCAAGGTTCCGGCTATGTTCGGCGGTGCAACAATCGCGGGTCTAGCATATTTCCAATACCAAGCAACTCGTATGTCTCTCATGCCTGAAGCTCGCTACAAAACAGAATTTCAGGCTAACTTAATCATAGAGGCCGGCAACTATGCGATGGATGTATTCAGGCAAGCCTCGGAGACTGCGGGGAACACAGCTTCGACCTTGTTCCAAGGACTACAGGACATGGCGGATCAGACACAACGCGGATGGGATAAGACGACCGAAGACCTCGACATGCCTGACTGGCTGCAGAAGATCCTACGTCTCGACGAGGAATCTAAGTCTGGAAAGGGCGATTCATCTGGTGGTGGAGGCAAAGAGCCGAAACAAAGTCGGGCTGGTACTGCTGCCGCTGCTGCCGCTACTACTACCGCGTTTGGATACGATCAATCGGGTGAGCAAGATTTCCGACCGGACAGAGATGCTGCGGAGGATGATCAAATGATGCTGCTCACACGCAAAATGATCGAAATCCGAAATATTCTTCAGACCATCGGCCAGTCCGGCACACTCACTCTTCCGTCGATCGTCGTGATTGGATCCCAATCGTCGGGCAAAAGCTCTGTTCTTGAGGCTATAGTTGGCCATGAGTTCTTGCCCAAGGGCTCGAACATGGTGACTCGGCGGCCAATCGAGCTCACTCTGGTCAACACTCCCAATGCTCAGGCAGAGTACGGTGAATTCCCGGCCCTAGGTCTCGGAAAAATTACAGATTTTTCTCAAGTTCAACGTACACTCACAGATTTGAATCTTGCTGTTCCTGAAAAGGATTGTGTCACAGACGATCCCATTCAGCTTACGATATATTCTCCTAACGTTCCGGATCTATCTTTGATCGACCTGCCAGGGTATATCCAGGTTGCGGGCCGAGATCAGCCCCCAGAGCTCAAGCAAAAGATTGCTGATCTTTGCGATAAATACATTCAGCCACCAAATGTCATTTTGGCGATCTCGGCCGCCGACGTTGACTTGGCAAACTCCACAGCACTTCGAGCCAGTCGTCGGGTAGATCCTCGGGGTGAACGCACTATCGGTGTGATTACGAAGATGGACCTTGTCAGCCCCGAACGGGGCCACGCCGTCCTTTCCGATAAAAAATACCCCCTTCGGCTAGGTTACGTGGGTGTTGTTACCCGAATCCCCCAGACAACAGCTCTCTTTTCTAGAGGCTCTGGAAACATTACCAGCGCCATCCTCAAGAATGAAAATGCCTACTTCTCTGCGCATCAGAGTGAATTTGGCCCCCACTCTGACGTCTCAGTTGGTGTTTCGACACTGCGGAAAACGCTGATGCAGGTTCTTGAGCAGACCATGTCATCTAGCCTGTCTGGAACCAGAGATGCCATCAGCCAAGAGCTTGAAGAGGCGACCTATGAGTTCAAGGTTCAATATAATGACCGGCCTTTGAGCGCAGAGTCTCATCTGGCTGAGAGTCTCGATGCTTTCAAGCACTCCTTCAAGGCGTTTGCGGAAAGCTTTGGGCGACCGCAGGTTCGGGAGATGCTCAAGGCAGAATTGGACCAACGGGTTATGGACATTCTGGCCCAGCGCTACTGGAACAAGCCAGTCGAGGACTTGGATCCTCCATTACTAGAATTAGACCCCCTCAAAGATCTCCCCAAGGCTGATCCTGAGTCGCTATATTGGCATCGGAAGCTTGATGCCTCCACCTCGTCATTAACAAAGCTTGGAATTGGTCGGTTGGCTACGACTGTTGTCGCCAACGCTCTCAACAACCATGTAGACTCGCTTCTAGCCTCGTCTACATTTGCCTCCCACCCTGGTGCCCGCAAACAGATCACCGATGCATGCACCAGTATCTTGAATGACAAGTTCTTCAGCACCAGTGATCAAGTGGAAAATTGCATCAAGCCATATAAGTTTGAGATTGAGATGGAAGATCCTGAATGGGCCAAAGGTAGAGACAACGTGGGCAAAGTTCTAAAGGAAGAGCTCAAGTCATGCGAGTCTGCCTTGAAACATGTGGAGGACACTGTTGGAAAGCGAAAACTCAAAGACGTTATCTCGTTTATCGACAGAGTGCGGAAGGGCGAAGTAGTACTGGAGGGCAACGGGGAGGGTGGCGCGGGTGGCTTCAGTGCTGCCTTGTTGGAGAGAGGTTGGTATTTCCCTCTTTCTTCTATTTACAGACACTGACATATATTATCTAGGACGAGAAGGTCTCTTCCTTCGGGACCGAGCGGATCTTATCAAGATGAGAATTCTCGCCGTGCGGTCAAAGCAATGCGCAACGCAAAAGAACAAGTATTACTGCCCAGAGGTCTTCCTGGATGTTGTGGCAGATAAGCTCACCTCCACGGCCGTGCTATTCCTGAACGTCGAGCTCTTATCTGAGTTCTACTATAATTTCCCACGTGAGCTTGATTCAAGACTTGGAAGACACCTTTCAGACGAAGAGGTGGAACGGTTTGCCCGCGAGGATCCCCGCATCCGGCGTCACCTGGACATCATCCGCAAGAAGGAGCTGCTGGAGCTGGCTCTGCAGAAGATCGAAGGCATCCGACAGCTTGATGGCCGCGCCCGGAAATCTGAGCGTGCGCCTCCTGGAAAGGAAACGCGGAGCCGTTGGAACCTTTTCTAGAAGATATGATGTTTGGGCTTTCTAACTCTTCCCCCTGTGCGAAAAATCTGAATTTTCGATACCTCTGCTGGTGTTCTCATCACTCTTTTTTATCTTGTTTAGCCGTCTTCTCCCCTTGCCCTTCCTTGTGATACTAGTACGTATCTCTAGATGTTTTGAATTCAATGTACATACCTCTAAGCCATTCATCACACAATCAATAATCTATTCCTTGAATACATATATCCTTTCTCCATTCTTGATCTATAGAAAATATCCTAGCTACTACGAGTTTCCCGGAAAGTATACAGCCTACATATGAATATAGCAGGTAGTCTATCATCTCAATGAGGTTTCCTATCAAAGGGCTAGATTACACAGACCCCATGTTCTCCATGGACAGCGCCTCCTGTCCCCAGTCGTTGATTATCTGCTTGATCTCCTCCAGATCATGAAGGATGCGCACTAGACTGTTACCATAGCGAGACCAAAGGTAGTACCTGCCGTTTGATTCGAACAAGGTGTCGCACCAATCCTGAGACATAAACACCGGCACGCAATTGGTGAGGCCATAAGTATTGGTCATACGTTCCTGTGCACCGTATTCTCCCTTCCATTCATCGTAGTTCAGTGCCACTGGATCACTCGAGAATCCAAGAGGGTCAGTCGGGGCCCACTGTCGTCGTTAGCTACGGCTTTGATAGAAGGGGAATGGTATATTTACCCGTGTTGGTTTTGTGCCGTCGAGAGGCTCCGCTCGCCAACGTGGACTCCCTGGTGGAGGTTCAGGGTCGTCGAAAAATATAGTCTGTGGCACTAGACCAGCAAGCCTTCTAGATCGGCGAGGCTTCCAATTGTTAGCCTCATTCATAGCATATTCAGGTCAACCTCACCGGAAAATTGATTCTTTTTGGGTTTGGTAGTTTGGACCTTTTTGGAGCCATTTCCCTCACGTAGCTGGCTTAGAGACGGGAATGAGAAACATAGGCAAATTTCTATGGTGCGGGCAACTGTTAATATAGATATGTTGGCCTGAGGGAAGAGAGAAATATATGTCTGCAACAAAGAAACCATGTTTATAAAAAGATATGGGATGGCTTGATCTATTGTGCTTTGTTTATGCCTCTTTCATAGTGCCTTTTTCTATTATTATTCGACTATTTATATTTGAAGTAATCAAACGTATCTATAATTGTACGCCTTGGGTCTCATGCTTCAAGATACTCAATGCGATTCGTGCTATTTTAGTCAGTAACTAATACATATCCTCGACAAAGGAATCGCCAATATGTAATATTATTTAAACGGTGACATCCCTAGTTATCTAAGAGAATATAACACTCGCCATGTCAGCAACCACCCCTTCGACCGAGGCATATTTGCCGGCTTTCAATAACCAAGTGAACCTAAAGAAAGCATATACTTGGAGCCTGATACAAGTGAGTTGCTGCAATATATTTCTACAAACTAAACTAACTTTATGGAGATCAAAGCTTTCATGATCGAGGTTATACATAACCCTTCTACATATGGAGTAGAACGGAACATCGTATCAGAATTGAAAAGACTACGCACAGATATTCTCGATCTCGGGTGAGTTGAATGTCTTCTAGACCCCGTATTCTGTCAACTAATCGGATTGCAGTGAAAACGGGAGCAGATATCTGTCTG